ACCTTGCCGTTTATTACGACATCGTTTTCTCATTTTTGTTTTAATATTAAAAGATTTTTTATTAATTTTATTATTAATTCAAAAATTGAAACGGTTCTTTTAGTTTTTTCACTTGGAAATATTCGAGCATTACTTTTCTCTTCAGCTTTCAACACCATGCTACCACCACCACCACCCCTGGCATATCCTCTCCGACCGCATCTTCTACTTACTCTTCCTCGGAACCATCCTCACCCTCAAAAAGCTAAATCCTTTCTCCTCACTCTCTTCCGCCTCTCTCTCGCGGCCCTTGCCTTTTCCTCATATGGAAAAGGCGATCGAAGGAGCACTCAACGACCCACAACCGTCAGCTGCTCGCTGGGCTCCACAAGGTTCTCGAGCAACCACCCGAGATCTTCCCGGTGCGCATGGAAACCTCAGCTTCTATTCTTTCTCTCTAAATACCTCACCCATTCCGCTCTGATTTGCTTTAGTCTTGCCGCATGGGTCCCCTTTCTTTCCCTTATTAGTCGTGATGGAATTTTGATCTTTCGACGCCCAATTTGAGAGCCTAATGGTTCGCATACTTTCCTCTTTTTGCAATATGAATTGTATGTTTTTTATGCTCTGTGCTTCTGACGCTTAATATATTGCACCCAAGACGGACCAAACTTGGCGTTGGAGTTTAAAGATTTTCTTTAATCCTCATGTACTCTTGAGTTTGTTGTGATTCGTTTGCCTTTGGGTGATATGAATGTTTGTGGTACGGTTCGGATTTAGATTTATTTTTGAAGTCTTTTTTATCTGGGGTGATATTTTTCAAAGCTGCCTTGGCTACTCACTTGCAGATATTGTATTACAACAAGTACATCCCAGCTGGGCTTAGATTCAATTCTCCATGGATGTTTTATCATTAAGGTTCTCGGGGTCACAACGTTTTTCCTTTTTTGTTGGAAGGGAAGGCCAGATCTTCCCTATGTATCCCTAAAGTTCCTTGAATCCGATTCCGTAAGTTAGCCCATAGTTGACATCCGAGGAGTTTCCCTCCTACTTTGATTGTTGTTTAATTTATTTGTTGCCAAGATTTATTGGAGCCTATTAAACAGTTTCTGTGTTTTTCTCCAGGAGTGAAATGTGATTTACCAGAACCGAGAGAGCCTTAGAGCGAGCCCCAACAGGCCAATAGCAAAGGTAGTTTGGTTTTCATTGACACAGCCTTTGAGAGTATGTTCTTGGATTGTGCCCCTGCTAGAGTCTAAGTTTTCTGTCTTGTCTGTTTTTTAGCACATTCCTGTAGTTAGCAAACTTCTAAGACGATAGTTGAAGTACAGACGAGGACGAGATGGAATTGTGTTTTATAATTTTGTCAGTTAGAATTTACCCTTATTTCCTGTGTTTGAGATTAACATTTGAAATGTAAATGATTTTTTGGTTATGTTTATGAGATGTTTCTATTTATGTTATCTTTTATTTTTGTTTTTTTTTTTTTTTTTTTTTTTTTTTTTTTTTTATCAGCCGGATCTGGAATGAGACATGGCTATCAAGTTTCTTTTACAAACCGTGCAATTATGAGCTGTTTGTGAAGCAATCTCTCAATATGGAAATGGCCATTGTCATGGCAAGGGTATGCAGTAAATTGAATTTTATTCTCATCTGTTGCAATTTTCTCTATTAGTAGTTTGTAGTAAAGGTACTTGTATAATGCTTTTAGACCTTATTCTTATGCTTCTCAAAAATGTAGAATGCAGGCATGGACTGGATACTTCATCTTGACACTGATGAATTGATACATCCCGCTGGTGCTAGTGAATATTCTTTGAGGCAATTACTACTGGATGTTCCTGGGAATGTAGATATGGTTATATTTCCAAATTATGTGAGTGAAATCATTTAGGTTTTGAATGTTTTGTTAATGATAGCATTAGTTAGGTAGTTTGTTGGTTGTGTGTTGTATCTCTTTATTTAAATCATGGTGTTGCTTTTATTTTCCAGGAGAGTAGCGTTGAACGCAATGATGTAAAGGATCCCTTTAGTGAGGTAAACCTTTTTTTATTATGTGTGTCCCCTTTTTTTCCCAGTTTTGTTTAGTAAATTAATCATTAGCAACTTAACATTCGAGTTAATTAGTTCGGCGGAAACTTATTATCCTAGGTTTGCTATACTTCAAGTGCACTGTGTACGACGAACTTTTTGTAGTCAAAATTTTGTGTCACTTGTAAACCTTTTGTAGTTTATGGAAGGATTGATCAGGTTGCGTTACAAAAACAATGTATGGCAGCACATGTATAGTGAATGACTTTTATTATCTAAGAAACTTTTGTAACAATAATATGTCCATATTGTTATAGTTTCTAAATTTTTTGGCTTTAGATGAGTAATGTGCTGGTTTATTTTTCTTAGTATTTGGGGAAAAAAATGTTGTGTATGCCTTTACGCTTTTATGCCTTTGAGAATAATTGCCATCTTTGCACATGTTATATTAATGTGTTAATGCTAACAGGTTTCAATGTTCAAGAAAAATTATGACCACCTCCCAAAGGATACATACTTTGGCATGTATAAGGAATCAACTCGTGGTAATCCAAACTATTTCTTAACTTATGGAAATGGGAAATCAGCTGCTCGAATCCAAGATCATCTTCGTCCTAATGGTGCACACAGATGGCACAACTACATGAAAACCCCCAAGTATGTTGATTATATCACATTATGTGAGTACTTAATTTGAACTTCCAATCTAAGCAAAAAAAATAAAAATAAAAAAATAAAAACCTGTCAATGAAAGGCATGCAACAGTACATTCATACATGTGCACAAAATGGTGCACCACGGCCCCTACAGCAGTCATGCTGTGGGTTTCATTGTGAATAATATGTAGATCTTGAATGTTACCTTTTACAATTGCACTTACCTCTTTCCTTTACATTTTCAGAATCACAACTTATTTTATTATCTTGTTCTGCTTGAGCTCTTAAAATTGTATTGCCATTGCCTCTGTTGATAGTCATACTGATGTGAGAATTTCGCCCCCCTTTGTAAAATTATCAATTATTTATTTGTATTTATTTTAGTGAGGTAAAACTGGAAGAGGCCGCAGTTCTACATTACACATATGCCAAATTCTCAGACTTGACTTCTAGACGTGATCGTTGTGGCTGCAAGCCCACAAAAGAGGATGTTAAAAGATGCTTTATGCTGGAATTTGACAGATCTGTGAGTTCCTTCTCTTTCTTATTATTTATATCGTTTTTCATTTCTATTGTCACTGCTTTTCTGTGTCAAGGGACATTGAGAATATGGTGATGAAAGTATGAACTGCCATTTAAGTACAATGGACTTACATGTGGAATATGGAGTTTGTATTGACTTTGAAGTTTTGAGAATTGGCCATTCCATGCTAGAAAAATAAGCTATTTTGGACAGAGATGTAGGACATTTTAGTTGCATAATGGCATAATTAATATTTTTTAAGTTTCTGTTTTAGATCTGTTATCCAAAACAGAAGAGTATAAGAAGTAAGAACTGCCTGAGGTGTACATCCCTTTATTAAAAGTACATGGGTGGCATACAAGAGCACCACCACAAATGGCTGATTTTGCTGTGACCCAAGTAATGGTGTTTTGATAATTGTAATGTGGAAACTTTTGTGCATTCTATATGTTATAATGAGCAGACAGTGGGTGGCCTAATTGGCTTTTCAGTGGGAGACATAAGCCAATTCTGAGTGGTGTTTACTATGTATTGTTGACTAAAAAATCGTGTCCTGTAAACTAAGGATTTCTATTTTGGTAGTTAGGGAATGCATGTAAGTTTGTTGGTCATTAGTTATGGTGTCCTTGCACCATTTAAAAAGTGAGAATATATTTGTTTCTTGGGGATTCAGTGATCTGGTTTCCTCAATTGAAGAGGTATTAGTTTGTCCTTACCATAATTTAAGCAGCAAGGATGCTGATACTTATGGTATTAGCCTTCTGTCAGATCTGATTTCTCAGTCAAAGTAGTGATGTAAACCCTAGGAAAATCCCAATAAATAGGACTTTCAGTCGGTGAATTCTTAGTCCAAGAGGTGTTGGCTTTTTGTCAGTTCTCACATTGGTCTGTCTGGTTGATAGCATGATGCAGGGGATTGAATTTCTAACTAAAATTTTACTTACAAGTCGTCAATTTGTTTTGATCCATTTTCTTCTAACAACTTGTTCATCTGTTGAATTAAACATTGTGGGTTGTAGGCATTCATAATTGCTTCAACTACAACTGAGGAGGAAATGCTAAACTGGTACGTATTTGATCACAGGAAAGTGAACTCCTACACATAGTTGTGTCAGTACTGTGGCATTCACATGTTTTTGTTTTTTTGTGACATTCACATGGTTTTTTGTTATTTTGCTCATCTTAACTTGTGTATCTTTCCCTTCCAAAATAATTTTATTGTGTATTTTTCTTATGATTTAGGTACCATGAACATGTTGTATGGGGTGATAAAGAGCTCAAATTGAAACTTTTGAGGAAGGGCATTTTAACTCGCATATATTCTCCCATGGTATGAGAAACAGATGTTTCCTTTTGCATTTTTTATTCCTGAATCAAGTGCGATCATACAAATGAATTAGTGTTCATACAAATGAAATGGAATGGTTTTATTTGTTAAAAGGAAGACTACTAATAAGATAAATATCTTAAAGTGGTGGAAATCATTATATGTGAACCATTAAAGGTATTGTTACACATAGTCTATAGTCTGGTCTTTTCCATTCCATAGAGGTGTAAAAAAAATCCCATTTATAAGACATATGTCTGGATTCTTTTGCTTGTGTCTTAAAAGGTATTCTGCTATTCTTGCTTTGGAATGTCAGGTCATAATACAGGCATTAAGAGAGTCTGGTGTATTCAGCTCTATTATTGCATCTGCTCCAACAACTCTTTCAAAAGACAAGTTTTTAGCATCTATTAATAAAAACAACTCATCCAGAGCTGTTGCCTCTGAATCACTACCCTCGAGAAAGATCAATAGAAGCAAAGAGCATCAGGCAGCTACCAGGAAGATCTTGGATTTGGAAGCTACCACTTCTCATGAAGCAGCAGTTCCACCACTGTCTCCCCCAGGAGTGAATGATCACTCACTTGTGGAAGTGTGATCCATATATTGACGCGATTGCTTCTTCTTCTCATTCCTGTTCAACTAGTCATCATTTTGGTCTACCTTGCTTAGAAGGGAAGAATCAGGAGAGAAAAGAAAGAGCAAGCTCTGTGGCGAGTTACATGTTGGTTCTTCCCGATCATGATCCAAGCGCTTTGTGTACATTTTAGGATAGAGAGATTTAAGTTCTGGCAACTTTGGCCGCAACCAGAAACATGGCTCATCATTTGCATCGTATAGAAACCAGAGTCTTGACAATCAGGGGTTTTAACTATTATTTCTTGATATTGTGGACATTCAAGATACTAATTAATGTGAGGATTTCCATTCCTTACCTTTTGTATCTGAGGAAATGTCTAAATGATTCAATATGATTTAAGATGAGCTAATGCTAATCTTGTTTCTTTAATGTTCTCTCTTGTCAAGGAATGCTTAAAGTTAGGCCATTGAAGGCTTAGCTAAAACCATGTTTATTATTTTAGTTTCTCATATTTTATTATTTTCATCAGCACTTAAATAGTCTAAATGGATTAATCCTCAACAAGGAATCAGTTATTTTTCAGTTAGACTGCAGGGATAAAATAATAATTTCTTAAATGTTAGTTGTTATGATTTATGAATATTTAAAGTTAGGAAATTTTTCTTTTTGCTTTTTCAACCACCAGGCTAAAGCCTCGATGGTTCTTATTTCTTAACATTTGGCCATACGATATCCTCTCCAAGTTCTTCCCTCCAAAAGCGCCCATGGCCATCTTCTTAGCCCCCAACTCCGCCACTCTGACACTCCCAACCGCCTCCAGAAGCATCCGTGCCTCCTTCAAGCCTCTGCTCGTGCCAACCTCGCTGGCAATTCGCTTTGCCGGAGACGGCCAAACCAAGAGAGGTTTGTCTCTGGTCACACGCGCGGGTCCCAGCACGACTAGTTACGTGTTTGCTTTCGTGTTTCCTATGTCTCTCCTCATTGCCACCGTCATTACCTCTATTAAAATTGCTGATAAGCTTGATAGAGACTATCTTGAGGAGGTTTTGATACAGACCTTTATCTTGTACTACATTTGTTTGAAATTGTGAAGTGGGTGTATGTGGTCTGATGTTTTAGAAAATTGGAATTCTGGGTTTTTGGTATTTGTTGCTGTTGCACGGTTTGATATTTTTATCTGGGTTATTTTTGGATTTCGTGTTAGAAATGGAGTTCCACTGCTATACTCATTAAGTGCTTGATACAAGTCGATACCGGAACTTTGAGCAAGTTTTTAATCTTCATTAGCCATTTCTAGCAAGTTTTTAAATTTTAGTTTTTGGTCTCAAGTTCCTTACTTTCCCTGTACTTAGGATAGAAAGTACCTGATTCTTACTGTTCTGGATAGTGGCTTTTGAATACTGTGTAACTTGAACATGGCTTTCTATGGATAACTAGGGCCTCCCACCACTAGTATGTTGCCAACTCCGTTTTAACATATTTTCACTTTCTTGTGTTACTTGTATCCATTGAAAGATTTGTTTCCCTTTGATTGAGTTGTCAAATTTTAAACTTATTTTATACATGCTTCGTGTGTCACTAGTGTAATTCATGACTTGTTTTGTGGAGCAGCTTGCAATTAATCAAGCAATCAGAGAAGCAGATGAAGAGGATGATGATGATGATGATGCCATTGATATTCCAACAGAGGAAGAAGTGAAGCAGCCAGCACTTCGAGACACTCGAACTCGCAACCGGCCTAAACGAGAGGCTTAGGCTTCATTTACATTCTTGTTTGTATGATTATGAATTTTTGATTTGGAGTCACATGCATTAGCAGGCGAACCAATATAGAAAGCCAACTGTAGCCCACCTAAAATTTATAATGAGCTTCCAACTTTAGATATATTGCTCCGTAATTGTACTTTAGATTTTAGTTGAAATTGCTTTCTCTTGGCCTTCATAATTATATTGTAATTGTCGTAGATAATCTATATACTTCTAATGCAATTTTTAGTAATTATGTTGTTGAGAACGGATTTTAGACTTGGCCTGTTTTTGGACGCCTAGAAAATTAATGTTACCAACGTGCCATAATGGAAAAAAAGGGAAAACTATGAGCACCTGAGGAAGTTCAAGAGGGTAAAAAGTTGAATAAAAATTAGAATCAGATTCTTTTAAAAAGCTATTTCCTTTATGTACTACAAATTACATTGAATCATACATGAATGCCTGCTCTGAAATACCGTTTAAACAAGTGAAACGCCAAGAAAAATTCTGAGAATAAAACATTAGTAGGAGAAAGGGAGTCGTAGAACCAGCTAGCCATCATATTTAGGTATAACTTGAGTTCTCCTGTGCTCATTCATTAGTGGATTCGATGCATCAGGTAAAACAAGCAGACAAACTACATAAATAAGAAAATCAAAGAGCACCCTCGACCAGAGAGATGGACTTCTTATGTTCCTTTTATTTCCTTGGTTATCTCCACTATCAGCAATAAATTTATTATAATCAAGCAAAACTTCAGTGGCTTCGCCTTCTCCCCTTTGGGCTGCAGAATGCATTCAATGTTCCTAAACAAACAACGTAATAGTTGGAATCCATGGCAAGACCAGAAACTTTGGAATGAGCAATGGTATGGGTGAAAATTAGTCTGATCTAATGGTGTCCTGAAGCCCAAAATCACAACATCTACCCTAAATTGGTTTGCTTTCTACTGTCTGGCCTCCCCATATGCAGTAAAAAATGCATCTCCCAACTTGAAGCTCGTCACTGCCGGGCACAATACCATATAGTTATCTCAGAGTGGCTCTATTATCCAACTGACCTATTTGAATAGGTGTTATGAGATGCATGGAGATCAAGTAAGCTAGAACAATACTCCTGGTCACCAGACTGAATCAGATTTATACTGACCATATTGTTACATACATGGGAAAACTGGATCACAATCCTGCAGGAAATCTGCACTTCACTCCTGTGACAACGCTTCAGATATTTATTTGCTGGATTCGAATAATATCTACAGCAAATGAAAAATTACAGATTGCTCTCTCAAATGGTAGTCACTGGCAGTGTACTTCTTGACAGAAGCGTAGGAATTAGGTACATCTTGAAATTACATGTTGCATTCTCTCAAGTGGTAGATAATAGTAACGATGTACCTGTTCAACTTGACAGAAGTGTACATCCCTTTGCTTTCAATTTTGATTCCAGACCAAAAAACTTCAATCCTGAGAGAACCAAGTCTGCTGTCTTCTTCTTCATGTGTTCAATTAATATTTCATCATAAACAATTGTCTTGGCTTCTGTCAAAAGTTTGCGCTCTCTCATACTTGTAAAAACCTTCCTTGCCTCTTCTAAAGTCCCATGCTTACACATGCCAGAGATGATAGCACAGTATACCACCTCATTGGGAGGACAACCCTCCTGCATCATCTCATTCAGCACTTCAATCACTTTATCAGCATCACCTGATCTGCACACATGAAGAATTGTAAGAGTATATTTGAACTCCATTGGCCCACTTGTAACATTGCCTAAGCAGTCACGAACTAGCATCATGGCTTCATCAATCTCTCCAATATCACAAAGCCCTTTTGCAAGTGAGCAATAGGCAGGAATGCTAGGGACACAAGACATCTCAATTATTTTATTATGACACACGCATGCCTGTTGGATATTTCCATCTTCTACAAAACACATAACTGCAATGCTGTAAGTAGTTGAGTCAGGTTCAAAATTCAAATCCTTCATTTCACTAAAAAGCGATAATGCCTTATTCACCTCCCCAATCTTGAGAAAAGCCTCCATAAGAATATTGTAGATTTGAACACTATTATAACCTTTCAGTTTTAAGTCCTCAAACACTTCCAACGCCATCATAGTTCTTTCCTCCCCGACCAAAAATGAGAAGAATTTGGAAATATCATCAATAAGAGAAAATCCCAACTTGTCCATCTGCACAAGCAGATTGCAAAAATCATTCATCCTTTTTGTCTCTGAATAAAACACTAACATGGGATTCACGGTATTAAAGTCTGGTTCAAGACCCTCATGAACCAAAAACTTAAAAAGTTTATGAGCCTTATCGACCTGCTTCACATTGCACAGACCTTGAATAAGTGAATTATAAATTCCCAAATCAGCCCTATACCCAGAATCCATCAAATCCTTCAACAAATCACAAGCTGATCCAACCTTTCCATCCTCCACGAATGCATCAATCAGCAATCCATAAACTGCCCTATCAATCAAAATCCCTTTCTTTTTCATCTCCTTAAACAACTCATACCCTTTTACTACCCTCCCTCCTTTACACAACCCCGTAACTAAAGTCACGTAAGCCATCACATCTGGATCCACACCATCTCTCTTCATCTCCTCCCAAACCTGCAAACTTCCATCCAAATTCCCTTCTCCAACCAACACCCTAATCATTGCTGTGTATGCAAAAACATCCGGTTTGCACAAATTCGTCCTCATTCTACCCAAAATCTCCATCGCTTCTTCTATCCTGCCAACCTTACACAATCCCTTTGCCAACATCATATATGTAACACTGTCTTCCACTAATCCATCACTCTTAAAATCCTCGTACACTGATAGCGCCAAATCTAAATGACCCGTTTTAATTAAAGCATCCATAATTCTATTATACAAGAAAACACGGGGTTTGACTCCAAATTTCTTCATCTTCTGATAGACATAGAAAACTCTGAGTCCCCTGTTCGCATCAGAATGCATTCTAATCAAAATTTCAAACTGTTTCTCAGTGGGTGGTTTTCCTTGAGAATCCATTAGCTCAGGTAACTGATCAGCAGAACGAAACAAGTTGCTTCTATTCAAACAATAAGCAAAAGCATTGTAAGAAGCGAAATTGTGCTGGTACCCTTTTTGCTTACCAGCCCAGTGAAAGAATTTGGAGGCAAGGTGAGGGTTATTTTCGACTTTCAGAACTTCGGCTACAATGTCGGGCGTCACCCGGCGAAGCTTACGTAGTTCATTTACGACTGGTGGGCCCCAATGGTTGCCGTTTATCCTGAAGGCGTCGCGGATGAAGCGAGAGATAGGGGAGAGGCGCTGGGAAACTGAGGAAAGGGAATGGTTTTGGGATAGAGATGTGGGGTTGGAGGGTGATGGATTTTGAGGGTCCCATTTTTGGAAGTCAAAATGAGAGCTTGGGTTTTGGGGTTTTGATAGGGTTGGTGGTTTTATCGTCTGGCGATTGGAGAAGAGGCCACCGCGGACGACAGGGCGGTTTTGTGATGGCTTGCGGTGGCCGTAGAAGAAGTAAGGTTTACGAGGTGGCATTGCGAGGATCTACTTAGTGCTTCTGCCTCTTCTCTCCTCCTGCAATTGCATCCCTTTGATTTGTTGCCGTTTGCTGCTGCAGCTGGACTGTTGATGAATAGACGAAATTATGCATCCTCTAACCGACGTCGTTTTAAGATTTATGTCCATTTCTGTGATTACATTGCTGTACAATCTCTCTATAATTTATTATTTTTATGAATTTTTTATTTAATAATAAAATTTTAAAATATAAAATTTCTATATAATAATCACAACTAAATAATTCTGTTTATATAAATTATATGTCTCGATTCTGCTAAAAGAAATTTCTAATTTAAGACAAAAAATTTAACCCCACAAAAAAAAAAAAAAAAAAAAAAACGATTAATGGATGACATCCAGGCCACCCGCGGTACGACAAGGGCGGTTTTGTGAATGGCTTGCCGGTCGGCCCGTAGAATGAAGTAAGCGTTTTACGCAGACGCGGTCGTGCATTTGCGAGATCACTTAAGTGCTTCTTTGGCCTCTTCTCTCCTCCTGCAATTGCATCCCCTTTTATTTGTATGGCCTCCGTTACACTTGCTGGCTGCAGTCTGGACTGCTTCGTATGAATAGACGGAAAATTATGCATCCCTCCTAACCTGATCGTGCGTTTTAAGATTCTATGTCCATTTCTGTGATTACCATGCGTTAACAATCTCTCTTATAGATCTTATTATTTTTATTAATTCGTTTAATTTAATTAATTAAAAGTTTTAAACTAAAAATTTCTACTTATAATAATCACAACTAAATAAGTTCTGGTTGTTATATAAATCTATCTAGTCTCGATTCTGCTAAAAGAACATTTCTTAATTTACAGACAAAGAAAATCTTATAACCCCACCACAAAAAAAAAAAAAAAAAAATAAAGAATATAAGATAATATCACATTTGCCTTGGAAATGAAAGACGGAATGTATCTATTACAAGAACAGTGTAAGCGTCCAAAAAATTTTGGTTGAAGTCAGTGTGGATACAGAAAGTAGGCAATTTTTTGTTTTAGTTCACTATACTTAGATACTCTTCTCAGCCTGTCATTGTTTGACAAATTGCTAACCCACGAGCAGAGAACGGAACCGCAACCATTATTACTTAATATAGGTAATAGGAAGCACTGAAAGGCAACCAAAACACTGCATCAAAAAGCACTTCCGGTGCACTGCGGCATCTCTGGCAAACCAATGCTGCCCAACCGTTCATTTGATGTCCTGATGCGAGCTTTAAGCATAATCGCATTTGGCAGAATGAGTCTGGAAGAGGAATGGGCAGCATCAGGCCCTTATTATCTTACCCTAATGACAATATCCCATCTACTCAAATCGCAACAACCCCGTACCTCGAATTATGCTCTGGGTTGTCTTTCCGCCCCCTGTCCCAGCCAACTGACTGGATACATGTCTCAATTTGATATATTCCCTTTGAAACCTATGTCACAATGTTGTCCAATGCGCTATATCCTGATATATGCTACTGTGGTACCTCTCTCCTCTCTTTTCCATTAACCACCGTGCATTCCGCCGTGCATCATCATCATCCAAGTCTGATTCCCTCCTCAGCAGAGTGCTCGCGAGCACCACCCACATACTATTTCCTACAATATTCATAAATCCTGTTAAAAAAAAAAAAAAAAAAAAAAAAGAATATAAGATAAATAATTTGCCTGAAATGAAGGAATGTATCTATTACAAGAACAGTGTAAGTCCAAAAATTTTGTGAAGTCAGTGTGGATACAGAAAGTGGCAATTTTTTGTTTTGTTACTATTTGATCTTTCTCGTGTTGTTTGAATTGTACACGACGGACGCACATTATCATAATAGAAGAAGCAGAGCACAAAACTGTCAAAAAGCTTGGTGGCATCTGCAAAATGCCACTTCATTTGATGTTGTGGAGTTTAAGCTATGCATTGGAGATGAGTCTGGGAGGAAAGCATCAGGCCTATCCTACAATGACACCTACTCAAATGCAAAACCTACCCTCTTGTTGGTTGCTTCGCCCCTCCAGCGATGACTTGTTTCATGATAATTCCCTTGAAACCTTGTATGTTTGTTACCGCTTATTGTATATTGATGGGTACCTTCTCTCTTCCGGTGACCATCATCCAGTGTTCCCCAAGCACCACCCATTTGTCTAAATTCCAAATCTTTTGGCTCTCTGCTATGGTTGTCCCACCGTTTCCAACCTCTCAATTCTCTATCTTTTGGAGTTTCACTGCCCTGTGTAAAGTTGCATTGCCAAGAATTCCCCAGCTCCTGCTTATTGCCCCTAGAAATATTATCAAAATTGCCCCATGCTTTGTTCTTTGCATGGCCTAAAACCTGATTGTTTTGCTTCCAAGGATTGGCACCACTATCCAAACCCTTTGACCGATTGACTTGGTTTCTCCAGTGGCTCCTTCCCCATAATTTCTCACTACAGTCTCCCCATTCGTTGCCCTTAGTAGCGTCATGTCCCTGAGGATAGCTGCACTCCCAGGGGTTATCATCATTATTTAAATTATTATTGCTCCACTCCTTCGACTGATTGGCATGGTATCCATTGTGGTTCCATCCCTGTAGTTTATCACCACCACCTCCCCTTGTGTTGGTCTTTGCAGCTTCATTTTCCTGAGCAGAGAAATGCTCCCAGGGATTATCATCATTATTCAGGTTACTTGGACTATTTGTACCAACATGCTGTTGGCTCCAGCTTTGTGCTTTGTCTTTCATTGCAACACCACTTTCTGTGTTTTTGTTACATGCCCAAGAACTTCTAACTTCATTTGGACTCCTGCTCCATCCTTCTGAAGGAACAGACATGAAGTTCCCAGTCTTTTCACTTTCAAGCTCTATTTTGTCCTGTTTTCCCTCTTCAGGAGCAAAAAAAGCTTGTTCTAAGTCCTTTATCAAGTCAGGATCAATATTGGGATCCCAGTTTATATCATCAACATACATATCTGGATCAGGCAGAGAGATTTCCCAACGGAGGCCATTGATCTCTGCCCAGAAGCGCCCTTTTGCTTTCTGAAATGCCTCTTCCCCAGCTGAATCATTCCAGTTGATTACACTACTATGGCAATACATAAACTTCTTACAATTCACAATCTTCTGCCATGGTACTGATCCAACCAAATCACAGAATCTCTTTTCCCATGAAGGCACACCATCTTCAACAAAACCTGTACAAAAGAGGTTATATCAGTTTAGAGCCTTGGTCAGACCTGTCATTCTTGATGATAAGAAAATTTCATGAAAAAGAAAGGACAGAGGAATCTTGCAAGTCATGTAGCTATGATTAGATAAAAACTCCTACAATTAACACACAAATTAACTATCTTCCAACACCAAACTTGATGGTATGATAGAGCATGAAAACACTCAAAAGCTCTACATAAAGAAGCTGACAATTCAAAATTCCTTACATAGCATTAACATCTTCAGGGGTTGTCTGAGGCCACTGCTCAGCACATTTCCATGACCCCTTCTCTAACTTTTGGATTAGTCCATAGGGGAAAATGAAAAGAAGCAAAAGCTAAAGTCAAAACCTCAGGCTGAAATGATACCTAGGAAAAAGCCATGTTCTCTCCAAATAGGAAACAAGAAAAAATTTCCTTGGCATATTACGAATTCCTTCTAATGAGCGTGTTTCAAGGACTAGTCTATTCTTCCTTCCTTGTACATCTAAAAATAAAAAATGTTTGTCAACCCACATATCTGATGTGCAACATTAGCATTTATTAAGAGCAACACCGAGCGCTTTATACAAACTGCCAAGCACACAGAAAACATTTTTCTTTTCAAATTTGAAACTTCTTGCACGTTATGTCATAGTGGATTTTTGTAATTTTACTTGCTAAATATTTGCACTCAAAACAAAACTAGAAACAAATTGTTACAATGCCACTGATGGATGCTTATTTGTGTTTAGGGATAAAAATTTGTAAATACTCACTGGACCTAAAAGGCATTTAAAGAAATTGCAATTCATTAGGTCTTTGCAATATTTTAGCATTTGTTGAACTGGATTAATAAGGAAATATACTTCCCCTTAGTGCCCAGCAAAATGTGGATCTTTCCCACTGTGAACTATGCCAAGAAGTATAGCTATAATATCCAAACAAAAAAAAAAAAGAAAAAAAAAAAAAAATATTACCTTCCCACTTTAGTTGCCCAGCCAAAAATGCTGGATCTGTTTCCCACTGTGAAACTATTGCCACAAAAGTTATAGCTATAATATCCAACAAAAAACAAAAAAAGAAACAAAAAAAAAAGACCCAGTACTCACATAAGAGCACGCTAAAGCTATTGCTATTCACACATTATGGAATCAATGAAAAAATATTTATTTTCCGACCTTATAGTTATAAAAAAAAAAAAAAAAAAAAAAAAAAAGACCCAGTACTCAAAAAGCACCTAAGCTATGCTATTTCACATATGGAATAATAAAATATTTATTTTCCGACTTATAGTTATAAACAGCTTCTTTGCAAGAAAAGTAGGGGAAAGTTTGCATACAAACATACTCCCGAAAGCCCACAAATGTGAGATGCTTCATGCATAGGTCACCCTTTTGTAGTTCTAGTTAATACCTGTACGATGTACTAGACTAAACCTCATCCTTATTTGGTAGTCTAACCGGCACTTTGGAAATACAAAAACCATTTGCTATGCTAGCATGTACTAAGCATAACTTGAGAGATACAAAGCCAAATTGCATTACATAGGGTTGTCTTATTGGTGCTTTCAATACCTTGGATTGGACGGTCATACATGCTAGCATTTCATGGAACTTCTTAATGTTGGTGATTCTCTATATACACACAAATTTCAAGTCTTTTCTGATTAGCAGTCAAACAGGGAATAAAAGAAGACAACTTAAAAGAAATTATAAAAATGAAAAGGAAATAAATCAACGAGCTAGACAAATATAAATAAACTCGAACTATAACACATCAACAAAAATTCATAAGCCAACAAATTTGCATAAAAAAAAACTTTCACCGATAACCACAGACATGAACACACCTGAATGGGGAGGAGGAGGATCTTCATGGTCGTAGTAAGAAGATGCTGGATCTTTATATTCCCGCTGGTAGAAGAATCTACGCGGTCGACGATTTCTCCACTTGCCCATTTCAATTTAGAGTCCAACAAACCTTCTCAATTAAACCTCACACCAATTTTACCATCTTCAGAATTTGGAAGGTCGAGTGAGACGGATGAATAGAACGAAGGTTCCTTGCTCTCTGCCTGATGTCAAGCTCTTTATGTAACAAAGCTTTCAATCTTCATAGACCAAAATGTAACATTTAGCAGTAGCAGTCAAATATCAAAATGGTTTTTGGTGGATAGTCATGGGCCTGAACTCAAATAGGTCTCAAATCACTTATAGCTCAAAGTTGGAAGCCCAGCCCAGACCTATACATAATCCCTGTCATTAAGGTCCACTCTGGCAAGCCCAATATGCTAGAGCACTGTAATTATAGTCATACAATTACAATGTATAGCCTCAACAGAAGAGAGTTTTTGGATCGACTTGCCTTAATTTTTCCAAGATTTAAGGTTATGCAAATTTTAACGTGTTTGAAGCAAATTTTCAAGCCCATTTTAAAAAAAGTTTTCTTTTTGTAATTTGGAAAAAGAGAATAAAAAAAGTATTGATGACAGTTTGAACCCATAAATTAAAATCTTTAAGTCAAGATCTAACAATGGTCAAATTCACTGTTTGCTTTAACAGAGAAGAACTTATATACTGAAGAAGGGAAAGAATTCTGCTGAGTTGTGGCAGATTCTTTTTCAGTTGCTTTGAATTTGATGTGGGGGCTGGATCTATACTCATAGCTCATAACCAATCAATTCCATTCCCACTTTTGCATGTGCTTGTAAGTTTCAAACAGTGCTCTATCAATTATGTGATGAAGAGTCAAAGGTTTAGTCCACTGCTTTGATGATTACCATTTTCTTATATATTTGGCAGCTAATCCCTTTTGCTTCTAATTAACTCTGAGCAGGTATCTAATTGAAGCTATAATTGCAAATGATAAGTTATAATCAAAAAAGGATTAATCTTTCATCAAATTGGTTGCAAAACAACATGGGTTATCACCTAAAACAACAAGAACCTAAAAATGGATGGCTTAGGGATAGAGAAGGAAGGATATATGCTCCAAAGGGAGAGGAGAAATTATCTTTTCTGTTCTTTTAGAAAAGAAGAGTAGAATTATGACAGGTCCGCTAATAGGGCCCTTTAACAGCTGTCTTTCCATATTGAAACCCAAGGCTGTTTTGTTTCTTCTGCACATTCCCACTCAGCTATGGCAATTGCTGCCCCTCAATAATACCACCTTTCTCTGTGTTTGTGTCTGTGCAGGCGTGTGCTTATTTAACAGTCTGCTTGTACTTGTTATCTTTCAAGGAAATTGCTCCATTTCTTTCTAGTAAAGAAAAAATCTTTTATTGACTTCAAATAATCTTCTGTTGTGGCTAATGGACACAGTCATTAAGTTTATATGCAAATCTTCAAAGAAGACGTTGGCTTTTAGTAATGACTAATACAGATTGTTGTTAGAAAACCAATCTTGTCATTTACAGCGAAGATAATACAGTCAGTAGATGTTATGTATAGTAGGTGCCCTTCCAAGTTATTGCAAATGCTTGCAGGAGTGAGATTGGGGAAAAGGGTAATTGAATAATTTCAACCCCAACAGACAATTGAAGATGTCTGTTATAGATTTATAGTTGGAAAAGGATGGGGAGGTCCCATGAAGCTTAAAAAGACTTCTCTCATAATTCATTACAGAGGCTCCCTCCATCTCCATTAGTGCAATATCGTTCTACCTTTTCCTAAATAGTGCTTCAATAAAGGCCCACATCTATGAACAGATCAAACTCATCATTTAAAATATGCATTATTGCATAAATATTCAGACATACCCATCAGGCGTCAAGATTCTCGTAAACTCCTGAATTTACTTTACTTTTTGGTGTTTGTGATTTCCGTTGCTCGAGGAAAAAAAGGCTCCATCTTGTAGAGTTCTTTTACTATCACATTTCTTTGGCTTTTGGTGTAGTAAACAATAGTTTGATCTGAATTTTAGGCAATCTTTCTCAGTTTCAGAAAACTAGTACTCTAAGTTCCCAAGAAGAATACATATTTCTTGAAGCAGTTGTTCTTGTTTTATTCACTAAATCACAGGATTTCAGGAGATGAGTAAGCAATTTTAGTTTATTTTGTCCACATTCTGCATAGGATTTAGCATTTTGAGTACTATTTTAATTATTTCTCCGCAAGTAGCTTAAAAGAATTTTTAAATTAATTTGCCATGTGAATATCTTTGTTAAAATATTTCTTGCACCAATCAGCTTCAGAAAAGGTATTCTTGCAGTCTCTCCGCAGAATGCATGTCCTGCTTTAGCTTCCTTACCTCACAAACACACACCAAAATAGCAAATTAGCTACAGATTTCAAAGATTTTAAAACATCTTTTTGTTGTGTGTAATGTGTAGTGAATTACAACTAGTAATGGTGCTTCAATGGCTAAGAAGAGGAACTGGTTCAATCTAGTGAGAAAGTTTTTCATTTCAGACACACCTGCAAAGCAAGAAAAGGTAATACATGAACACACAGTTCCTCTTTTTGTAATTGTATGTATTGATTGAATTGTATTAACTTAAAATGATATAAGCATTATCAGAAGGACAAAAGAAGAAAATGGGTTTTATTTGGAAGGGTGAAGGTGAAAAGCAGATTACCCTCACTCTCAGCACCATCACCACCAAGAGACATAGAAGGAGAAAGAACAAGACTGAGTGAAGCAGAGGAAGAGCAGAGCAAGCTTGCTTTAAATGTTGCACTTGCCACTACTGCTGCTGCTGCTGAGGTTGTTTTCCTAACTGGTGTGCGCAACTCTACCCATCAATTTGACAAACAAAGAGAAGAAAAGAATTCACCCATCAAAATACTCTCTAGTACTCATCAATATGAGAAGGAGATCAAAGAAATTTCAGCCATTAAAATTCAAGCTGCCTTTCGGGGTTATCTTGTGAGTTTCATTATCGAGTTAGATTTATTCTTATTTTTGTAAGATTTATCAATTTCTTGCCATTTGCATAAGGTTGGATTACTGAATTTCTATAAAGAACACATTTTGATGAAATATATAGGAATGGATTTTGAAGAAAACACCTGAGATGATTATTCATTGGTTTATAATAATGAAATTTAGTCCCAGGAATCTCAACCCTGAGTTTGGATTTCAAAGAACCTGACAAAAGACTGCAGAATCTAAATTGTATTGTGTCCTTGAAATGATGGTAAGTATATTTGGGAGCATTGCAGGCCAGGAAAGCTCTGCGAGCACTCAAAGGGATAGTGAAGCTTCAAGCTATTATTCGAGGGCGAAATGTGAGACGCCAGGCTATCAAGACTCTGAAATGCTTGCAATCCATTGTAAATATACAGTCACAAATCTGTTGCTATGATGAAAATAAACAATTGCAAAATTTGAGTGATAAGATAATAAAGGTAGGTATAAACCATTGAAGATGCTTGCTTGTTTGTTTGTTTTGTTTTTGTTTCTTCAATATTTCAGAAACTCAAATAAACTGGAAACTTGCTTATAACCAAATCTCAGATGGACACTAACAGTCAAAGAAGATGGGATGGAAGCATTTTGACAAAGGAGGAAGCAGAAGCATTGTTTCTTAGCAAGAAAGAGGCTGCAATGAAGAGAGAAAGGATAAAAGAATACTCCTTTAATCACCGCGTAAGTTTTTTCCGACAACATTCTTTCATTTCAAGATTTAGCTTTTCCTAGAGAATCAGTGGAACTGAAAATTTTGAAAAAATTTGCAGAATTCAGCAGAAACTGAGAGGAACAAGAGCAATGGGAGTTGGAGATATTGGCTAGAGAACTGGGTAGATACTCAAGTTACTAAAAGTAACGAGCTAGAAGATTTGGATACAATTATAACTTCAACACCAAAGCCAAGAGTAGAATACAATTATAAAGGGAAAAAACTGAGATTGAGAGGTTTACAAAAACAGTATAACGTAGAAGGAACAGAGTCTCCAACCGCAGCAGCTCCAAGAAGATCATTTCACAGAAGGCAGTGCTCGCTAGGGGAAGAAAATCCCTTCTCAACGTCACCTGTGATTCCAACTTACATGGCTGCAACCGAATCTGCAAAGGCAAAAGCAAGATCAATGAGCTCACCGAAGCTAAGGCCAGGAACCTGTGATGCATATTCTGATAGCTATTCCCCATGTAAGAATAGGATATCATCCATTGCTACAAATGGAAATGGTAGATTTGGAAGGTCAAGTGGTTACCAGCAGCAAAGGTCTCCAAGCTTGAAGGGGCTTCCAGGTCCTGTCAAATCTAACACACCTTTCAAAGATCTGAGCTTTGATTCTGAATGCTCTTTCAGGACTTGGAATCAAAAAACTGCTCTTCAATTTTAGTTTATTTAGTTTGTAATTACAGAATAATAATAATAATAAGATGATGAATTAGCGGGAAAATGGTTTGTGACTACTGAATTGATTACCGAAGCTCAATACGTAGCTACCTGAAATTTAGCTCAATGGGCTTAGAAGGCAAGCCCTACCTAGTCATTAGAACCCAAGATTAAGACAAGGCCCTTATTCAATAAATTATTATTACATCCTTTGAAAAAGAAAAAATTTAAATTAATGGATCTAATCTATCCCAAATGAGAATATGAAATTTTCAATTACAAGCTAGATTGATATTGTAATAAACGTTGAAAAGGTGTAGATGATTAAAGTAGCCAGTTCCACTAAGTAAAGGGTCACCAACGTTAGTAAATGGACTTGGGCCTAACCACTATAAAATGTGGATTTCTAAAATGAAGTCATCCACGGCCGACAAAAAAATTGACACGTGATGGCTCGAGAATAGTCAAGCAAAACAACGTTATGTACTTGCTACTTTGAATGAAAAGTCATTCAAAAGCAAAGGAAGGTCCATCTCCATCCACCTAGATAGATACTATTTAGAGTTTTAGAACAATCTTCTTGAATTTGTGACTTGTGGGAGTCATTTTCTGTTGTAATTAAGTTATATTGCTTTGGAAAATGACATTTGTAAAAAAAAAAAAAAAAAAAAAAAAAAAAAAAAAAAAATATTGGCTTGGGAAAAATGACTAATTGTAAAAAAAAAAAAAAAAAAAAAAAAAAAAAAAAAAAAAAGAATAGTACCAATTCAAATGCTTTGGATTGAATGTCCTTCTTTTTGAAAAAAAAAAAAAAAAAAAAAAAAAAAAAAAAAAAAAGAATAGTACTCAATTCAAATGCTTGGATTGAATGCCTTCTTTTTGTTTCATTGCTTAAAAATCTTTTCATGCATGATTGACCATGTTTATGTCAAGTCCAAATCATCTATTTCTTTTGTTATTGTTGAAATGTTCAATGGATGTAGAAAACATATGAAGACTCAAAAGATTTATTAAATTATGAGTTTTGAAGTTCAAATAAGACTGAGGCACTCAATTATTGCTATTATGAAGAAATAGTAAAAGTTGGTTTTGGAGTTATTAGTTGAATAAATCGATCAAAGATATTATCATGTCTTTGTTTACTTGTCCTAATAGTAAAAGTTTCTTTTTCTTTTCTTTTTTTTTTTTTTCAAATTTGAAAAACTGAAAATGGATTTAGACGTGATTATCTGTAGTACATTAAAACATAATCTAACGGTAACTGCATTAAGCTAAATACTAATAGTTCAAAGTAGTAAGAGTATTTTTTTTTTTTTTTTCTTCTTCAGCTTTGAGGAAGCATTGGCTAAAATAATAAAAACAAATAAAAGTGATGACAAGAAGAAAAGATTGATAGATTGAACAATCACAATATAAAATGCAAACGAACAAAACCCTCTCTAGCAAGTAGCTACCTTTGCTAATTAATGGCTATGGTGGTAATTAAGCCCTACCTAAGAAATATAAACAACAAGAACACGATCATTCAGAAGATCAAGTGCAGTGATAGTGGAGGATGGTGTGGTCAAATTAATCAATCCTCCATCAGTACAAATGAATTCGTATGTATGTTTCTTTAACTGGGTGGGTTAAATTTGAAAAACGACAAATGGGCATTCCAGGGGAAAAGACAAGGAGACATTGATTAAAGTGGAATAAAAAGTGGTTTAGGGAACAAGATAAGTATGGTAATTTGTAATTAGCATTGAATAAAGTTATTGCTTGCTTCAATCAATAAGCAAACTAATAAAGAAAGTTGTTTTGGATGGGTTAATCTGTTAAAGTAGTTGATGAATGAATTAAAGAAAGAAAGAAATTTTTTTTAATTTAAATGACGTGGAAGGTAATATTGGTGATTTGGTCTAATACCTATCGCACCTTTGGGTAGTGTCAGCTCACCTACTTGCCGCAAAATGATTGGATAGTTTAAAATCGCAGACTGGCCAATCGAAATGAAGCAGAAGGTGTTTACATGTCAAGTGGTGGATCAATGAAAGTCGACCATACAAAGTGGGATGGGAGCCACAGCCAGCCGCCCTCTTCATTTCTTTCGTGACAAAACCTGCACAAGCACAATTGCTAAATTATAATCCCCAATTCTAATGCACGCCACAACTGAATCATCGCAATAATAACAACAAAAACAAAAACAGATTGATGCTTTTCCACTATATATTTGTATATTTTACAATATGGGATTTTACCTTACAATCATTACTCTACTAATTGTGTCTTCATTTTCTTTTTTAATGGTCGGTTTAGTTAAAGATTAACTTTTAAAAAAAAGAAAAAAAGAGAAACAGTTCACATTCTAGAACTTCTAATTTCAATACTATTTATGATATTATAATCCTAAATATGTAGTCCTTATAAGGACACATGGTTTAGGACAAAAGAATGAAGAATTTCGTATAAATATATATGTATAAAGAAGAAACATACTAGTCAAACTCAAAATCCACTCCGTGGGAATTGAGAAGCATGAGTTAGTGCGTGTTTTATTTTTTTCTTGTGTTTTTTTCCATGCAGTCATTGTCATCTTGTTTTCTTCCTCGTATCATTGTTGTCGTGTCATTTTCTATTACACATTAACTTCTCACTTCTCAGTTGTTCGTTTGCTTTAACTAAACAACTACTTCTAACTAGCAGCCAAAAAGAGTGACCGTGGGACTCTCTTACCCATTTGTTCTTTAGATGACCCAAGGCCACATAATCTAGTTACCCAAAAATATAGTATCCCAAGTTGAGTAATAGATGACATAAATATAGACCAAACTTAGAAATTAAACTTCCATTTTTCCTATTTAAGACATTTGCTACTGTTGAACCCAAAATAAATAAGACACCAAGGGAAGTGAAAGATGCTTGCTTGCTTGCTTCCCTTTGGAAGTGCAAATCTCCCATGCACTGCAACTTGTTACAAAAGGTTAAAATGACACTAATTGCATTCTTGAAACATATAAACATGAGAATCATGGAGATTTGTCCAATTGCTGGGAACTAAGGCTTCAAAGACCAGATTGGCGGAAGACGAGTCTTTCAATGCTTCCTCCAAGCTGTCACCTCTATCTCCATTTCTTCACCATTTTTACCCCCCCTTCACAAGGGTCCCAACATAGCCAATCATAATCCTTCCCCGCCTCATAAAAGCACACAGCCATTTGAATATCACATGTCCTGTGGACCCATCAATACCCCACCTGGTCATTACTCTGTGTCAAACAAATCGAAAGAGTGGCCCCAAAAGTCACTCTCATCTGATCTCAGTGCAGATATGCAATGCTCACGTTCCGACAGCTATACATTCAACAAGAACATAATTTATCATCATTTAAGTGTGCGTGACTCAAGTATGGACATACCTGTCATTTAAGGCAGATAGATACTTCTTCTGCCAATGCCATCCGCTTTTCTAAATATAGGAGGAGTATCCTTAACATAGCTGAGGATAAAAACTTTCCAGACATGTTTATCTTTGGCTGTGAATGCGGGATTGTGGTTGCAACTGTGTCATAAAGTTCAAGATTCGTGAAATCTTTCTTTCTTGCCACTTTTCCTATTCAACAATTGGCACGTATAAGATGGTTTCCCCTTCTTATAAATAATAACCCAAGAAAAAAAGAATCAAAAGGTAAAATCCTAAAACTCTTCCATTACACCACCCACTCAAGTAGGCAGTCTTCATACGGATTCTCACAACTGAATATTGGTCGCCTCAGCCACCCAATTCTTCACCTTTAAATTCTTTCCTCGACCTTTCATTTTCTTGCTCTTCCACAACTCCCCCTTTGCTTTTGCTCACAAAGAAACAATAGATACCTGCTTAAACCACTTTTTTCTCTCAACTCCCTTCAACTTTTCCTACCGAAAGATGAGATATTGTCGTCCCATTAGCTTCCATAAAGAAAATAATATGCTTTTTATAAAAAGCTTCATGGTTTTGTTCTTAAGCTGCATGACTATTAGACTAAACTTGTGTTTTTCCAGCTACCATTCTTCATTGAAAACGCTTTCTGTTGATGGGCATTTTACCTTCGATGATTTGCACCATGCAGCCAAGGACTTTGGCAATAGGTTTCAGTTGCTACCTCTTGCAGTACTGCATCCAAGGTCAGTTTCTGACATTGCCAATACAATAAAACATATTTGGCAGTTAGGTCCTCATTCACAGCTCACAGTTGCAGCTAGAGGCCATGGGCACTCACTCCAGGGTCAGGCACAAGCCCACCAAGGAGTTGTCATCAATATGGAATCTCTCCAGGGCCCTAAAATGCAAATTCACGCTGGAAAGTATCCATATATCGATGTCTCTGGAGGCGAGTTGTGGATAAATATCCTGCATGAAAGCGTGAAATATGGATTAGCACCAAAATCATGGACAGACTACCTACATTTAACTGTTGGTGGTACTTTGTCCAATGCAGGGATTAGTGGGCAAGCATTTCGGCATGGTCCTCAAATAAGTAACGTTTATCAGCTGGAAGTTGTAACAGGTAAAATTAAAGCAAACTGTAGGCACACCAAGTAGTGATAATTTGCCTCATAAGTAGTGGAAACAAGATCGAGTGAATAAACATTCATGATATTGGCAGGTTTCTTACTCATGCACGCTGCTTAGACCTTCATTCCATGAGAATAGTTTTCTACCATTGACCATAATTTGATTCACTCCATAGTTTTTATATATATAACATATGTCACATACGTACATCAATATATAAACACATGAATACTGTGCATCACATAAATTCTGACATAGAATAGATTGAAACTGTGTGCAGGGAAAGGAGAAGTAGTGAACTGCTCAGAGAAGCAGAACGGTGACCTATTCCACGGTGTTCTTGGAGGACTTGGGCAGTTTGGCATCATAACAAGGGCTCAAATATCACTGGAACCAGCACCTGACAAGGTAAAAAAAGCATGGCCTTTTGGAGTATCAATAAATTTGAACAGGAATAACAGCTCTAAGTTATGGTGGAAAGTTTTGCTTCTAATAACAGAATTCTGCATTTGAAATAGGTGAAATGGATTAGAGTTCTCTACTCAGACTTCGCCACATTTGCCAGTGACCAGGAGCACTTAATATCTGCAGAAATCACATTTGACTATATTGAAGGATTTGTGATAATTAACAGGACTGGTCTTTTGAATAACTGGAGGTCATCCTTTAATCCTCAAGACCCAGTCCAAGCTAGCCAGTTTGAGTCAGATGGAAGAACTCTATTTTGTTTAGAATTGGCAAAATACTTCAACACAGACAAGACAGATGTAATGAATGAGGTCAGAAGCAATGACCCACCATTTGGTGGTTTTCCTAAATTGTTTAGCAAAATTGATTAATAAATTATGGGTACATAAAATATAAATATATAAGCAATGACCCACCCATTTGGTGGTTTCCTAAATTGTTAGGCAAAAATTGATAATAATTAAAGGGTACATAAAATATAAATATATAGTATATACTATAATATATATATATATATATTATATATATATATATAATATATATATATATATATATAAATAAATCGCACTTACTTTATACATTATACCATGCAGGAAGTGAAGTTGTTGTTGTCTCAATTAAGATATATCCCATCAACACTTTTTCTATCAGAAGTTCCATACGTAGAATTCTTGGACAGGGTTCATGTTTCTGAGGTCAAACTACGATCCAAAGGCTTGTGGGAAGTTCCGCATCCATGGCTAAATCTTCTTGTACCCAAAAGCAAAATTCACAATTTCGCTGAAGAAGTCTTTGGCAATATCCTCACAGACACCAGCAATGGCCCCATCCTAATCTACCCAGTTAACAAATCAAAGTAACAATTCAACAAAGATAATTTTATTTCCGTAAATTCTATTAGTTTTTCTTGACTGATTATTTTATTTATTATTATTTCAGGTGGGACAACAGAACTTCAGCTGTTATTCCAGAAGAAGATATTTTCTACTTAGTGGCATTCCTTTCCTCTGCTGTTCCCTCTTCCACAGGAACGGATGGCTTAGAACATATCCTAACTCAGAACAGACGAATTCTAGAATTTTGTGGCACTGCACATCTTGGTGTCAAGCAATATCTACCCCATTACACTAAACATGAAGACTGGCAAGCTCACTTTGGCCCACAGTGGGAAATTTTTGTGCGAAGGAAATCTACTTATGACCCTTTGGCAATACTTGCACCTGGACAAAGAATATTTCAAAAGGCAATATCTTTCTCATGACATTGGTGACATTTTTATATAAAAAAGAGCCCTCACAGCACGTGGAAAGAGGCTTAACCTCTGTGTAAATAGATAACTATCAAATCTTCCTATTTAGTAATATACTGCAAGTGCAACAGGAAAGCTGCAGGAGCTAGTTGAATTGTTTCCCAAAAAGGTCAAATATTTCTGATATATAAAGTATTAATTATCAAAAACGGCACTTGAAGAGTGATAACACTGTAAAGAATGTGTATTGTGATTTCATAAACTAAGTGTTGATTATTCTCCATAATAAATCTGAATATTTACAGATTATATTTCCTGCATAATGATTTCACAAAACACACAGAGGGCCAGTTCCATGATTCCAAAAAAAAAAAAAAAAAAAAAAACAAAAACAATTCAGAGGGCCAGTTTCATCCAAAAAATAAAATAAAAAAAAAAATAAAAATTTCCAAAAGTGAATTCAGTAAATCTGAAAAAGTTTAAAGAGGAACAAATAATAGTTATAACAAGAAAAAAAAAAAAAAAAAAAAAAATTCCAAAGTGAACAGAAATCTTGAAAAGTAAAGAGGACAAATAATAGTTATAAACAGTATATCCAAGTAAAATACTAAATTTATCATGGACATACTTCAGACCCAATAAGGAATGTTACTAGTTACAATCCACACACTTTTCAGAATGACGCCAAAAAACAACATGAAACTATTGTATAGCTACTTCCATGATTGCACGAAACAATACATCACATAGTACTTTCAGATTCATTCACAATTAGTAAAAGCAGAAGCATCAAATACCACCTCTTACAACTTTATCTCAAAAAGCTTACAATAGCAACATCAGTGAAGGCACTGAAATCTATCAGCGCGAACACCAACTCTCCTCAAACAAAGCACACCCAACATTGAAATGACAATGAAGCATTCTAGCTACCTTCGTTGCTCTGTGCTAATACCTTCTTTATTTAAAGCATTCTCCTCATTTTTGCTCTCTTTAATTTTATCAGGTTCAGTGAGTCCAATAGCAAAACGTCCAAATTGAGTATATTAAGGAAGAAAACACAATCAAAAACATCTAGATCAAAGAGTTTCCACTTGACTGTCATTTTGTGGGTATGATCACAAGTGAGATATCAGGAAAAAGGAATTGTAGATTTTTGGCCAGTGACACTATTTATAGTCATCAACCTCAATAAATTTGGCAGCCAGGCATAAAATAGTTTGTCATAATATTGAAGAACGCTAATCCTTAGATTAAAACATTACAATATATTCTTTCATAAAAGAGAGGGAAATTGAACATGTAAGTGAAAGAACCATGGTGTAATATGCAAAGGACCTCGTTTACATGTACAAGCTCTTTAACTTTCTAGGAATCAGTAGGTTCGTATTTTAAGAGGCTACTAAGCATATGTGACATGATCCTCATATCCCTGCTTTATCAATGAACAATAATTAATGAACTGGGTCCTACAATTTCATTCTACATTCATCCATGTCAGCCAAAAAGAAAAATTAACTCTAAAAGCAGCAATATTTTGTTGTGTAAGAGATTCTGGAGCATCTGTATGTCAGAAGTATTGCACTTTCAGTGGTTCACACAGTTCGTACTTTGTAAACACTGTACTACATGTTCTCAAGCAAAGTCATACCACAGGCAAAGCAACTTCCACTTTTCATCAGTTAACAGATACCCACCATTGTTTCTTGGAACCATTCACCTAGCACGGGCACTGGAAAGACCAAGTTTGGTACAGCATAAAGTAACACTTCCATTTTCCATTAAACACTAAAGAGACATATGGTATAGAATATTCACATGAAAAGGAATTGAACTCCAACAGAGTACAAGCAGTAGAGTTGACAAATCAAATAAGCACTCAAAACATTAATCCCACCAGCAAACTCACACTACCATCTAACCAGGAGCAAAATATCCAGATGAAAATCAACAATTTGATGATCTTGAAAGTAAATTCAGAACTTTCCAGTGCAAACAAAATTTCGAAGATCTACCTGGTAGCGTATCATCTCCTACTTTCCTTGCTTGAAGAAATTGTTGCGCTGGTGTTGCTTTTTTGGTACAAATAACATATTCTGCTAGTATCAAAAGCACTCAAAAGGTTGTTTGCTGACAAAAAAAAAAAAAGTATCCTAACAAATCTTTATCTATGCAAAATTGACCAACAAGGTGATAACTATGGAAAAAATTACATGATGAATGCAAGACACAAGAATGACTCTGCCTTTATGACATCCCTCTGAACCCAAGAATTGAGGTCAACTGGGAAGGAGTGCCCCATGAAGGAGATGTTGTAGTACAGTGGTCAATGGAATACGTGGCCAGAGTCCGTGCCTTTTTTTTATTTTTCTTTTCTGAAGTTACCGTAAGAGTATTGTTTGGTCCACACTCTGATGATAAGAAATAAAGCATTTAGTGTAATAAATTTGCTCATCTGAGATCCAATCCAAGGCACAAAGCACAAGCTAAATAACTGAAATGACCTTCCTTGCTGTTGAAGCCTGAGTCTCATCCTTTGTGGTGTAACAGTCAAGTACTCCTCAAAAGCAACTTGCACTTAGTAATACAAAATAAATTCAGAATATACAAACAGAAGCATCAGATATAAGTTAGGAAAGGTCAGATCAATTTTCTTTTCTTCATTCTTTAGGTCAATGGAAGATATATTTGGCTAAATAATCTGGTTTTGATGGAGTTGAATCACCATCATCATTGCACAACTCCACACAACTTAACCTCAGACTGAAACTAGTTAATGTGAAGTTATATACAAATCCTTTTTCCTCTATTAAGCTTTTTTAGGGTAAATATATCTTTTACTAAGTGTTGCTATAGCAAAAAATTATTTTCCGCTTCAATTCACATAATTTTTGGTCTACACCTTTTTTCACAACCTACTACATGAGCTCATTATCAGGGGAAAAAAACTATTAGATGAGCTTAGTCGCTTCTGTGCACCAATGTATAACTGAATAAATAGATTCACATAGTACATAAATCATCTTAGTCTAGCTCCAATTTATTGTCAAAAAGTCCCATCTTCACCTTCTCAGGCATGAAATCATGCAATCATCTTGATTGCTCCAGTTCATACATCAGCCTAGCAAAATAAACAAATTCAAAAGCTCTAGTAGGTATATAAAAGATAAGTCATTCAAGACAGGATGCATGCAGCTTTATAGTATGAAAAAGACAGCTTAAAGTAGACTACGACTTATTCCAAATTTAAGAAGAAAACATGAGGCAACAATTAGAGAGAAAAAAATTAAAAAGAAAAAAATTGATCCATGCCACAAACAATGGCCCAGGAATATAAGTAGTTCTAGATTATTGTTAGAAGATGTAATTATCTCTGTCAAAGTAAACTTTAGAAAAATGTCAATGAACAAGAAGAGAAGTTGCTGCAACATATTACTAACTTTAAGGTCAAAGTCACTACTCACTACTAGTATTGGGACTTGGAAGCAAATGCACAGTTCATCAATCCTAATTTTCCTACAAGATTCACAAGAGAGTTCCTCTTTTCCCCTGTTCTCAGAGTAAAAGTTTGCAAGAGTGAATTTGCTCCCAGGGAAGTGTTGTGTACAATCTACAATAGATTATAAGATGTTATTAGTTTTGAAATTTAAGGAATACACGTTTTAGCTCCCACTTCTCAATGCTGTTCATTGATCTCATGAACCAAGACACAACTCCGCTAGCGATGATCTTAATAGAATCTGAAAACCCTTTACCCAGGATATCTGGCAACACATAACAGAAGCTATTGTTCTCTATTTTTCTTTCTGACAAACTCAAGTATAAAACTTGACAGTTGACTAATGCAAAGCAAGAATAAAGGATGACCATTCAACAGTTGGATTGGCTGAAGCAATGACTTGCAATAACAATATCCTCAACAACAAATGCCAGTTGGGATCCATTTGCATAAAAAGTTACCATGTTGCTCTTAAGATATAGTTCATACATATTATTTGGGATAATGACTGAAATATGCTACACAGCTGAAGAAGAAAATGCATCAACTTCTTTCACTTTGCTTTCTCAATGGTTTAGGCTAAATTCTTATCGAAAATATAGGCAACAGAACATAAACATAGAATCGTGTAAGGTATAAGACCATAAAAATAAACACAAACCGCTCTGATCGATACATAAAGAAGAAACTGTTACCGGAGATAAAAGAGAACTAAATACAATTCCATTCACTCTTGCTGGAGGAAGAGGAAGTGGAAGAACAAGTGCAACTCAAGCCTAAGTCTTTGTTGCAAGACCCTACAGAGCGCGCGAAGTTGCAGACACTCTGATCGTTAGGCTGTGTTCCCGCAATAGGAACAAGAGCATAATCGGAAATCAATTGGGCTATTGTACTGTAGGTTACACCAATCACAGTGGATTCGCCAAGTGAAGGAGGTGGTTACTTGTTATGGATTTTTAACAGAAGACGTCGCCCACAGGCCCAGCCCAGCTAGAGTTGTTCAGTTTACCAAAAAACGACGTCGTTACCAGTATCTTTTATTTTTCTTGCTGGAAATGATTAGTCTTCCAAATAATTAACAGCCTTTGCCACATGGCATGATCGTAGAGCCAAACCTTTGCTAATGGCGCTGTGATTGGCGACACGTCAGCTATGTCTCTAACTTTCTGACGCCATCTTCTTCTTCGTTCTCTGACGAACTATGACATGGACACGGTTCCTTTCGCTTTATTCTGAGCAACTATCCATTTCAAAGGCGTTCCATTTCTTCAAGTACCCAGTTAAGTTTGCGTGAATTGGCATGTGGAATGAGCAGAAGCAAACACAAAACTAAAATCGGTGTTACCGCTTTGAGGAAGCCGACAAGTGAAGTTGTTTCGCTGTTCCTTCTTCGTGTCTCCTTTTTCAACTGTTAAGTATATGCAGTTCTCGCCAATATCTTGACCGGGTTGTCGGTGAGCCGCTGATGGGATTGAGTATCTTGAAAAACTCGAGTCAGAATATTCATTCTAGATCGATGCTCTAGAATTTCTGATTTCTGGGTCAATGGTTGCTGACAGTGATTGTGTTTGCCAACAAAATCTAGCTGTTGTTATGCTCGATTGTTGATTTGCTGACCTAAGCTATTACTTTTGTTCGAGGGATATAGCCTATATAAATATTTAAATCGGCTTGTGGCAAAATCCATAGAAATCGATCAAAACTTGATTTTTACCTTTAGAGACATACATTCAATATTGTCTGTGGAGCATCGGGTATATCGCCAAGAAAGTTTGTTGCTTTGGTATTGGTTATACGTTTTGTAGACGTTTCTTGCCTAGAGTAATTGAGTGGAGAAAATGGTAGAAAATACTGAAGCATCGAATCAAACTGTGTATTCAAATGGGTCGATTCAGAATCAAACCTTAAACGGTCCTCTAGAAGAGAAACTCGATCAGCTTCGGCGTCTTATGGGCAAAGCAGAAGGTGATCCTTTAAGGATTGTCGGCATTGGCGCAGGTGCTTGGGGTAGCGTGTTTACTGCTTTGTTGCAAGATAGTTATGGTCACCTAAGACATAAGGCTTTGATAAGGATATGGAGAAGGCCTGGCAGATCAGTTGATAGGGCCACAGCTGAGCATTTATTTGAAGTGATCAATTCAAGGGAAGATGTACTAAGGAGATTGATTAGGCGTTGTGCCTACTTAAAGTATGTCGAAGCAAGATTAGGTGATAGGACTTTGTATGCAGATGAGATTTTGAAAGATGGCTTTTGCTTAAATATGATTGATACTCCTCTTTGCCCTTTGAAGGTTGTGACCAATTTGCAGGAGGCTGTGTGGGATGCTGATATTGTCATTAACGGGCTGCCCTCAACTGAAACCCTTGAAGTGTTTGAAGAAATTAGTAGGTATTGGAAGGAGAGAATTACTGTACCTGTCATCATCTCTTTGGCAAAGGGTGTAGAGGCTGAGTTGGAGCCTGAACCACGCGTAATAACTCCCACTCAAATGATCAATCGAGCAAGTAAAACTGCATTTCTTAGAATACTTTTTCCTATCAATTCTGTGATTTTTCTTTTCTTTAATTCAATCTTACTCACATCTTAGTTGATCATGTTGTGCTTTGCAGCTGGAATTCCAATGGAGAACATCCTCTATCTTGGAGGACCTAACATTGCCTCAGAGATATACAATAAGGAATATGCCAATGCCCGAATATGTGGCGCAGAAAAATGGAGGAAACCTTTGGCAATGTTTTTAAGGCAGCCCCACTTTATAGTGTGGGATAATGGTGATCTTGTTACTCATGAACTCATGGGTGGCTTAAAAAATGTCTATGCCATTGGAGCTGGTATGCTTCACTTTCTTAATAATGATGTTATTCAGTTATATGCTTGAGCTTGGCGCTGCATTAGAGAGTAAAATTGGGTTGAACCTAGACAAGGTGGTTATTGTATTTGAAGTTGAATCCTGTCTGACTCATAAGCAGCTTTTTTAATTTAATGGCGCTCTTAAGTTTTCAGGAAGCGCAACATGCATTCTTGATATGGAAGAATGTTAGAATGCATATTATGCATTCTTATAGTGGTGCATGGGGAAAATGCATAGGACTTGTCAATCCAAAAACTTTTTTTGTCTGGTATTTGATTGGTTACCTTATTCAAGTGTGACAATTAGAACACTCATCTTGTAATACTTGAAAATATAGCTAGGTCCTGAGAAATAAGGTTTGTGTTCAAACAAATCCTTTGTTTGTTATTTGTGTTAACATATAGACTTTAGATCCAACAGAAATGAAATGTTAATTGTAAGTACGTGTGTTGCATTAGGGCATCCACCCATCTGTCAAGTCTATCCACTCTGTAAATGTTAAGATACAGAGACAGGCTAAACTTACCTAGCTGTTCTTTTATGCCATGGTTGAGATATCGAACTATTTTCAGTTTCTTTTGCCCCCTCCTTTTTCCCAAATGATAATGAATCTCAGTTCTTAATGTGATAGGATATGGAAATACTTTTTGGTGACTGCTGTAAACTTACACTCTTCGTTTCTACCATATTTTATGGTGTATTTGTATCCTGTTGAGGATAAAGCAGTAGCAGTCAGTGTTCCTGATATTTCTCGTCGGTGATACTGGTTTTCATATCTGTCGAAGTGTCTATCCTGTACTTGTTTGAATCATATGGAATTGTTTTATCATTGCAATTATGAAGTTTGCATAGCACTTGGTCCCTTTTTTGCATTATCTGAGAGGATTCAGTTGCTTATATTCCCATTTATTCACTTCATGAAAAGAATAATTGATAGTTCTGTCTCTAGAGAAGTTATAAAACGTGCCATTGATTGAGTGCCTAAATTTTTGCTGTTGATATGTAACGTGCTGTGTGTATGTAGCTTTTTTGCTTTTGTTTGAAATTTGTGTCTATTATAGGAAAATCTTTATTAGGTTGATACTATCTTGAAGAATGATTTAGTTTCATATTTTTTGTGTTTCAACTTTCAATTATGAAATTGCAGGAATGGTAGCCGCTCTTACCAACGAGAGTGCAACCAGTAAATCAGTGTACTTTGCACATTGTACATCAGAGATGATATTTATCACACATTTGTTGGCAGAAGAACCTGAGAAACTTGCCGGTCCCCTATTGGCTGATACTTACGTTACCTTGTTGAAAGGTCGTAATGCATGGTACGGTCAGCACTTGGCCAAAGGAGACTTGAACCTTGATATGGGCGATAGCATTAAGGGCAAGGGGATGATTCAGGTATTAATCATTGCTAGTCATAGACATGGTGAATAAAAATGCTAAAGTCTGTTGCAGTGAGAGAGGTCTGGTTAATGATGTGGGTTTCTATTTGTTCTGTTTAAGTCTATGTATCATATGTGAGATACTTGGTCCACCTTTTGCTTTGCAGGGTGTATCTGCTGTGAAAGCCTTCTATGAACTGCTAAGTCAATCCTGCTTAAGTGTTCTACATCCTGAAGAAAACAAGCCTGTGGCTCCAGTTGAAATTTGTCCCATATTGAAGATGCTATATAGAATACTCATAACAAGGTAATCTTGGACTCATTCTATATATAGAGTACATGCAACTCAAGCATAGTGCATGAAGTAAAGTTGAACCAGGAATCTCTATCCTGTTTCCATTTATCTGAATTCATATTGTTAGAGACAGTGCAGAATCAAATTATGATGCTTTCCGTTTGGTCTGAATATTCAGGGAGTTCTCGGCACAAGCCATTCTGCAAGCATTAAGGGATGAAACAATGAATGACCCTAGAGATCGCATTGAGATTGCACAAAGCCATGTTTTCTACAGACCTTCACTTTTGGGACAGGAGCCTTGATGGCATACCTCCTGCTGTCTATCTTTTGCGTGTACTGTTGCCGCTTGTAGTTTAAACTATTTTAGGTTTGGTATCTAAATTATTAGGAGAAAAGGGTTAGGATTCCATAATTTGTTGAGTTTACAACAAAAATCAAATCTAAAGCAATTTATTTATTTTTTTTGTTTAACTATGATTTGAGAAATTCATCTTACAGTTTTTATACCAAACAGGAAGCAATGTATTTTGAGTCTGATGTGATTAGTTAAGGAATGAAAACAAATTATTAAGTTGCAACGGCACGATGAGAGAAATTTTTGTTTGTTCTGATGCCAAAGCACTGAGTGCCAAAAGATAGAGACTAAAATTCTTGCCATATACTAATAGTGAGACAAATTTGAAGCAAGCTTGAAAATTTGCCAGGGCACGTAGATTTGAAAGATTATGCAGTGTCATCACTATATAAAGCTCATCGGGATGCCTATTGCATTATTATTAAACTTTGGCCAATGGGGTTGTCAAAGCAATATCTGTGCATTGGCTTTGGCCTGTTGTTCATCTTAGGAGCTTGGACTTGTGAATCCATGGCTCGGACCGTCCACAAGCCACCAATGTATCGGAAGCATGAACAATGGATGACTCGTTATGGACGAGTGTACAAAGATGATAATGAGAAGGAGATGCGTTACAAAATATTCAAAGAAAATGTTGAGCGGATAGATTCTTTTAACAGTGACACAAGACGTTCTTACAGACTTGGTGTCAATCAATTTGCAGATCTTACAAATGAAGAATTCAACACAGCAAGGAACAGATTCAAAGGTCATATGTGTTCTGCCCAAGCAGGTCCTTTTAGATATCAGAATGTTACTGCCGTACCTGCTACCATGGACTGGAGAAAGAAAGGAGCTGTCACACCTATCAAGGATCAAGGCCAATGTGGTAAGTCATTATACAAGTTTATATACATAAATATATATATGTATGTATGTATACATAATTCTTTTAATCAAATTGCAATGCAGGTTCTTGTTGGGCATTTTCAGCAGTAGCAGCAGTGGAAGGAATCGCTCAGATAAAAACTGGAAAATTGATTGCCCTTTCAGAGCAAGAGCTTGTTGACTGTGATAACAATGGTGAGGATCAAGGCTGCCAGGGTGGTTTGATGGATGATGCTTTTAAATTCATTGAAAAGCATGGTCTAGCCAGTGAGGCTACCTACCCATATCATGCAGCAGAAAGCGCTTGCAACACCAAGGAGGAAGCCAAACCTGCAGTTAAGATAACTGGGTATGAAGATGTGCCTGCAAATGATGAAGCTGCTCTACTGAATGCCGTTGCAAACCAACCAGTTTCTGTTGCCATTGATGCTAGTGGATTTGAGTTTCAATTCTATTCAAGTGGAATCTTCACAGGGTCTTGTGGAACTGAACTAGATCATGGTGTTGCTGCTGTTGGTTATGGAGTTAACGATGGGAACAAGTTTTGGCTGGTGAAGAACTCATGGGGAACACAGTGGGGTGAAAAAGGATACATAAGAATGCAGAGAGATATAGCTGCAAAAGAAGGCCTCTGTGGCATAGCAATGCAAGCCTCTTACCCTACTATGTAGCTTTTAATATTTTCTCCATTGGTTGTGTACTATCTAAGCAACAACCCATAACTTCCTTATATCAGAAAGGCGTCTGCACATCTGTTACCATATAATATAAGTGAAAATTATCTATGGCTTCTTAATAAATTCTGAGAGGAAACTTAAACCTAACAAAAATTTGTTGAATGGTTTCAAGATGTAAAATTATGAACCCCCCTGCCTATAACTCGGATAAAAGAGTACATCTTAAGGAGCAAAAGAGGAATTAGCAGAATGTAGCAAAATAGTATTAACACAAAAAATATGAACTAAAAACATTTGTGTAACTTCATTGATGTGAACAACCATTACAATTAGCACAAGTCGTTTGAGCATAGCCTAGTTGATAATCACACCTATTCTCTAAATGGGATGTTCTGAATTTCATTCCCCAAACTCTCGAAAAATAATAATTTCTGTAAGCTGTATAATTTGTAAGCTACTAAAAAAGAAAGAAAGAATCAAGGTTTTAACTTGTCGCCTGAATAGTTTCAACTAAGAATGTTTGCAACAAGCAAGCACATAATCATCCAAAAACTGGCTAAGCTGAGTGCTGTACAGATTTGGATCATTTCTGAAATGATCAACATGTGGTGAGGACACAAAGTTGCAAGCCCTGACCTCATGCCCGGCTCTTCGCTGTTCTTGTATAAATGACTCCACAGACTTTGCGGGGATGACTCTATCCGCGGTGCTATAAATATATAGCTGTGGACAAGTAGGTTGTCTTGATGATAATAAGCTTAGCACAGCAGAGAGCCTCCTGCAATGCGATAATGAAATTCTATATAATTTTCTATTTATAAGGACTCCATCCATATTATTTATTTGGCATTATGTCTTTTTTCAGATTCATTTTTGCTGGTAAAAGCACTTACCTACTCACAGCAGGAAAATTCAAAACCACCTCAAAGAACTTCTCCAGAATCACTAATAAAGCTGCTTCAGTTGCTGCAGGTTTGGGTTCTACAAATTTTTTGCCGCCAACAAATACCTCCACATCACTTGAACTCATATGAACTCTTGTAGCAACACTGTTCTTTTTTAGAAAAGCTGCAGAGAAACCTGAAGCCCAGACCTAAACAAATGAAATAATTTGAGCTCATTAATCTCTGAAAGTGTAAAGAAAGGCAAATACAGAGCATCCTCAAAGAAATGATAAGTTGAAACACTGGAGATGCATCACAACCTATCTTGCCATAGAATTGATTACCAATAAAATGGTCAGCACAGAATCACGAACATGTAAGGAGAGAGATACCATTAGATCCAGCATACCATTGTCACGTCATTGCTCAAGGGGTCATCAAGTCATACAATTGCCAGTGAAAAGATAAATGTATTGTAAATACATATAGTTGGAAAGGGGGTTTCGAATGAACTTAAAGCCAAGGCTTACATAAACAAAATCAAGGTACAATCTTACACCTAACCAAGAGGCAGCATGTTTCAAAATCAAAAGGTTTATAACATAGTCCTGCCAACTGTACTCTCAAAACCCCCAACAAAACAAGAAAGTAAAGTGATTGCAATCAAAAAATACATTAAACTTAATGCAGCAGTCACCAGGGAAAAAAATATTCATCATTAGAGAATCAGAAAAGCAACACTTGACAGCAGCCAGAGGAATATAACGTGGTAATTAATGCGAGTCAATTCCAAATGCATGTCACATGGAAGAATAGTAGGCAATGACAAATACTTTAACAAACTTAGTGTGTCAAACAAATAATTTTATGATTTTCTAATTCTTGCCATCCTCAGTACTGGTATTTTCATGTCATGGTACACAGTGAAACATCTTTAACGTCCGTCTTGGTAATCAACAAACCAATGCAAGAGCAAGCCACAATTACCTGCGGGTCAGGAGCTGCAACTGGTGCAGAATCCACAATGCAACCCCTAATATTTGCCATTAAAGAGGGATCCTGGTTCTGAAACTTCTCCAATATAACTCCATATCTGCAACAAGACACGGGAACTAAACAAATCAAGCCAAAAGGTTTTCACAAGAACAGATACGCGTGGATATGCATATGGAAGAGAGCTTACGTTAACCATCCAGTGTTGCTAAAAGTATGAAATACCAAGTTCTTTCCTTGCTCCTCTTCCAGCCAATCAGCCAGATGGTTCACAAGCAAGTCGATGTCTTGTTCAGCCTTTCCGCCAACTTTGTAACTAAGAATCTCAGCCATCGGAAAAGTAAAAGTAACGACATGAAATCCCCTTGAAGTATACCACTCAGCATATTTCTTAAGATGCTTCTGCTTTGACCCTAACCATCCTAACAAAACCACTACTGTCCTAGACTTCACCGATGAGCAATTAGAAGATCCAGAAACATCAATAGCATCTGGCTCTGGCAAATGCCATCTGTACAAGACATCAGGGGCGGAAGTAGAGATTTTATTTGTCAATGCAGTTGGTTTAGGACCCTTTGCCAATTCTGCTGACTGATATGAATGAAGAAGAAGCGGAGAAGCTAATGTACTAGGGACATATTTATGAATAGAATTAGGAACTAGGAAATTAGTGCTAGGTACAGGTACATGAATTCTATTGACGAAGGACAATTTGGTTAGCCTGGAAACTGATATATGAGAGACCCATGAAAAGCTTGGTTCTTGCACTGGATCCGATAATGGAGAATGTGATTGAAGTGAGCCAGAACAAGTATCTACAGATTTGACAGATGGGAGTTTCTCAGAAAGGTCAGTAGAAACAGAAGCCGCGGCCACAGCTGCAGCGGCAACTATTGGTCGTTGAATGATTCCAGATAGGGAACCCATAGAGGAGATATTGAAGGGGAAAATCTATCATAAATATGAAGGCAAATCCACTATAAAAGACAGAAGCAGACAATTGACTGCGGCCAACAACCCAGATAGCAAAATAGGTGAAGAAAATAGAAAGACAATCGCCTGCAAAAAATTGGAGCAAATCAAAGATAAGAAGTTTTTAAGATGAGAGCAACAATAAAAACCGTTTTTTTGATTTTTTACAAAAAAGTAGATATAATCGATCAAATCCAACACAAGGAGGGTAAACACGGGAAGAGTCAGAGTTGGTATATTCGAATGTTGTAACGTGGAGATACTTACCTTGATAGGAAAGAGTCCAAGAAAATCGGGCTGTCAAGCGTCCTTCTTTGACAGCCCGATTCCCACCGACCAAGAAGCTTCTTTCTTTATTTGTTTATTTTCAGAAGTCAAAACGCAAAAGCCTCCTCCACCAAACGCGTCCCCTGAGAAAAATTTTTTAATGAAAAACAAGTTCAACATGATAATAAAACAAGAAATTTTAATCTTACTTCGACCAGGCCTCAGCTTCGCGTGTTATGCATGCTTATGCGAATGCGACTGTGTGATGGTGATAGATACATTCGTATATATAGCTAAATAAAATATAATTAATCGATGCCCGATGTTTTAGGAGCTCAATAAATTAATACAATGAATAAATCAAATGAAAATGACAGTTTTGATCCCAGATTGACGCCAGCAAAGAGAGGAATTACAATTCGTTCCGGAGATTAGCGGCGGTGTGTGGTGGGGCGTGGGGGTAAGATTGGAAAAGTGAATAAATAACGCAATTACCGAAAAGTACCAAACAGGAGACCGAGAATTGGAGCCGCTAAAATGAAGGGTACAAAAAACTTTTGCAGGCAAAATAACATTTCTGCCCTTTGAATCTTTGATACGTGCAAGCGAGAGCGACATTTCCAAAATGAGTCTGGCTCGGAAAAACACAAACTGGTTTTCTTTGGAAAATTCAAAACCGTTTTGATCTGTAAATAAAGAAACGGAAAGGGAAGGGAGAACTAACCTCCTGAGAGCCGCAGAAGGGAAAGGAGTCAGTCAGTTATTTCTGAATGCAAATTGCATTGCTTCTTCTTCTCCTCTGTGTTTGGGTTTTAAAGAGAGAGGAAGGGACGGGTGAGAGTCCTCGATTCTTGGAGATGCCAAAGTTATAAGAGAGGCAGATTAATTCGTTGAATCGTTGATAGTGGAGGTGGAGGTGATGATGGTGACCGGTGTGGGTGATGAGGAAGTTTAGTTAATCAAACAAAACACCTTTGAAAGAGTTTCTTTTTTTTTATTTTATTAATACAACAAATTTTATAATTTAAATAAGAAGAAGATAAACATTAAATCAATATTATTTGAATTTTTGAAAATACTATAAAAAAATTGTACCGCATAACTAGTTATACTATGAGGAGGAAAGGAAAGATTTATAGAATATCCCAAATGAATATTCGATGCAGATAAAATGTTCCTTTTATGTTTACGTAAACCTAACAACCAAAGCGAGGGAGTGGTCTTGGCAGTTGGCAATGGCAATGGAATCTCTCTCACTTTGGATCGTCATCCATCACGCGTACCATATAAGCAAAAAACACCATCCACTCCCTTCTTGGTAACTTTTTACCACCTCATTTATGGTTTGCTTGCACGATTCAGTTAACTTACTAATCCATAATTTCTTCTTCTTCTTCTTCTTCTTCTTCTTCAGCCATCAAACTCCTGCCTCGCCTAAAATGCACTCATAACAATTTCTAGCCAATCACACCTTTATTTTCCTAAAATAAATTACTGCACTATTCCTTCACTTGGTGAAAATATTGTATGAACCATGTTTCATCAGTCAAGACAGTTATTTGTGTAAATATTCTTGATTACTATATACAATCTGCTTCATGCCATTCACACAAATGAACCCTATGCACAAAGAAAAATACGGATTTCTCAAATGATTTCAGAGACTTTAAGGAACCATGCACTCATTCCGATTGGATAAACTAATTTGTGAATTCCAAACAAAGCACAAAGAATATTTAAAATTTGCATCTCATAGGGAACTGTAATAGCAAGAAAGATATACAGAAGTCACAAATTTGGTTGTGGTTGCCTCAGGTTTCATGACATGCTCAGCCACTTTCTCTTCAGTCATTCCAGCCTCAACCAGGTACTTGAAAAATCTTTCCAAGGATTATAATCATCAAGGCAACACTATCAACTACTGAAAGATCATTCAACAATCAAACATATAACTCGTACGGTCTTATGCATCCTACACATAAGAAACTGTGTTTTGCAGATGCTTGCAACAATTCATAGAATCAGTGAAAAAACTTCATTAAATACTGATGTAGAAAACAATAATATATGTCAACTAATAATAAACTACAAAGAATCCCCTTGCTCATAAAGCACATATAATACATTCGCTTTGAAACATTGAAGACACTTCTCATCTGTGATCTACTCTAATTGAATAAAAGCAAAAATTGAAAACAAATAAATTAAACACAATCAATTTATCAATCACCAAATTCAACACCCATGAGCTGGAAAGCTTGTGAACTATTGTAATTGCTGAGACCTATCTCATCAATTTCTAAATGGATATATGTTGAGTCAATGAATACACTACATTTCACTGGCTCCGCATTACCAAAGATAAGAAAACAGTTTTCGTAGAAACCATCCTTTGGGGGTAGATTCAGTAAACAAGACCTTGTAATTGAGAATTTCCATTTACTACTAGTACTTGTCAATCCTTTTTGGTCTTTTAGCATCATCACGAGGCGATGTCTGCGACCTAGAAGTTCCGACACGTATTTCATATCACCTACAGCTAAAGCATGGCGAACACGGGTGGAAGAGACTTGTCCTCTGTCCTTTAAATCACTCAAGTTCATGTTTCTCAGATCTTTATTCTTGTCCATCACAGACTTTATAATATAAGCTTCCATACCATACTCCTCACACAGCCTCACCAGCTCTGATGCATCGCCAGCAGCTTTATATCCAAATCGGTAGTTTTCCCCTGAAACAGTTACCCATTAAGACTTCAACTGAATATAATAGCATTAAAAATGGAAAATTCAGTTGACATTGCCAGCTTACCTGCTACCACTCCACATACTTTAAGTTCATTGGATAACTTTTCAACAAATTGTCGCGGATTGAGATGTCGAACACTTGAAAATTCAATTTGGAACTCTGTTGGGGCAATATTACCACAGTATGGGGCCCAAGTGGCAAGAACCCTGCTCCGATCACATTTGGCAACTATTGGAGCCCTGTTAAGGCAAGCTCAAATATCAGCCAAAATTGTTATTCTAATTGTTCATCATTGATAAGTTAACATGTTAGAACCTAGCTATGGCTAACACTACAATTTTCAGCAATGTAATGAAACAGAAGCAACAAAATAAACTGCTACCTAAAAGGCAAATAATTTACACCGCGTGTTATCAGAACAAGTAATAAACATCCTAAAAGAGGGGTTAAATTCTTTAAAAACTAAAAGGCATAAGAATAGACGACAGCATAAAAGGGACACACAAGCGACAAAATGCAATAAGAACAAAAAATAACATCCATACCTAGGCTCCCATCCAAGTACTTCTGCCATTCCCACAAAAGATAAAAGATATGGACTTCCAACCTTTGATGCTTGAATTGCAAGTTCCCGATGACCAATATGAAGGGCATCAAACTTACCAAGTGCTACAATGCCTCCTGCAAGAATAATGATCAAGCGATCAATATTAAGAATACTAGTATGCCTAAAAAAATGGACAGAAAAACTCTTAAATCCTAGTCCAAATTAGCGTTAAAACTATCAAGTTAAGAATGACGCTACTATAGAAAAATTGAAAAAAAAAAAAAAAAAAAAAAGAGATTGTATGACCAAAAAGATAAAAACCCAAGTAGAAGAAAAGAAAAGACAGAAATCATAGGAGGTTTTATTGTAAGGTGCAGGCAATTGAAGCATTCTGTAAAAGGCACAAATCAAAAGTAATAAATGCATTCAAAGATGTTTGAACTCCAAAAGCAGGGATTGCATTTACATTACTAACAAGCCAATCAATTGCTCAAATTACCATGATTTAAATTATAAGAGCAAGTGCAACAGAAAGAAATAAAGCAGTATGGAGGAAGAAGAAATCAGCTGAAGTCAAAAAAATAATAATAATAAATAAATAAAATAAATAAAAGAAAGAAACCTGCCAATGGGAACAATCCTTGAGATGGAAGTTCATTATCATCTTCTTGTTGGCTTTGCACAAAGAAAAGTCATCAGCTACTTGACCAAACATAGGATGTATTAGACAGGAAGAACGACATATATACACAGAATGGAGCCTAGGAATTGAATCATAAAACAGAAACCTAAATATAAAGAGCACGAAGCGAATGCGGATAGAATACAAGTAAAACCTGAGGCAGTCGGGCATAATGGGAATTTCGCCAGGGGATTTGGATCGGAGGCTTGAAGAAGAAACCATTCTCTGCTGCAACCGGTGAGGGAAATAACAATTACTATCGGCAACGCCGATTATGGTAACAGAGGAAGGTCTGAACATGAAAGAAGAGAGGCGAATGAATCTGGTGCTGCAAAACCCTAACCCGAAGCCTTGATGGTGATGGAGGTTACACTCTCGCAAGTGCAGGGAAATACGAGAGCCACCACTCAACATTATCAAGTTTGGGTTTTTCAGTTACTTAGGAAGCAAAAAACTCTAATTTGACTTGCTCTTTCTTCCTCAATCAACCATCCAATTCATTGTACTGGGATTTTCCAATCGTTCGCATCGCCTTGTTTGTTTTTATTTTTTTTCGCCCTTTGGGAAGTCACTATTTATTGGACTTATAAAAAAAAATTATTTTCCGACCCTTTTTTTTTCAGCCCACAATATATTTTCCATCTCTATCTCACTCTCACCTCTTATAAACAAATTAAAAAATTTGGTACCTAACTAATTCTAAAAGATGGTTGCTTAAAGTCCAAAACGACCTTTAAACTCTCCAACAAACGGGGTTCATTTCTGTACTTTCACATACTGGACGGACGCCATTTCAACTCCCTCTCACCAACCGACAACAGCCATTCCAGATGAAACGAAGGATAGATTAGGGTTCCTTGTCAATCCTAATCCCAATTTCATGGCTTCTTCAATTTGCATTAACGAAATTCTCACAGATGACGAGCTGCGCTCGATTCTGTCCAAGCTGGAAAGCGACAAGGATAAGGAGATATTCGGCTTGGTATGCAAGAGATGGCTCCGCTTGCAAAGCACAGAAAGGAAGAAACTTGCTGCCCGTGCTGGACCTCACATGCTTCAGAAAATGGCTCAAAGGTTCTCTCGCTTGATCGAATTGGACCTCTCTCAGTCCATTTCCAGGTCGTTTTATCCTGGGGTCACTGATTCTGATCTCGCTGTCATTGCTCATGGTTTTAAAGGCTTGAGGATCCTCAGCTTGCAGTATTGTAAAGGTAAAGTAATGTTCTTTCTCTCAAAATTTTACAAAATGAATAACGGGTTGTGGAATTCTTGGAGCTCATTTTGTTGAGGGATATTGTCACATTTGATGGAACTAGGTCCTAGTTATGTCTCATTAGTGGAAAATTGTTCTTCTCATGTTGTGTGTCTCCACCATGGTGATATGCATATTGATGTCTTCACCTAATTATGTGTATAGATGTCTCAAAATACTTTTTGTTTATTCCCAAACTTTGCTCTTCACCAACTTTGTGGATCAGAATTTTAGCTTCTTGCCTGAGTTCTTGTATATTTTTCTCTTGAACATGACCATTCTGCATATTTCCTTACTTGTTGTTACATTAGTGTATTACAGGTATTACTGATAGTGGAATGCGGTCAATTGGATGTGGTCTTTCTTCTCTACAATCCTTGGATGTATCCTTTTGCAGAAAGCTAACTGACAAGGGATTGTTGGCTGTTGCTGAGGGTTGTAAAGATCTGCAGAGTCTACATCTTGCTGGCTGCAGACTCATTACTGATGGCTTGTTAAGAGCTCTTTCTAACAACTGTCATAAGCTACAAGACTTAGGCCTACAAGGATGCACCAGTATAACTGACGACGGGCTCACATATCTTGTTAGTGGTTGTCAGCAGATTCAATTCTTAGACATAAACAAATGCAGCAATATTGGGGATGTTGGAATTTCCAATCTTTCAAAGGCATGTTCATCTTGTCTCAAGACACTGAAGATGTTGGATTGCTACAAAGTTGGGGATGAATCTATATCATCCTTAGCCAAATATATTACTGATGGCTTGTTAAGAGCTCTTTCTAACAACTGTCATAAGCTACAAGACTTAGGCCTACAAGGATGCACCAGTATAACTGACGACGGGCTCACATATCTTGTTAGTGGTTGTCAGCAGATTCAATTCTTAGACATAAACAAATGCAGCAATATTGGGGATGTTGGAATTTCCAATCTTTCAAAGGCATGTTCATCTTGTCTCAAGACACTGAAGATGTTGGATTGCTACAAAGTTGGGGATGAATCTATATCATCCTTAGCCAAATATTGCAATAATCTTGAAACCCTTATCATTGGTGGCTGTCGAGACATCTCAGATAACTCTATAAAATTATTGGCCTCGGCCTGTAAAAATAGTTTGAAGACTTTGCGAATGGATTGGTGTTTAAATGTATCAGACTCTTCATTAAGCTGCATCCTCACTGAGTGCAGAAATCTGGAGGCTCTTGACATTGGATGCTGTGAGGAGATTACAGATGCTGCTTTTCAGGGTTTAGCAACTATTAAAACTGAATTGGGGCTGAAGATTTTGAAGGTCAGTAACTGTCCAAAGATTACTGTGACTGGGATAGGCATGCTGTTGGAGAAATGCAACGGTTTAGAATACCTTGATGTGAGGTCCTGCCCACATGTCACAAAGTCAGGTTGTGATGAGGCTGGTCTGCAGTTTCCTAAATGTTGTAAAGTAAATTACACAGGAAGCTTAAATGAGCCAGATGTTCTCGTTTGACACTCTCGATGAATTCTAATGGATTGGAATTCTTGAGAAATTCATTCTTTGGAAAGTTCTAAGCGATCCCTATCCCTTCCTGACCATGCTGTTTGTGTATCAGAATGAACAAGGCTTTTGCTGGGGAGTCTTCTCCTGTTCTCGCTCGAACCATACATTTGACTTTGATCTGAGTCTTGTTTGGCATCTTTTATTTATCATCACCTATGATTATTTGGCATATTTTTTATCATTTCATGTACATTGTGTCTTCTGTTTTTGCAGTTTGCTTATTTTTATATTTGGTGTTCCATTTGTCCTTCTAGCAGTGTAATGTTGTTGTATCATTATCTTGGAATAATAATAATGATAAGTATCTTGTTCATGATCCCTGAGCTTTCTTTTCTCTTATTCTTTATATGGAAGATTTGTTTGCTTCTCAGTGGGACGCTATAATGAGGTAGGTGTAGGTAGTGACATTTTTTTTTGGTCTTCCTTTTTATTTATTCATATAAATCAAAAGATGCCAACTTTAGAATTCATTAGGTGATACTGTTAGCGATTCCTAAATAACAACTGAGCGAATTATATGAAATGCATTGAAGGTGTTACCAGTTCAGAAAGATTCAATACATAATGTGGTTGCCCTGTTTATATATCTGCTTCCAGCTATGAATCTTACGTTAGGCACTTTGGTAGTTTGGGTATGATAGAATTTGTGGGCCCTGATGTTGGAGTTTGGTAGATGCATAAAAGCCAGTAGTGTTTATACCTACCATGTGAAGGAATGGACAGAGAGTCGTGGCCTGGAAGACACGACCAATAGAAGTAAACCCTTTTCGGAAGAAAAGGCTCATCTGGGTAGGTCTGAGAATCCTAAAGATTCTTTTACGTCCAGCCACTAACTTTAGCTTTATAGTTTAGTGCTTCGAAAGCTAGTTACTTCTGTGACCAAATTAACATGCTGCAAGGCCATCCAGAGGAAATTATAAACTTTAGCCACAATTTTAGGTGGTGGCTTTAATAAGTAATGCAATTTGAGAACCCAATAGCCCAATTGCTCCGCTAGCCTTTGATTAGGCTGCAAACACAAGCTTGTTCTCTGGTTTCTGTTGTAGTTGTCAAGGAGCTTAGGGGTTACAATCAGTCTATAACAACATAGTCCTGACCTGGTAACTAACTCCCTAATTAACCCAAAATATGTCTAAACAAACCAGGATTAATTTACTCTTAGGTACAGTATTAATTGGTATTTAATTTACTCTTAAGCAGACCACTAATTGACAAAAGGTCCTGGAAAGAATTAGGGAATCACTTGTAGTTTGTTGCGATACATTGGTTAACACAAGAAAAACTGATTCTTGAAATATGAGCTACGGAGATGGAGCTTGAAAAATCAAGAAGCAATCTCATTAGTAAAATTTTTGTACAATCTTTTGTGGTCAACAAATTTTGTTGACATATCATCATGCTATTTGATGAGATGAATAAAAGTGAAGGGTTCTTTTCAAGTCACAAGGAGTGACTTGCATTCGTCCAGGCTTGAGATATTGCTTGCTGAAGGCATTTGAAAGCTTTCTGGTAATTTAAGAAACCCATTAACCAGAAATCAAAATCATCAACAGTCACAATCTCTATGTACTTTTGTGATGGCTTCTTCACATTTTCAGTTTGATTCGCTGTTTTTATCTTCCTCAGTGGGATCACAACCTGCATAATATCGGTGTTTTCAGGATGTTAGCGAGTAGAAGTGATAATATTACTTGGAATTGTTAAGAAGGCAGCAGAAGAGAGAAGGGAAAGTGTTTCTATTTTGCTGATAATTACCTTGTAATGGATTCTGGCTATTTTCCCTTCTGTAGAAGACAATTTAATTGATCTCTCACTGCAGAAGGCAATCTTGTCAGTGGAGATAAAGACAAGTCCTGCGATAGGACCCGCTGTGGTTGACAAATAACATTGACAAGCCTTCAACAATTTCTCTCCTTCTCTAACTGTAAATAACTGCCTAAACACTTTCTTTACTCCTCCTACTTGAAGAATTCTAGCTCCTAAGCTCAACTTTCCTTTCAGAGTTTCAGTGATCTTGGCTCCCAGTCTCACTGCAATTACGCGAAATTTTATATGAATTTAGCTATCATCCATTATTAATTGAGTTCTTTAGCTTCACAAAAGAATTTAGATGATCTGTAATCGCTTTCACTGTATGAACTTACCATGCTCTCTTATGCCATGTGCAAACTTGTCAGCTTTTTTCCCTAGCTTATTCATTCTTTTAAGCACTGAATCTACTTTATCTGCAATATTAGCACAGCTGATGAGTAAAGCACATTCATTTTTTCAGAACAGAAAAACTAAATCTTTCTTGAATATGAGAGAAGAGATACCTTGCTTGACTGCGAGGGATTTATTTGCAGGAGTTGGAACATAGGTTGGGGCAGCATTTTCAAGTAAGAGAATTCTTGGCATTCTCTCAACTGCGTTTGCTGCTGAGGTGATTGGAATTCCAATAACTTGTTCCTGAGTTGAATTCTTCATCTTGGATCAATACAGAAAATGAATGTTCACTTGTATATGCCTTAAAGGTAAGAGACTTCTTCTGCAGAAAGTGCTATGTAGAGAGAGGTAGCTAGGAGATGATTCGGTTGATGAAACCTTGTTTGTGCAATACATATATATAAAAGAATGTATATGTGTTTGGTGAAATCTCAACTTTTCATTGCATGAGTCATCCATGGCTCATCCACGATCATAAAGGCACACAAATTGACTCGACATGATATATTTTTAAGGAAAGATAAAGAAAAGATGACATTTTTAATTGCTTTTAAGAAAAGATATAGTAGGCCCAATTCTACTTATTTTCATTTTTTTTCCAAATTTTCTACCTTTTGAAATTTATTATCTTCTCTCTTTAGCCATTCAATTTAAGTTACATGTTAGTAATATTAATATATTATGGCCCCCATTTTCTGACTTGTTCCTTTTACTGCCATGGAAACTAAACAGTAAGCTCATTCTAGTTATAGTGTTAGCTTGATTACTCCAGCCAAGAAGAACATCAATCAAGACAGGACTAGATCATTCTGAGGTTCTTGAAAATTTCCTGGAAGAAAAAAGGATTAAAAATGAAAGAGCAATTCCTGACAGAAAATCTTTGGAAAATCTCATCTCCATTCAAATGGGGGCCAAAGAAAAAGAAAAAGAAAATTTCCTGATTAGTTGAGACAGTTGTTTTCAGGCATAAAATCCTAACAAACACCATATTGCTGACTGTGCCTTCTTTTTGAGGTTCTATCCAAAATGCTGACTGTGTAAGGAAGTGCCATTAAAGACTTTTGAGTTGGCATTGTAGCTTTCTGTGCCAGCAACCCTCTTTAATGCAAAGACCATGCATGTGTTGGTTCAATCAAAATGAGAGGCAGTTAATAATATTTCGAGAAAAATAATATCAAAATGGGTGGCTGCTTTTTCTTAGATTGTGAAATTCCATTTACAGCGCGATTCAGATAAGAGAAAGGTCTTGCAGATTAAGGAAGCAGCAAAAATCTTTTTTTATCTTAAAGCTGCCCAGGTGGAGGTGACTAGGCAATTGGGCTCCCATTTTCTTGCATTTGAGATGTTGTTCTTTTTATTACCAAGAACATCAAACAACTACTTTAAAAAAAAAAATCCTCATTGCTTACATGTTTGAGGAAACCATATCATATCCACATCAGCCTCATGTCTGTCTGTCTGTCAAGAGCTGCGATGCTTATGTTGTGTGGTATGGGAGAAGTCAATATACGTTTATAACTAGGATTAAGAAATGAATAAAACATTAAAATTTTAATATTAATTATAATTAATATATCTGCATTTCATAAGCAATGAATATGTGCGAGGTAATTAAAATACAACCAAGGAAATGAGACATCTCGTGTTCGAGTCCTCTCTACTGTAAAAGTTATCATCAATTTAACAAATTTTATTCAAAGGAGAGAGTTACCTTATTATGTAGCTCACAATATTATTTCAGCTCATTGGACCTTCCATATATATATAAAAAAAAAAAAAAATACAAACTACATAGGTCAATATTATCCTCTGATTGTGTATTTTGTATTTTATTCTGAAAAAATGAATTGAAATAAAAATAAAAATCCAAAAGTTTGATAAATTCTTTTGTTTAATTAGTTGAACATAATTTAGGATTTGTTTTTAATTTTTAATCTTTTAAATCTTTACTCTTATTTCCTTGAGTTATTTTTAATTTCTCTCATGTGTACAAGTAGTAGTAGCATATCGCGAAGGGAGGAATGAACGACAGCAACTAAATTATTATGTCGTTCGCGTATAAGAAACGACAACATTTAATCTGTTGTTACGTCATTGCATAAGGGCATATACGGTAATATCTGGGGTGAAAATTATATACTTGGAAAGATCCACTGTCGTTAGAACCCGAGAATTGACCGGTCAATAAATAGGAGCCTCAGTGAAGAAGATGGCAAGAAGAAACACAGACAGAAGAGGAAGATGGTGAAAACTTAAAAGAAAGAAACTTTCCTTCCCGATATTATTGTTGATGTACTCTATAGACTTGGCAAAAAATCCCAAGTGCGATTCAGAGCTTCTCAACTCAAATATGGAGTGGCGGACCCATATTTTATATTTTATATTTTTAATCAATGGGTTTTTGAGTTCCAAATCTAATAAACTGCAATGTGTTGAAAGCTTGTGATATAATTAGTATCGTTAATCATATGGGTACTGTATTAATTGCCATTAAATTGGATAGCTAAAGTGCTTTCATTTGTTTGATTTGGAACTTCCATGAACCTTCTGCTATCTGTTAATTGAAATAAGTTTTTTATTGTTCTTGCTGACATTTCCTGAATTTTCTCATTGCAACAAGGAAGATGGGAAAATCAGGCAGGGAAAAGAGCACACAATTCTGACTGATAAGCTATCAGTGAATGACTATTGGAAAAATTATATACATAGTAAATGTGTCTGCGAAGTTTGAATCTTTCCTCATCAGTACAAATGTACAGCATTTCCTGATAAAACAGGGTTCAACAATTTCTCTTCTTCTTTAACTCTAAACAACTGCCTGAAAATTTTCTGCACAGCACCAACTTGTAGAATTTTATCTCCCAGATTAACCTTTCGCTTACATGTGGCCCCAACTTCACTGTAGATTACAGAAAAACAAAATGAAGTTAGAACTTGATTAGCCTTGGTTCTAAATTTAATCCTTTCAATTACATGTATAAGTTATAAGGGAAAAGTAGTTACCATGCTCTCGAACAACTTGTGCAAAATTCTCAGCTTTCTTCCCAAACTTGTTCATTCTACTCAAGACTGTCACTGTTGTAATCTATATGTTGAAGAGTTGAGAGAGAGAGGAAGAAAACTCAGAGAAATCTTATGCTATTTATGCTTGTAATTGTATTTCAAGAAGGGTTATGTCACCTTTTCAATTTCTATGGCTTGAGTCAGCTAAGGCCCCATTGACAACAATAAAGAGAGAGAGACAGACTCGTCAATTGACAGTTGAGGTTGCTTTTGGAAAAGTTCTTTTAAAAAGTTTGAAGCCTCTTTTTCATTTCAAATTGTTCAAAATACAGAACAAAGTCATTTGCAAGACCAATCAACATGGGACGGCTACTTTTTTCTTAAATTGTGAAAGGTCCATTTACAATGGGATAGGGATAAGAAAAGGCTCTTACAGATTAATAAAGATGCACGTGGTCTCAACCAATTGCTTCAAAATTGGACTGCTAGTCCTTTTTGCTTGTATAGAATGAAATCTTTTTTTATCCATGGTGAGGAGGTGGAAGTGACTAGGCAGTTGGCCACACATTTCTTGCATTTGCTCGTGTCAGCAAAAAACCATGTTCGTTAAGTTCTGTTGTCTATAGGAAGAGAATACCAAACAACAAGTTTGAAAAATCTTCATTGCTTACGATTGTTCGAGGAAAGGCATGTCCTTGCCATATCATATCCACATCAGCCTCATTTTCTCTCTACATGTCTGTATATATATATATATATATATATATACCAGAGAGATAAAGAGTTAGGCTCGCATGAATTGGCATAAAGCTAATACAAAATGAGTTTATTACAAGGCTAAACATCAAAAACATTATAGAACTACTGGTATACAACAAAAGCACAAAATACAAAAAATGGAGTATTTCTTTTTGAGGTTGCTCGTTTCTTTATAGTGATGATGTGGGAATGAATGGATAGCCATGCAGCAGACTAACACGACATGCTTGCGTTGCATGAGTTATAACTTTACAAGGAGAAAAAGAAAAAAAAAGCAGTAAACCAAGGAGGCAGGATGTCGGGTGATACTGTAGCTGTTGGCTTTGCCTTAATTAGAAAGCAGTACCAATTGGAACGTTTTTATAGGCATCAAGAAGGTCGATCAAAGGTTGAAATGTTAATTCAATCAATAAGTAATTTGAATAGTATCATTACATGTGACTCTTTATACAGAGTCAATATTTGCCTCAATCTATGATAAAATTGTTATTAATTTTGAGCTTTTGATACTAATTAATTAATTTGCTGTAAAGTTAAAGAATTTCTTTTGTCAGTTCATTTGGCGCATTTTCGAAAAAGTTGGCGGGATTGAGCAATGCCTTAAAATTTAAGGGTTTCAAGTTGAAGTTAAGTAGAACTGAAGTAAAGAATATGTTGTGCAGTTTTAGCAGTGAAAACGAAATTATCAAAGTGGAGTTAGCCTCCATAACACAGAAATCCCTTAAAGCATACTTCAGAACAAAAATTTGATACATTGTAATTTTATTGATCTTGCAAAGTTTGTGTTTTGTACATGTACAGTGCTTTCTGATAGATACATTATGATCTGTGGGAGATTGCTTGCTGAATATATTTCAGAGCCTTCTGATAATTTAAGAAACCCATAAACCAGAATTCAAAATTATCTACGGTAACTATTTCCATATACTTCTGTGATGGCTTTTTAACATTCTCACTTTCATTGACACTCTTTATCTTCCTAAGAGGAATCAAGACCTGCAAGGATTAGTCAAAGTTTAATTAAAATGTACTTGATAAAAAGAATAAGGAAGCAAATTAATATGCATTGGAAGTTAATTACCTTGTAGTATAATCTAACTGATTTCCCATTTGGAGTGGAAAATTTGATTGATCTCTCACTGCAAAATGCAACTTTGTGAGTGGAGATAAACAAGAGACCAGCAATAGGGCCTGCTGTTGTTGACAAATAGCATTGAGAAGCTTTCAACAATTTCTCATCTTCACTAAATGGAAATAACTGCCTGAAAATTCTTTCCACACCACCCACTTGAAGAATTTTAGCTCCCAACCTCAACTTCCCTCTCAAAGTTTCAGTGATCTTTGGTCCCAGTCTTACTACAGTTTTAAAATCAATAAGCAACCAAGTTCATAACTCTGAGTCTCAGAAAAGTAAAATTTCAAAGATTTATTTAATATGTTTATCAGCTTACCATGCTCCAGGACACAATTGGTAAAATTGTCTGCTTTCTTTCCTAGCTTGTTTATTCTTTTAAGCATTGAATCTGTTTTGCCTGCAACATTAGAGCCATTAGCAGAACATGAAGTACGGCATTGGGTGTCTACTGGTTCAGGTAAATATCCCACTGCAGGAGACCTGCTAACTGATTTGATTGGGATTCCAATGACTTGATCCTGAAATGGGTTCTTCATTTTCGTTTCTGATGAATATAGGTTTCCAATGTTTTATTCTGTGTGTGTTGTTATTCTGCAGGAGTATTTAAAGGGTGGAATCTTGAGCTTTTTGTTGCATGAGTCATGCATGGCTCATCTCATCAATGATCAATGGAAGTAACAAAGGCACAGACCATACACTCATAATGACATTTTTAATTTGAAGATAATGAGAAGATGGTAAGTTGGGTTGCTTTTAAGAGAAAGGTCAAGTCTTCTTTTCTGGGATTGTCTCAGACATATATATACATTAGCTTTTGTTGTACAAGACTTATTAAGGGCGGGTACATTTGATGGAATTTGAAAAAACAAGTAGCAACTGTAAAGATTCTATCCACACTGGACAATTTCTTGAAATTATAATGGAAAATGACTCGGTTCAAGTTTTATATATATACTTACAGATCATGAGATTCAAAGACTCCTTTGATTGTCAAGAAAATCTCTATCTTTTTTTTTTTGTGGAAGGGTCAAAAAGAGAGAGGGAATTTGATTAGTTGGGACAACTTTTCAAATTTCAATCATGGAAATGCAATCCTAGCAAGGATTGTGTAAGCTTATTAAAACCTCATGCATTGAATCTGCCAAGGTGTCTCATTGATGATTGTGAGCTGGCATCTTAGCTTTCTGATACCATCCCTTTTTTAAAAAGAAAATCCAAGACAACAAAAGGGAGGGGAAAAAAGAAAAGAGAAAACAAGGTTTTGGCAATCCCATAACTTGGAGCAATCTCCACTTTATTTTCATTTCATGTAGCAATAGGTGGCAAGAACCTGATGTTGAGCTTGGGATTTCAAAGCGCTTTTGTTAATCTACAAATTCCACAACATTTCCACAGCATATGTGCTCAAAGATGATGAATTGGTTAAAAAAAAGACATGTTCATAGCTGCAAACAATCTTCTTCTTTTCCAGTCCTCTAGGCAGTTTGGGTGTCAAAGATGGGCAATTGTCCTTTCACTGGTTCTGGCAAAAGAATATAAATTGCAATCACACGCTTGAGCTACAGCTATTAGGTGCCAGAACTCCAAAAACCCAGGAACCATAATAAGCATTGAGCTTTACCGATTAGTGACTAATTCCACATTCCTTCTTGTATTGGAAATTGGAATTATAGAACCATGAACTAACAATTTAATATTGACTCGGCAGAATTTTGATAGCAATTCTCCAAAGCAGCAATTTATAAGAAAGACAAATTACAAAGGCTAAAGCACAATATGTGCCAACATCTACTACTCAAAATAGTAAAACGTATAAATGGATTCTTTACAAATTTGGTCATTAGAAGTAAAATACCATTAACTGACTGCTATTGAGACTAAACATTGTAATGTAAAACCAAAAAAAAAGTACCAAAATGTGTCCTACCCATAACTGCTGCCATATTTTCCACAGCTGCTGCCTATACAAATGCATGTAGTTTCTCTACCTATTGGTTTATTTGATATTGCTACCAGAATAAACAAATGACATCAGACAATTTTTGCTTGCAAATAAGCAGTTTTATTCAGGCTAAAATGGAGAAGCCACTGACCCAACAGAAATACAAGCAAGTAGCCTTCTGTCTTTGTACATTTTGCAGCTAAACCATGTATATCACCTATGAGCAGTTGTCGGTGGCATTGGATATGCCATAGGACCCATGTTCATCATTGGTGCACCAGGAACCACAGCTCCCGGTACTGTTCCTGGTACAGGAGCTCTAACGCCATAAGCCATGTGTGCAGGGGCAGGAAGATTCACAGGGGTGCCAACTGCTGAGACAAGGGGACCTCCTATAGGTTGCCCTATAGTCGGAGGACCATAAACACCAACTCCTGGAGGTCCAGTAGGGTGTTGAGGGGGTTGTTTAGCAGCTTTACCAGAGGAACCTCCTGCAGCAGAACCATTTGTTTGACCAGTTATTGGTCCTTGTGGCGCTGAAATATCTCCATTGCCAACACTGGTGATATCATGAATGCTGGAACGCCTCCTATCTTTGTTCATCGAGTTCAAACGAATGAAATATTTTTGTGCATGGCTTGCCACTTGCGTAGGTGTCCTTGTCACAACAAAGTTTCTGGAAATACTTCGCCAGTCACCTTTCCCATATTTGTCCAAACCAAGAAGAAATAACCTGTGAACAAAGTGTTTAGAAATTAATAATGCCAATAAAATCTGAGTACGTACCCTTACAGTCATCAAACTTTAGACGTTGAAAAAGAAAATCTATAGAGCAACAAGAGAAAACCCAGGTGAACATATCAGCATCCTTAGATAAGAAAACCATCCTAGCCCAAAAATATTCCTCAACTAAAAGAACCCACAGTAGAAATCCATATTTCTCTCAAGTCATTATGCACATGAAAGAGCTTCATGACTCTTATTTAACAAATGAAATATGAAAGGTAAAACTTGAGAGAGAAACAATATCTGAAAAGAACAGCATCTTTGCAATCAGAAAACATGAAGCTTTCCACATTAACTCCCAACCAAATACAGCAAGTTAGTTGTGCACATGAAGGAGTCCATCTAGACACTACACAGTTACAACTTTTTGATATGACTTGCGATGCAACTTCCAATCAGTAAACAGGAGGGTGAAGACTCTCAATTTCATAACTCTATAGGCATAGTAGAAAATAATTCTATGCATGCATGAGATGGCTCTGGCATTCTTACAAAAAAAGCAGATTAATCTTAGACAACCTTCAACTTTGCAATGCGATATGCATTTTTGTATGAGAAATACTTTGGTCACTTTCAGAACATCCATCAAAATTCTATGTAATACATGTGTGGTTATATGCACGTGTCTAATATTCATCGTCTTAAAATTTGGAAACTTTGACTTCCAGATATTCAAAACCTGCTATTTCAGTTTTCAAATTGCTTTCAAACTGTGGTAACCACTACTACCCACAAGCAACCTAACATCAAATTTTAAGCATAACCCTAAACTAACCATCATCTGCCAGCATGCCACAAAGCATCAACTTGACTTTCAAAATTTTGCCTTCCAAGATCCCTACCATATTTTATTGGCTTGCATACTATTCTTAATGTGGAACTACAAACTGGGACCTCTAAACTTTAAATAGGAAAAACTGAAAAAAAAAAAAAAAAAAAAAAAAAAAAAATTCAAAAACTGCTTATTTCCAGTTTTTCAAATTGCTTTCCAAACTGTGGGTAACCACTACTACCCACAAGCAACCTAACATCAAATTTTTAGCATAAACCCTAAACTAACCATCATCTGCCAGCATGCCACAAGCGATCAACTTGACTTTAAAATTTTGCCTTCCAAGGATCCCCTAAACCATAATTTTATTGGCTTGCATACTATTCTTAATGTGGAACTACAAACTGGGACCTCTAAACTTTAATAGGAAAACTGAAAAAAAAAAAAAAAAAAAAAAAAAAAAAAAAAAAAAAAAAAAAAAAAAAGAAGCACTAGTTAGCCATGTAGCCAAAAATCCACTTACCATACAACAATATGCAAAAAGTTTTAGAAATGCATAATGCTGAGGTATTAGAAACATAAACTTAGCTAACACTGTGTCCAATATCACCAAATTAGATTTCATGTCTTCCATGTCAGTTTTTGCCTAAAATTTGTTCTTCAGGATTGGCAATGCCAATCCATATACGGTAGCTATGATCCCCTGCTACTTGAAATTAGTTAATGACAGGATAATTATGGAAACACTAATGCTGTTGAATATGTGCATTAATCCTCCAAACTAAGCAGATGAAAGGGTAAGTGCATTTACCATGTCAAGACTAGAATCTATAAATCTACACTCTTGATCACAGCCTGTTTATAAGGAATTTCTAAGGTGTAAATTGTAAACCTTAGAATGTGAGATTCAAGGGCCAATTACCAAACACCCCCCCCCCCCCAAAAAAAAAAAAAAAAGAAAAAAAAAAAAAAGGGAGAGGGAGAGAGAGAGAGAGAGAGAAACAAAAAAAAAAAAAAAAAAAAAAAAAAAAAAACAAAAGGGAGAGGGAGAGAGAGAGAGAGAGAGAAACAAACCAACAACAATGACAACAAGGTCCGAAAAGAATTTGCTAATGTTTTAATTTTACAGTAAACATATTGTAGACATACAATGGTTGTGAGCCAAATATCAATATCACAGAATATAGAATTAATAGAGGCCATACACAAAATCGACAAGGCTTAGAATGTGTTAGAAGTTGACATTGTTAATGTTTCTTATATATGTTGCAAAAGATGACAAGGTCACATGCAAACATAGTTAGCTGTTTCAAACAATTGACAGAAAAATGAGAAGTTCTCTTCTAGTCCCTCCAAGGTCAACAAGTGTAAATATGCAAAACTCTCTCTCACTCTCTTTGTTACAAGACTTACTCAACATTAGCAAAACAAACAGATTTAGAGAGACAGAAAAATAAAAGGCTTTCAGTGATGAAATATTTCAACAACTTACAGGCATAGGTTTATAATTGGCAAACTTTGATGAAAACAAAGGCTTCTCCAGAGACCAAAGGAGGAGAAACCAAGAAATGTCAGAGGAAACTGATAGCCACAACCAAACAGAAACCTAGTGGAGCTTTGTTAAATGTGCAGTCGATAGAAGAAGAATCCTATTAATCACCCGCTAATGAATAAAATAAAAATGTAGAAGGCTCACAAACAGCCACCTACATATCAGAAAGGACACTCTAAAAGGTGATTAAATCTTGCAAGCAAAACTAGAATTAAACAAATAACAAAATCTACAGGTGCACCAACCAGACTCAGCAACAAAATTTCATACACAAATACTAAATCCCATATGTATAGAGTTTTATGGTTTTCCATGCTTCAGATGCCAACCTTAATTATTCAGCCATTCGCAGAACCAATTAATTATGCAAATCCACAAAAAAAAAAAAAAAGGGGGTTAGAATCAAATAGATTCAAAGTAAAACTCATCGGCAAGATTTCATTAAAAGGCAACCAATCTTCAAGATTGTATTAAACCATTAATCAAATGGCTTAGAGTTACACTCTAGACCATTAACATCCTTCTGTCAGTTATTTAGGTTACTGTTCCTCTCCATTGCTTGCATTAGTTTAACTATGATGACCTCTGTACTGGAATTGTGGAAGATTTTCTCAAAACTATTTAAAGCAATAGAATAAAATCCTAAACCAAATAAAAAGACACCAGAGTCGATTAGCACAAAGTATGGATTTATAGTGCTTTCTCAATTTTCAATGAAAGGGAAAATTGCAATGCTGATAAAGAAACTACAACAACTAGTAAAGGATTAGACCTCCTCTTCCTCTTAACTTTTGATTTTTACATATGTAGTAAGGTGCCTCTCATGCTATCGAAATCACCACCTTATAATGGCTTATGTCCTAGTTCGTCTAAACTTCCTAACTGTTTGCTTGGCCTTTCAGCAAATTCAGTAGCAGATATGCATTAGAAATACGTCAAGGAAGCCAGCAAAGAATCAATGCTGCTAAAATTCTTCCAACAATAAAAATTATAAACAGTTGAAGGAAGGTGTAAGATTTCAACTCAGTACCAGGACAAGGATTCCACAGAATAAGATATAACTGTGATACCATGCAATCAAAGACAAGACCAAAGGCAACACTAATTAATAAAGTAAACATCAGTCATCAATCATTAGCATAATTAAGAATTGCACAAAATTTTGCAGCTGCACCAGCGAAATAAAAGAAGAACAAAAATAAATCAATAACCAACAGCTATAAATCTACCTGTGCTCATCCTCTGTCCAAGCGATTCCTTTACGGCGTTCTTGATCTGACCTTGAAGCCTTATTTCCATGAGTAGACTCACTGTTATGGTGCCCCATTTGACCACCCTTCTTAGTAGTTCCTTCATCGCCAGCTTGGCTTATTGAACCCTCCATAGAAGAGTAGTTAGGCAGAGGCACACAGCCAGCTTCAATCTGATTCAAATCTTCAACCAGAAGTTCATAGTGAAGTTTAAGCTCTTCTAAGGTTTTCCCAGGAACATCAGCAGCAATTTTCTCCCACCGATCTACAGCATCCTCAGGATATGTTGCAAGGGCATCCTCAAATGCCTTATCCTGCTCCCTAGTCCACACAGAGCTGCAGTCTGCTTCATCCGCAATCATCTAGACTGGTTTGAATCTAACACTCGCAAAGAAAGGAAAAACCTAGCTCTAGAATCTAGGCTAAACTAATAAGCCAATCTTGAAAAAAAAATTCTAGAACGGTTTCTTGAAATTTGGATCTGAATAATTTCTATATTTGGTATGACCAACAGTTGGAGTGATGGTAGAACAGAATTATGGGAAAGCAGCAGGATGTGTCAGGGTGTAGAGGTAAGGAAGACGAGAAACAAGCAGATGGACCCACAAAAAAAGCCAAGAGAACTGAACCAGAGATCACCTCCAATAAAAATCACAAAATCCCAACGGAGTATGTGAAGAATTCAATGGTAATTTGCTCCACAATTCAAAAAATTGGACTCTTGTGAACTGCTGACCTATTGTTGAATGAAAAGCAACAAAGTTCAGTTAGACCATGAGAAATATCTGAAAACAATTAAATCAAGGATGCAATAAATGGCAGTTTAAAGTGAATAAAAAAAATACATATAGAGAAATTAATGCGACGGTGAATTGAACAGTGAATGGTAATTAGGGTTTGGATACTGAGATATGAAAGAGACAATGAAGTACTAAACAAAGAATAAAAACCCAGAAACCTACAATGAATAATAGAAGTGCTCAAAATGCAATTTCTAATTCCAACAAAAACCCAGTTAACCGGGTGCCCTACTTGATAACAACAGTTTTAACAGCACAGGCCCACAAAAATTCATCATACAATGACCATCACCTTTTCTCTTTCATGCTCAATTTTTACAGCATAGGCTTCAGCTCCATATTCTTTGTTTTCTTCTGCCAATCCAACCAGACACTACAATTACCATGCATCACATATACACTGCATACTTGCTATTTGAAAAGGGGAAATCAAATTCTACTAATATAACTCTTGAAGAAACAGAGAGCCAACATACATCTCACTAGAAAGATAAAAAAATTGGCAGAAATTACTATAAAAAAGTAATAAAATCAGAGCTGTAAAAACTTTCACAATTCAAAACCCTCAAATTTTTAAGTCAATGATGTCCAGAAAGTAAAACCACTATTTAATACCTATGTTATAAACAGCAGATTTGAAGGGCAATTCCTGGGAACAGAAGCCATTAATTGAGAGTAGAACGGCCAGTAATTCAAGGTTTCTCACTCCTGATTAGAGAAGAAAAATAATCTCTATCCCCAGATTCCATTTTCACACTCCAACTCCACTAACAGTGCGAAAGGCCATAAAAGAAACATTACCTACAAATTCAAATACTTGCACTACGAGATTTTGAAAGTTTAACCACCACTAAAAAATCCCTTTTTTTTTTTTTTTCAGAACTTGTACTGCTAGTGAGACAAACTATAGAAACAGGAAAGAGGAGAAAAAATCTAACCTTGACAGTGCAAACCTTACTACCACCTTCATTTTTGTCTCCGTAAACTTTTCATAAAGAAAAAAACTTGGAGCCTAATCAAAACTAACAGCATTGAATCTCATATTTAATTTTTTATATATGTTTATCTTACAATGAAACCCATATGTTAAGCAAAGCCAACACAAATAATAATAAATAAATAAATAAAAATTAGGCTAAGAACAAAAATTGGGACTATCCAGAAAACCAGATAGCCCCAAAAATAAAAATCATGAAAGAAAACAAAAAAAGGAAGAAAATTACTTAAACAGGGGCTACAAAGATTGAAATTTACAATGGCACCCATAGAAATTATGATTGATGTTGATGGCTTATCCTGAAAAGAACAACAAAGGAGGTGGTCAGGAGCAGGATGGGTCAATTGGTCCCATCCCCAACAACAACAACAACTACTTGCTTACACATATAAGGACAGCTGGGATTGAAAAAGGCTCGCTTCAAGTTGCCACACTATGGAATCTGCAATACCCATTAATATCTGACAAGATAATAACCTCTAGAAATAGTAAATGAAAAGAGGAAAGGAAAATTGAAAAGCAAAGGCCTTTTTTTATAGAAAGAGATAGAACTGATTTTCTCTTCCTCACTTTCTTTTCTTTCTACCCAAACAGACAAAAAAACAATATTGATTGATTGGCGATTGTCAGCATATAAAAGAACGCAGAGTAGTTGCAGAGAGATTATATTATTATTGTTATAATAATATAGATTACACACGCATGTGAATTGATTACCTCTTCCTCGACTTGTATACTAACAGAATTCAGAGCAAAGAAAATCCAATGTTTGATTGGTGGGTTAAAGTTTGTGGCTTTTCCTTCTCTTTTCAGTTTATGAGATTGAAACATGAGAAAGGAGTCAAAAAGGGTGGTATTTTTCTATGCTGATAGTGATTACAGATAATAATCATTTTGGCAGATCAAATATTTTATTTGAAATTAAATTTTAAACAAATTTCTAAATTAAGATCATAATTCCCAGTTTAGTTTTGAATATGTTCCTGTTTTGTGTGTCATTGCCAGACCAATTTTAGGTCTGTTAAGGAAGTTACTGTAATTACAGATTATAATTATTCATCGTAATTGGATATGAATGGCAAGTACACCATACTTATTGATTAAGAGGACATTAATAATAAATTTGTTGGTTTGTTTTTAATTTTTATAATAACAACTAAGAAGTTACTGCTACTGTCAACAGCAGTAAGTGCATTTACTGCCGGTAATAAGTAAGTATATTTACGATCGACAGTAGATTTAGATTTAAATTTAGATACAGTTCAAATCTCTTTGTTTAATGTTAACGAAAAAAATTATAGAACGGAGGAAGTAAGAGATAATCGATCAATTTTGGGTTGGAAAAAAAAAAATCAATCAATTTCCGGATAAGGTATAGAGTAAGACTAAGAGACATATTGCATTTATGTCCAAAAATAAAATAACTGAATTTATGCATTCTTTTGTTATTTTCCCCAACAGATGCAATTTTCCATTTTATACATATTCAGATTTTTTTTTGTTTTTTTAGAAAAATAACACATTCAAAATTATATTTGTTGGTAATAGGAAAATCTTTATTTTCAGATACAAAAATTGAAATTTTTATTTTTTTTATCTTTGTAATAAGATAATATTAATTTATTTACATATGAAAGGATAAAAAGGTCTCACAGTAACACCCAAAATGTCATAAAAACGCATGAAAAGGTCAAAACACGAGCAACCAACTACCACGTGGCCGCCAAATAAGTGGTCCTACGCTCTCTCTCCTATCATTCATTCCAAGACTTGTCCAATAATTGATTTTTTTTACCTTTTTACCTATTAGGATAGAAAGAGGAGTTTTTACAATTTATCAAATTTGATTTTTTTATATCCTATTTATAGATAATTTTATAATTTTTCTCACTACTTTAAAATATAACACTTTTTCTTTAAAAATATAAAAATATAAAAAATTATTTATCATTCAAAATTATTTATCAATCCTACTCATTTTCTTAAATCCTAAATTGAATATATTTATTCTAGGATATTATAAAATGATCTCTAAAACGTAATTTTAAAAGATATTTATATATTTAACAGTAAAAATTATTAAAATTTTAAAATAAAATATATATCTTTAATGTAATATCAATATGTATTTCAAAGTAAATTAAATAAATATTACAGATTTAAAGAAATCATATGCAAATTTGATGAGTGGAATTGTCCCCAAGTTTTTCAAAATTCATAGTCTCTCCATGTACTAGGTACCATATAAATATATTACTTCTGTATTTAGGTAATCAACGAATATTGGGCCTATATATTCATATATGGGCTTTTTTTTTGAATAAATATGGGCCTTATATGGGCTTTTTTTTAATAAATATGGGCCTTTTCCCTGTGAAACAAAAGGCCATTGAAAAAATATTAGGTCAATTTAAATAAATAATCATTTTGAACTTTAACTACCAAATTAATTAAAAAAAACACAAATCTAATTATTAAAATAAAATTTTATAAAATAGTACCTATAAAATATTTTAATTATTAAAATTAAATTAATTAAATATTTATTAAATAATTGAAAATATGAAAATTATACTTTATATTTAAAGTTTGAGGGAAACACGAGTTAAATCAATATTTTCTCGTTAGTTAACAGTTCAAGAGTTGCAGTTGAAAAGAAAAAGGCAAAAAAAAAAAAAAAAAAAAAAACCAAAAACAAAAAAAATAAAAAAAAAAAAAATTTAGGAAACAATCTTTAATCTTTCAGATACAAAAATCTAGAATAATATTTATTTTTCTGTTATCAATTGATAAATAAGATAATTATTAATTCATTATACATAATCGAGAAAAAGAGCTAAAAAAAACGATCCTCACCAGCCAAACAACATCCAAGTCACCCCAAAATTGTAATAAAAACGCAAAAAAAATCGAAGTCAAACACGAGACCAAAACCAACTAATACCACAGACGATAGGACCAAGCGCAAATTAAAGTCGGCTCACTACACTCATACGACTCTCATCATATACCTCATTCAATTCCCAGAGTACATTGTCCTCAAATAAGATTCGAATTCTTTAATTACGCTTTTAAACACCAAATCCATAGACAGACTAGAAAAGCAGCGTTTTTACAAACTTCCTAATTCAAATCTCTTGAACCAATTTTTAATATACACCATAACTATAGACTCAATCTTTTATTTAATTTTTTACTCAACTATATAAAAACCCATCACATAACAATAACACTTTTTCTTTACACACAGTAATAAACAAATACTAAAGCAAAATTAAATATTTATCAATTCGAAAAATACTTATCCGAATAACCTAACTCACTATTCTTAAATTCCTAACATTGATAAGCACTAATTTAACTTCTAGCAATAAAATACTCAAAACGCACTCTCCACTAAACGCTATCACATTTTAAAAAGAAGATATTCAATAATAATCCATATAAACAAGTAAAACTATATATAAAAAATCTTTCTCAAACATACACTCAATATTCTTTAAATGTAAATCTAGTTGCAATATGTATTTCTACAACAAGCTCAATACTCAAAAGCTCCATAATTAACAGACTATTAAAAAAGGACATCAGTACTGACCAAATCATATAGAACGAGCTGCTCAATCGCTCCACAGCAAAGATCTTCAAAACCACCAAAATATCAATTCACCCGGCGCCCCAAACACACAACAGCGTCTCAGCATTCCCATGTTACCTAAGCGTTCAACCACCAAATCAATAATAACAATACTCATAAAAACTTAACATCTTCTCATCCCTGAAGCACTATCATTACCACAGATAAAGTCAACAAACCCACCGAACCACCATACTCTGGCCACCAATCGCCACAACACCCCAACCACACACGATCAAAAACCAGCACAACGCACACAACAAAAACACCAACGAAAACACCCAAAAACCCGACCCGTACAAACACACATATACAAACACATTCAATATAATACCACTCAAACTATCGAGAGAGCTTTTTTTTGACACCACATACCCAAATATACCGGGCACACCCCAAATAAATACTCATGAGGCAACATTTTTCTAACCTTAATAACATCATGGGCACAAACGAAAAATTTCAAACACTGCTGCAAACAAAAACGGCCAATCCTGAAAAAACAAAACAATAAAATCCCATTAAGGATTCAATTTATTATAATAGCCACTGACCAATCATATCCAACGTTGAAAAACTAATTAACTACTCAAATTCAAATTTAAAACAAAATACACCAACAGTTACTAACTATAATATTAACACAACGAACAACTGTTGCCCTATATAAACTCAAAAATATAGTCTACCTATACACATATAACATCTCACATACCATTATCCTCAAAATCTAAACATACTAACAATTAAACCTAATATATAACCTATACCAACTACATCTGCAAAATATGAACCGCACATTAATATTCCACTTCGCAAATCCACTTAATATCTTTAAGTTGCCAATCGATGCCACGAGAGAATAACACACAACGAGCTTAATATCATCCGAACCCAACACCCACACAAACCAAAAAAAAACCCCCAAGCCCCAAACCACCACACTGCAAACAAAAACCCAACCAACCAAATATATTAATCTCGTAAGAACCTTACCCCGCTCAACCAGACATTACAAAGAGTCTATAGCAGATTCGAAAGAAAAGCCCAAAAACACACACAAAAACACAAAAACAAAACGAAAGAAACAGAACAGCAAATTCGACCTGTTCGCACAATTCACAAGATCGCAACACACCCGCAAGCCTCAAAACCAGCGCAAACCCCAAACAAAACGCCAAACGTCGGACGATCCTAAATCTGAACATGGAATACTCCGCCCAAAACAGCAAAAGATATGGACACGTTGCAAACGAGAAGTCTCATTAACTCGATTTCAGACTCCTTTGTCCTCGACCCCCTCTTACACGATTCACAACATCAACATCCCCCATTGCTGATCCAAACTCAAGACCTCCCGACCCTCCAGCAGTCACTCAAACATCTCACAACCACCCTCCTCAAAAAAACTCTCGAGTCATCTGCTTACAAGATTAGGATCCTCTCGTTAATCAGCACACAAAACCTAGACACATCCAATGTCCACAAACTACTAAAGCATTCATATAGATTCTACCAGAACAACAACACAAACCCAACAAACCCAAACAAAACCAACCAGCAAAAACAAAACCACAAACACCCCCAGCCCAGCCGCCAAACCCCACAACCCACCCAAAACAACCAACCCCAACATCCACCTAAATATATTACTCACTTGGCCCCCAACACTAAATACCCCCCTACACCTTTAAACACTCTTCTCCAAAACTACCTCCTAATCTCAAACCTTACACTTCCCCCAACCTTACCACCAAACCAAACATTAAAAACACCCCACACGAACCACGCACGCCTCACCCGAAACACACCTCTTAAGCCCTCCGTTCCACTTTTTAACTTCCTCCGCAACTTTAATAAGCTCTTCTCCACCATGAGCTGTCCCTCTTGACCGGGCTCTTCATTCGCCGACACTTGAGCGCCACCGCGTAGTATAGCATATTGGAGCGAGAAGCCCCATCTACTTCAGATCCTACGCCCATCCTGCAAATCCTTTCGATACCTGACGTACACCATCAACCCGCTCCATGGCCCACGCCGTCCAGCCCCTCGAGTGGGACGATTCTATTCAATGCAGAGGACCATTTACTTGAATGTGATCCGAACGCAGAAATTCAATGTTCCTCAGATCAGTACGCGCTCATTGCCTGAGCGCCGTGTTCTATTGTTTGTCCCATCGCTCTCTAACGTCCTAACATGCCTTACGCTACTTCAGTTTACTGCTTTTACTCAATATTCGTCCTACAATTTTGAGGGTACTAGCGATTACTGAGAGGAGTTATTCCGCTTCGATATCAGGATTCAACAAATCCTCTTATCTTCTCTTTTTAAGCAGAAGATTGTGGGGCATCGTTAACCAAACTTTTATGCTTTTAACTCACTCGAACAGAGATTACGCTGTGCGAGCCTAAAGCTGATGCACGCGGCAGTACCTGGCTTCAATACATTTTTACTTCTTTGATGAGAAAGTGGCAAACTGTTATCTTAATTAATCGACTATTCCTTCACTATTCTTCAAATTATTTCATGTGCATTGACATGAACACATATCTATAAATTCGCCGACGGTTGTTGCTTGCTTTTTTCCGAAGATTGATGTGTTACCCCAATCGGATGCGCTTATGTAGCGAGCACGAATTGACGACTGAATGGAACTTTTGAACCACTGCCCTGAGCAGGCGAGAAGATGTTGCATTTCGGTGACCTCAAAAAGTGGAGATGTTAGTGTTCATGATATAAAATCATGATGGGTTCGTCTTCATTTTTGCTGACGTTATGAGGCCCGCCCATACTTGAGGCTTCACAGTGCCAGCCGACATTACCAAACCTACACCAACCACTCTCGCGAATATCTATTAACTACTCTGTGAATAGCAATATTATGAAAACAAAACCAGCTCACCAAACTTTCCTCTCCAACAATCCCAGCCAACAAGGATGGTAACATACTACTTAATTTGCGCTACACATCTACCACACTAATGACACTCTCAGCGCCAATTCCAATCAAATGTTCCACTGCGCAAACACAGATGATATTATAGAAGAATAAACTTTAAAGACAACCTATATTCTCAACAAATGAAATAATTACTTGGTAACTGTGCTACAACCAACACGCTTATTAGACCTTCATTATGGCATTGGCAGATATGTCCTTCAAATATCTTTTTGCAGCTCGTTAATTGAACTTGTACCATGTTGCAGGTACTATCGTCGATATAATGTAATGCGTGCCTTCTGATTGCTTGTCTTGTAATCTACTATCTGAACTGCTTGTTGTCTTCTAATATATAAATTCTTATAAATAATATATACAAAATAAATTGCCATAGACCCTTGAATTGCAGTGTTTAAGTAGAAACACCATGATTAGATCACCAAAAAAAAAAAAAAAAAAGAAAGAAAGAAAGATCGTGTCGCATTCAGATCGCAGTGTCTAATCTGAACTGAACTGTATGACGTGAAAGAGTCTCTTTCGTTTGATCTTTGTTTTACGATTCCCTCTCTGTATCAAACTCAGACTCCGACTCGGTCCAAATCGTCAAACTCTCAAAAAATCTGAGCATCTGTTACAAGATTAGATCTCTTTAATTAGACAATGTCCAAACTCTCAATTATCGTTTATATTACTTTGGCTGCTCTTTTCCTCTTCCTAATCTCTTACTCCCCTTCCAAACCTTCCAACCACCGTCACCGCCGTCTTAAGCTCCGTTCCACTTTTAACTTCTCCGACTTTAATAAGCCTCTCCACCATGAGCCTGTTCCCTTTGACCCTCTCATCGCCGACATTGAGCGCCACCGCGAGGATAAGCAATGGGAGAAGCACTACTTCGATCACGCCCATCCTGAAATCCTTTCGCATACTGAACACCATCAACCCGCTCCTGGCCACGAGTCCCAGCCTGAGTGGGACGATTTCATCAATGCAGAGGATTACTTGAATGACGAAGAGAAATTCAATGTCACTAGCAGGTTCTTGTTTGCATCTCTACCTACATGTTACGCTATCTTTACTGCTTTGTTTACTCAAATTCTCTACATTTTGATTAACTAGATTACTGGAGGGAGTTATCCGCTTATAGGATTCATAAAATCCTTTACTTCTTCTTTTTAAGAGAAATTGGCCTAACCAAACTGTTTATGTTTAACTCACTCGAACAGAGATTACGTGTGGAGTAAAGCTTACGCGCAAGTACTGCTCATACATTTTTTTCTTTGATGAGAAATGGAAATGTATTTAATTAATCGATATTCTCACTATTTCAAATATTTCATGTGCATTGACATGAACACATATCTAAAATTGGACAGGTTGTTGTTGCTTTTTCCGAAGATTGATGTTGACCCAATCGATGGTTATGTGAGCGAGCACGAATTGACTGAATGGAACTTGAACCAGGCTGAGAGGGAAGTGTTGCATCGGACTCAAAGGGAGATGGATGTTCATGATAAAAATCATGATGGGTTCGTTTCATTTGCTGAGTATGAGCCCCCTACTTGGGTTCACAGTGCAGGTTAATAACTTATCTTTGTGATGCATTTTGGATACCATTTTTCTCCAAATAGCAGTGGAATATGTTTATTTAGCTTTATGACATTGGCAATTATGTCCTGGTATTTTGGATACTTCTTTTCTCCAAATATTACTGGAATGTGTTTATTTAGCTTTATGGCATTGGCAGATATGTCTTAATATTTTTGCAGTCGTTATTGAATCTCTGTACCATGTTGCAGGTTTATAATGTGATGCGTGCTCTGATGTTGTCTTTATTCTTCTGAACTGTTGTTTTATTTATTTTTTTTTTCAAATAAAATTGCCAAGACTTGCTGCCTATGTTTGTGAACACCATATTGATCCTCTCTTCTTTGATAGATAACAGAGAACATATTTGAAGTGAATGACATTTGGGGGATACTACCTGAGTATGCTATTTGAGTGCTTCGAGATGAGGAAACTAACACAATCTTTACTTTTTTATTTCACATGTTTGGTGCATAAGATTTTAAGAATAGCTACAGCATCATATTTGCCACTGTGATTTTTCAACTTTTTGATAAAATTTTATAGTCAGCTTAACATTGTTTAAATAAGCTTGCTGTAGTAGATACAAAATGTCACGTTATGTATGCAATATATGCCGCAATTTTTGGTATACAACTTTTGGACCTTTACCTTTTTCTCTCTTTTTTTTCCCTCCTCTGAGTGAAGCAGTTTTGCCTTCTATTTGATGTGTAAAATTGACAGTACGTAGAACTATGTTTTTCAGTGGTAGACATTGCATAAGAATGACTTGGTAGGATGGATGAAGATGTTGTTAATTTTTTCTTTTCTTGAATAATATCCTGAACTGTGATACAAACTTTCATGTGTAATATGGCATACTGGTTTATGCTTTCAGTACTAGTTTTATGCCTGGATGGGACTCGAATAACTAAAGTAAACAATGTCATTGGTGAGGGTCACAGTGAGTTTTGACCATGACGACATTAAATAGGAGGCAAATGGTGTTCTTGACCTTAAAGTTATTCTGAGGGAGATCATGGTCCAGATATTTTAAAAGTTTCTATTCTTGAATATTAACATGGCTTTCTACTGATATAAACTAATTGTCAGGTTTTCTTTCATGCAGTTCCAGCTCTGCATAAATGCAGTTTGCTGTGCTAACTTACTAATATGGTTTCATCCCATAGAGTTTAGAACATTGTGTTTGTTTTTCTTTCTTTTTTTCCTGGGATTTTAGTACATTCAGTTTCTTCTTAATTTAATGGCATGAATAGGTCATTGACAGCAGGTTCATTGGCCATCACGATCTTGTTTTTTGAGTTTTTTTATCTAATTCTTTTCTTTGTGCAGCCGAAAAAGATTCTTTTGGCTATGATATGGGTTGGTGGAGAGAAGAACATTTTAATGCATCAGATGCAGATGGAGACGGTCTTTTGAATATAACAGAGTTCAATGAGTAAGCTTATACTGGATTACCAATCCTTGTTAGTTTCTTCTAATTGATGCTCCTCCTGATTCTTTTATCTGACTTTTTTTAGCTTTCTGCATCCGGCTGATAGCAAAAACCCAAAGCTGCTCCAATGGTTGTGCAAGGAGGAAGTAAGGTGACATTGGTTGTATTAGTTTCTGATATCTAGGGTTTTATATGTTTTGTCTTCTCTGAATCGACATTGGGCTTTTGGCTTATACGGGGAAAAGAAAGTGGGGATGGGTGAGATGGACAGATCCTTAAATAGTTGAAACCATATATATATATATATATATATATAGGTTTTCTTCTATCTTTCTCTGTGCCTTTTTTTTTTTTTGAGTAACATTTTTCTCCTTTTCAATTCATTATATTCTATCTAGATGTCTGGACATCCTTGAAGAACATATCCCTTTTTAGTCATAAGAGGCTGCCAAATATCTTCTGGTGGAAAGTCGTCATAGATGCATGTAGTTGTGGGCTTCTTCATAGTCTATGAGAGTGTTGTGGTCTTAGGGCTCAGATTGGAGAAATATGTCACTGGCTATTTTCTGACATCATGCGATGGTTCTTTTGTTCTGAAGTTAATTCATTTTGTGTAAATCTTAGAAGGAAAATCCAAAGAGAAAGTATCCCCAACTAATGTTTTCTGTTTATTGTAAAATGAAACACATGAAAATATTTGGAAGTATAATTTGTTTGGGATCTCTATCAGTTATTTCATGCAAGTGGTGCAGCCTAATGCAATGAATTCAGATAGAGCAGTTGTTAATGAAACTCTTAATGTTGGCCTGAAGTCAAAATGCAACTCTTTCTCTTGATGAAAAAGTTCTGTTGTGATCTAGGGCTACTTATCTGTCATTTGTAGTTACACCTGAACTTATTGTGAGTCATTGCATTAGAAACTAACTGATTGCCTTCTTCTTTTCCTTAGGGAACGGGATTCAGACAAAGATGGGAAGGTTAATTTTAAAGAATTCTTTCATGGGCTCTTTGACTTGGTGAGAAACTATGAAGAAGAAAATCAGAATTCTTCACATCTTTCTGATGATTCAATGGAGGCCCCAGCAAAGGTGTTGTTTGCTCAGCTAGATAAAGATGGTGATGGGTACACTTCTGGAATCCATTGATAGATCATTATCATCATTTCCCGAGTCTGATAAGTTAAATTAATTGTTTGAACTTGCTTTGCTCAGATATTTGTCAGACACTGAATTACTACCTATTATTGGGAAGCTCCATCCATCAGAGCGTTACTATGCAAAACAACAAGCTGATTACATTATATCACAGGTACTGCAAACAGGTGTAGTTTTACATTTAGATGAATACATCAGTTTGTGGTATATATGTCTTATAACAGCTGACAGGAACTATGTATATGTGGATATGCATGGGTAGTGACTTCAAAATAATATAGACCTAACCAAGGTAGATAATAGTTATGTAGATATTGTCATCATTTCTTTTGGTATCCTATCATAAAATAATGATTCAATAGTTATGTATTTACATTGGTTAATACATTCAGGACATCTTTTGGAAGAAGTAGCCACTGACAACAGTTACTAATTTTAATTGAAAAACAAAGATTCACATTTAAAACACATGCATTAAAATTAAAATATTGGGGCAGATATGCAACCTTAAAACCAGTTTTTACCTTCTACGACATTGTACGAAGATAGCATTCAAGTCTCTCAGCAACATATATAGGCTTCTATTGACATCAAATGTTAATCACAAACTGTTTTAACTCAGATAGAGGGCCAAAGTGGCAAGCCTTTAAGAAATTCTGTAGAATCTGGAGCAGCCTTTTAAACCTGTGTCTTTTTCTATCTCAATTGAATTATCTGCGTCCTGCATGTATATGAATAGATGCATACAAGGCCCTGTTCGTGTGTACACCTGGACCTTTCATACATGCATGAAATGACTTTGAATAAGCTCCTTAATAAAAAACGAAGGGCAAATGCTCTATTCTGTCATACTTATTTGAGAAGATGGCAGGCATTTGGTTTGCACCATGGCACGTGCTATTATAGTTGGGTGATTTACAATATGAACCTTGATTAATGATTATATAGAAATGAAGTTGGTACTGTTGGTTTGGAATTGTTCTTGAGAATAGTAAGTTCACCATAGCATGCTGCATCTTGTGGATCCAATTGCCTTCAGTCGCCACATCTGCTGTTTAAATGTCATGAGGGTTACCTTAGATGATCTTGTCATAAAGTTCCTATGACGTACCCTTTTGTGGGTCTAACAGGAACTCGATTCTAATGGTGCATTCTATTGTTAAAAACGAAGCATGTCAATGCTGCATTCTATAGTAAGCCTGAAGCTTAAGTGGAGGACAGTTGCTTGTAAGTATGCAAATTTTCCTTGTAAGTATGAAAGTTGTGTAAAACACATTGCAGGCTGATACAGATAAAGATGGGCGCCTATCATTGACAGAGATGATTGAGAATCCATACGTATTTTACAGTGCTATTTTCAATGACGAAGAAGATGAAGATTATGATTTCCATGATGAATTCAGATAATTTCAACTGTAGGTAAGTGCTGGTTCTGCTTTTTTTTTTTTTTCTTCTTCTTTAATTTTGGATTCCTTCACTTTCGATTAATGAAGTATATGTTCTGCTCGTTAGGTGATAGATTCATCACTTATTTCACCTCCCACTATTACATGCAGGTTGCTAAGAGAAGGAAAACAGGGTTAGATTTCTTTTTCTTTATTAGCTGGAATTTGTGCACTATAAAATTAGTAGTATAAAGAGGCTGTAAATTTGATCTCCAAACAGTCGCTAAATCTGGTGACCTATTGTGCTGCTGCTGCTGCAATGCGATGTGCATAATTAGCCGAGGACTGTAAGGCTCATCATGCGTTGTCTCTCATTTTTGAAGATTATGGTGCTCTTATGCCAATCTGTACTGCAAATATTCCATTGGCCAGCGGGTAGTTCGAATTTCCACTTTGTGGCGAAAAACGTTTAGTAATTTAAAGTTGGATGTCTAATTTTTGGAGTTTAGGTGCATAAAAGTTTTAAATTTTTTTGTGGGTGATACCAAAGAGTACTTACTGTCTCTTGTTTCAATTTTTTGCCTATATATGTAGAATTCATAAAACATCACCTCAATTGTTAGAATGAAGTGTGATTTGCATTACTGATGGAAAAGGTTTGTAATTTCTATATCTATATATTGAGAATAAGATATCTTAAGATAGAATTTGTAATTTCTCTAAAAAATAAGTGAAATATTGCTTCCTCACAATCCAAAATTCCAAGCAATGGCTAAATGCTTGAAAATAAGAAATCTTTTTGTCAGAGTAGAATATTCGGTGGAAAACTAGGAGTGGAATTACAAGCAGAAATTACATGTCTTGGAATGATTGATGATAGGAAAGAGTAATGAAAATGACGTCTTTGGATCCTCCCTGCAACTGCAACGCAAACAAATTCAAACTATGTACGCTTGTTCACTGCGTCTCGCTCGTCATCATCGGAGGGTGGAGAGGGGTCAAGACGAGCAGCGTCCTTGGCCCACCGAATGATCTTCTCAACCTCATCCTCTTCGTCTTCGTCCTCGCCGCTATCAGCGTCAACTACAGCGACAGAGGAGGAAGCTTTCAGAGCAGCAAATCTGGTCAAGAGATCATCATCGCCGTTAGCTGGTGGCTGTGGCTGTGGTTTGGCTGTTGTGGATTGATTTGAAGATTTTGAGGGTCGAGATTTGAGAGCCTGGAATCGACGGTCGAGATCCGGGAGGAGGTAGTCGGGGGAGACACGGGACATATGAGAATCAACGGACATCTTTAAGAGCAACTCATCCTGCGCCGCCTGAAGCATTTCCTCCACTTCATCTCCACCTCCATCATTGTTTCTGGTTTTCTTCCCGTTATTCATATTATTCCTCTCTTTCTTGCCACTGGCCCTCACACACACACACACAAACGAAAACGCTTCTATTTCATCTTCTTTCTATATGGCCCTTTTTTTTTTTTTTATTTTTTTATTTTCCTTTATATTTTCTTATTAATAATAGTAACTTTTTTTAAGTGTAGCGTTAAACACTGTATCAATGATGAAACCTGCTTCCTTACCGTTGATGATTGTTGGCTTGTCTCGTGAATGTAAGAAAGTCTTGTTCCATTCAAAGATTGGATCTTTCCAATGAAAATTATTCAAGGAAAGCTTTATTATAGCAATCATTTCATCCCTACTTCTCATTAACATAAAAATTGTACAGCTCTAGAATGAAAATAAAATGACAACTACCAATTCAATGAATAATACTCAAAAGCTAATAAAAACTGTCTGCAGCAGGCTGATACTCCCCCGCAAATAATGTTCTCTCAAAACAGTACAAAAAGATCCCTCGACGTTTGCACCAAACGCAAAGTTCACCTTCCTCAGTAGCTATCACCGACAACTTCTTATGTAAAATTTGATTTTGATGATACAAATGTTTGGATCTTCAATTTTAATTTTAACCCACTGTCAAACCAAACCCGAACTTGTAGTCCTTCTTCTTATGATCTAACTGCAAAACGTAATTTCAAACCAAGTATTATGATTCTGGCATACTGTAAATCTAATACCGGTTACGAGACCTTTATGCGAGTACAAGGAAATTAAAAATGAATATAAATTTTCTAAGCCAGCTCGCATTAAGAATAGAAAAAGTGCCACATTGGCCACCTTACCTCTGCAGAAAGAATGAAATTGAGACCCATATTTAAGCGCTCTTCCAAGTAAGCTGTGGCACAGCCATTCGAATCAATCTTTCCTCTTAGACGGGCCTGAAACAACACAACAAAAGCAAGAATATAAGTAACATCATCTTATCAAAGCTCTATGTCTAGACTAGATTTTAGGGTAAATCAATTTAAATTTTGAACAATTCATGATCAAGACCAACACAAAAACAAAACATCTCATGGATAGATTTGCAACATGCCAGCATGGCACACGGACACAGTGTTGGTGTCCAAAAACAAAAAAAATTGTAACATGTCCCTATTTCCCAGAAGCACAAACACATGGATCCTTACTCAAAGTAGGATACAGGTGCAGTAACTTTCAACTTGACAAATTAAGAAATTAGACAATGCAATTCAATAGGACCGTAGGGAGACCTGCAATGTTACACGGGAGTTAATGTTGGGAACTGACTTCTCAGCATGTTCAAAAGATGAAAATAGCTGAGATGTGAATATTAAGATAGATGTGCCATACAAAATTGTAAAAGATTAAGAATGACCACATTGGACAAAAGGCAACTAACAAAAAAATAAGAGGACGTTTGAAATGGATTTGCCAAGTTCCCCGGTTTAAAAATGTGATATTTTGGTGGTAGATGAGGCTAAACAGAGAAGATGTAGACCTAGAATCACTTGGAGGGAAATGGTTACGAAGAATCTAAAATTTCTAAAGATTGATGAAGACTTAGAAACGAATATAACAAAATGGAAACAAAAGAACCACCTAGCCGATTCCAGCTAGGTTCAGCATTAGGCCTTTTGATATTTTCTATCTTTTACTCATTTACTTCTTAACAAAGCAAATATTATTTTTTTTCTTTTTTTAAAAAAAAAAGCAAATCCTTAAATACTTTTACTAAAATTGTTTTACTTTCAAAACCTCTTTTCCTGTTTTCTTTTGTATACTTCCGCTTATATGCTGCCTTAATTTGATCAGAACAAAAATGGTAACAAATGATTTACATACCAGGCCCAACTCGTTTGGGACTAAGGCTGAATTGTCGTCGTTGTAATTTTCTTCCAAACACCCCTTAAAATCAAGCTATCAAATCTAAATAACTTTGGGCACAGGAGAACCAGTAGGAGAAAAGTTTCCACATCATTATCTATGAACATTATATCCAGAAGACAGCTACCAAGTCAAATAGAAGTTTTTCACAGATCTTACAGCATTGTGCCTAGAGGACAAACTGGTTTGTGGTCTAGGATATAGGAAGAGGAGCATTTGGTTTCATCAACCTTAAAGATACGGTTGTCATGCTGACAAGCAACAAATAATAGAATATGGTGGCACTTATTTAAAATTGGCAAATCAAGCCTTTTAATTTAATCGATAGCCCCAACACCATAATAGGATTACAATAACACAGCCACCGATATTGTATCATACAGTTCTATCAACGATAAGGACAATAAACAATAATTTTAAAGTAATACTGAAATGAGTACCTACTTGGTAAAATTAAAATTAGCATTTCATGAAACATTAAAAACTTTAGAATCACATCACTTACTTGTCGGAGGATGTAATCATAACCAACACTTGCTGTCACATCTCTTGACAAGTAGTTGTACATGAAGTCCGTTGCTAGTGAAACCTTGATAGAACAGAGTAGTGTAAGCATTATGGTTAAATAACAAATAATAACTTCCTTAAGAAACTTCACTACCTTCTCAGAAATCTTCTGAACATAGCTTAAAAGAACCATTCCAGTGCTAGCAACTTGCCCTGTTGCAACCTGTAGGTAATATGGTAACTTTGTTTGGTCAAAGCAAAAAATGCAAGAGTGCATAATAAAGAAGAAAATTCTTCCAACCACTGCATGACAGAAATTATTCGAATATAAGACAGAAATTATTCGAATATAAGTGCCAGTACACATGTGCGCTTGCATGAGTCCAGTGCCCATAGACTGACGTTAAATGCACAAAGTGTATAATTGGAGTCTGAAACAGGACCATTCACAGGATAAATACACTACTCTGTCACCTCCAAAAATAACCTAAGCAGAAGTCAATTTATTATGCTCTCTTCTGGGTTACATTTTACAACTATAGTTATCTAGTCTTGCATGTGGACACATGGCATAAACATTACATACAAATTTTCCACAGAATGAACACACTGGTAACCTGTGACAGTTTATACTTTTAAGATCAGATCAGACCCTAATTCAATAATCAATTTCATCACCGCCAAATATCATGTCTAACAGATCTCCAATCCAATGACTTCATTGATCCTTTCAGAGACTGTATTGGAAAACAATACAAGTGTTCAACATCTATCCAAGATGTATGAACAACTTTAATGCCTCTCTTCAGTGTTCAGAGGTAGGAAAATTGTGATGTCCATCTTAGCTTGACCAACAAAGTGAGAAACAAGAACTACAGCATCTCATATAGTTATGATATGGTATGAAGTATTACAGAATTGTATGCTAATGATAAATCATAAGGCCCAGACTTGTCATAAAAAATGAAAGTCAAGCTGAAATACCATTTTATCTGTTTCATATCGACCAGCATATCCAACACCAGACTTTCTATGTTGACCGGCCCAAAATACTTCACCACCCAAAGAAAAATGCGGGGTCACACTCTGCATCGATATGAAGATTCAATAAAAAGAACAATAACATTAGAAAAGAGCAGGAAACAGAGAAGAGATGGGAAGAAACTATTCCCAATATACCAAGGACTATAATACTTGGTCTGATCGTTAAGATCAACACACAGCAAGCAAAATTGCATCAAATAGATGAAAACAAATCAAAAACAATTGAATTGAGAACAAACTAAGGTAAACAACCACAATGAAAACGAGGAAGTTAAATTATATAACATGTTACTGAAGGAATCAGAAGCTTATAAATTCAACATATGAAGTGTAACTGTGATTTAGGTAGAAACATCGACAGTAAAACAAGAAAACAAAGCATCAATGTTTCTTCCATTAATCTTCTCCCCCCCCCCCCCCCCCCCCCCCCCCCCCCCCCCCCCCCCAAAACAAAAAAAATGGTAATATTTGCGTCCCATTTTCTCCCCAAATGCAGAATGCACAACCAAGAAAAGCCTTTAAAAGAAACATTTTCGCTTAAAGTTTGATGTGCCAAGAAACGGACACCCCCCAAAACAAAAAAAAATGTAATATTTGGTCCATTTTCTCCCCAAATGCAGAATGCAACAACCAAGAAAAGCCTTTAAGAAACATTTCTGCTTAAGTTTGATGTTGCCAAGAAAGGCCCTCAAAGAGTTGGAAAGGACAAAAGTGTTTGTCTGCATGTGCTCACTTATTGAAAAAGGGAATTGCTTATTATAAGAATGCAACAAACCTTTATAATCAATTTTTTCCTGTCTACTCTGCAAATTGGAAATTTTTCTAGGAACTTTGGACAAGTTGATTTTCATTTGGCCCACATTTTAGTATTGATCCTAACATGTAAAGCATGATGCAAAATTCCAAATGATTTACTGAATTGATGTAGAGCAAGATGCATATTTCCTATCCATTCTAAGCCTGACCTTTACAACATTAGAAATACAATGGCATCTGCATTGCTTGAATCAGATCATTTACCTGAATGTAACTGGCCCCAAATAAGGCACCATTTCCAAGCTGAAGCTGGGTCCTGTAATCATTACCCTGTGCAATGGAAATGGTTGTCAGAATATAGAGATGCAAAAAGGAAAAAGAAAAGAAAGAGAAAGAGTATAACCAAGATTTTCTACCAATTTTCCACTGATGAACACGAGATTAACTGCGACGAAAATGCCAAGAAAATAGGCCCAAAGATATAACTAAATACATGCCCAGAAGACAAAAGGTAACTGGAACTTATGCTAATCAATATCTAAGTACTTAAATACAACAATGATTTTCTATGAAATGATAAATTCAAAAAGTTTTTATTTCAAAAAAAGCTTCAGATATTACAAATTTCCTGAAAGATCAGAAGCAGAAGACCCCATTAATGGAACAGATTAGGACATTTTCTAATGGATTACAAAAAAAATGAAGAAAAATGTTGCAAGTAAGCTAATCATAAGCATAAGAATATTATAAAAAGAAAACAATAAGTAGAAGAATATAGCAAATATGGAACTAAGATCATAGTCTCACAAGTAGTATGAGAAGTAATATTGTGAAATGAAAACCAAGATATTTCACAGTCAACATGAAAAAACAGGCTGTTGAGGACACAATAAGCAAATATTTAAGATATCATATAGGTTATTTGTAAGAAATTTAAGGCTTACAAAGAACACAGCATCATTTCATGCTTTGCAGCGGACACATAAACAAAATGGATTTCATCCTAGATTTGATTGCTGCTGCCATAAATGCCCTTTATGAATAGTTAAGCAACAACAACGTCCATCACGCCAATTACACATATAACCATAAGGTAATCACGAAAATAATATGTAACGAAATAAAGATACCAAAAGGTGGCAGCAAGAGATGGCTAACCTTGTAATCAAAGTTGAACATGGCATGTGACATGTGGGGCTCATTCGAAAGCTAGATGGAAAAGAACATAACAAAGTTTAGGTAGCTTGCTCAAAGATAACCCCCAACCACCAACTCCAACCATAAAAAGGCAAGAGGAGGAAGAGATGAGCCAAAAAACCAAATGAAGTAAACAGATAATCCACCTGAGCATTAGCCTTCAGAGTAAAATCGTCGGTCAAATCACACTTCACTCTTGCATTTAGTCTTCCATCCGTCAGAACCCTTCCAAAAAGCATTAACTACAGAAATCCCTTTACTAATCTTACCATTTTTGATTAATAAGAATGAAGATCCAATAATCACTAAGGAATCTATGAGCAAGAGGATTCAAAATATGAACAAATATTTACCTTAGGGTCAATGTAGTTAGCTCCAAACTCATAATGAGCAGTAGGAATTTTGATGGTTTCCGAAGATTGAGAAGGAAGTTCCATAGGTCCCATAAAAACACTGATATGAAAAAATTGTCAAAAAGAGCACAATTGAATTCTGAAGAGCACCTAAAAACGGAAGAAGCAAGGACAACCTGTGGCTGAGAGAGAATTTCTGATTGAGTCCTTTGGTAAAATCAAAGCGCATCCCCTCAAAAACCTCTGGCTTTAAAGACACTGCAAAACATTTCAACAATTAGCTTTTCAGGTCTACATATCTGATGCACATGCATTAAAAAAATGGTGCTCTATTGTGGCTATTACACGTTAAAATAACTAACTGTTAAGCACTTGTATTGCAACAAGTGAATAACGTAGGATTCCAATTGCAACACAGGAAAAACAAGATTCTGAAGAAACTATTTAGTCCCAAAACTGTTTTAACATGACCAAAAATACAAAAAATGGAAGACAGTTTCTTGAAGTTACGATGTTCTAAAGCCATTACTACCACATTCCAAACTCAGGAGGAATAGTAAGTTACTTTCATCACATATAGCTAGGCATTTCACATAACATAAAGATCTACTTCAGTCCATCAAAAAACAAAAGAAAAAGACACCTAATATTAGTGTAAAATAGCCTAAATTGGAGAGAAACCAATTTCTTTTTTTCTTTTTTTAATCTTTTGGGAATACCCAAATCTTCTAAACTCAGTCGCTTTTGAAAAAAATAATTCTGATGTTTATCACTATATTTCAATTGAACAACCTTAAAGCTCACATGCCTTGTAACCTTTCAGAGAAGGCTGCTTCACGCACAAGTTGTCAACAGAGAAGCAAAATTTCACTATTATGACAAAATATGAATTAGCAACGAAGCACCTCTTTTCCAAAACCAAAAAAACTCAAAATAAGAAATTTACTAATTAAAACAAATTAGGGTTTCACGGTTAGGTTGGCTGCAATAACTACATCTCATGTGTCAGTCAACAGCAACGCACATATACAAAGCAAATACTCAGATCGAGAATCAGTATTGGAAAAAGGAATAAATACAGAACAGGAAGAAATTATTGATTAAATCAAGAAGTATCAATTAAGGAGAAAGAGCAAGAGAGAAATTAAAGAATAGAGAAACAGGGATAAGGAACTGAACTAAGAGCTTCGCGATGGAGTTCTTCATAGGGAATAGGGCAAGGAAGGTTCATGTAATCGACTTTCTTCTCTACTTCATTGATCTTTTTAGCTGATGCTGCTGCTGCTGCTGCCGCCTCTCCTAGCATAGTTGTACCTGGAGGTACCATCCCCGCCATTGCAGTTGCTGTGCTTCAATTCGATGAATCAGAGTAGCGCAGAGAGGGAGAGGCCGAGAGAGAGTGGCTGTGTCGTTCGGGGACTCCGTTATTATGGGGTTTAAGAAAGGGTTTTAAGTGACCTACTTTGTGGGGTCCACCCTTAAAAGTTTTTAAAGATTAGTAAAAGTTAGAAGAATAATTATAAATTTACTCAAATACACTCTCATAAATTTATATTATTATTTATGCTTACATTTAGTTTTTTAAAAAAATTTTAAATTTAAGTTTATATTTAATGAATTTATTTATTTTAATTTTTTCATTAAATATTTTATTAATTGAAAATGCTCGATAGACAAAAAAAAAAAAAAAAAAAAAAAAAAAAAAAAAAAAAACTTAAAATTCTTGAAAGAGAAAAATATCCAATTTTTTTCATAACATGTTAATTTTAAAAAAAAAAAAAAAAAAAAAAAAACTTAAATCTTGAAAGAGAAAATCCAATTTTTTCATAACATGTTAATTAAAATTTCTTTTAAATTTTTAATTTAATTAGTTTGAAACTTAAAATAAAAGAGAATTTTATGAAAAATATGTAAATTTCATACTTTTCTAATAAGTTTAGTTTGGATGAATGATTAAATTTATATTTTATATTTTATATTTTCAATGTAGATTTAAAAATAGCAATGTAGATTTAAAATTATTTCCATAAAAGAAAAACAGCTTGAAATTTATTTCCACATTTTTTGGTCAAAAAAGAAAAAACGATTGCGACGAATTAATTAACGTAATTAACAAATCAAACCCGTCCTAGAAAAACCTAATTCGGGCGGGTTTGCTATCCGGATTCACAGAGGGCAGGTCGACGCCATTGTCAAATAAAAGAAGTTAGCACAAACAAAACGCCGCCGTTGGAAGGTAAAAGAAGGTTCTTCTCTTCCTGTCAGCAGCGTCTGAGCCTGTGAATGAGTTGACAGTCTTCTCCAGAAGCAAACCACATGTATTCGAGTTCTGATTACAGTAATGGCTATCACAACGAGCCTCATCGAGTTGGGGCTAGTCACCGGGAGCGAGCAAGAAGAGGGGTGCGTGGCGGTCGCTCACGCGACTGTAGAGATGGGTTTCGAGTTTCTAAAGAGCAGCAGTCGGAGGATGAGCAGAACGTAACTCCTTGTACGGATTTCGACATGGCATACTTTCATTCCTATGCTCATGTTGGTATCCACGAAGAGATGATTAAGGTATACCTCTCCTCTCCTCTTCTCTCTTATGGTTGTGACTTTTTTTCCTGTTCATTGCAGTGGTGTTATTGTTCCCTTCTTACTTTGGTTGTGGGTTTTGGGAAATCATCTCGCTTTATAGATGTTGACTAGCATCTTTTTTTTCCCTTTCATTTTCTTTGTAGAGTCAGTCTCTTGGCTATACTCGTTTGTTAATCCATGGTGTGAACTATTAATGAACAGCCAATAAAATTAAGAAATGAATTTCATATAGTAAGATTAGTGCAGATAAAGATTTTGTTGCAGGTCCTAGGAAAAATAAGTCTTTCAGTGGTTAATAATATTAAAAATAGGCATTGATCATGTCTCTCCTGTGGTATGGAGTTCTGAGACTTGTAAAAGGGGTTATTAGGTTCAATGTATGCGAATGCAAGGGTAAATGGCACAAGACGAGAGGCAGGATAGATGTTTACTGGGTTGTAATATCTTTGATGCTCTTTATAATCTATTGAAGAAATTCGTTTATTGTACTGTTGGGAACTTTCTTCATTCATGCATCACAATATCTCACTCACTAACTTGAGAATGTCTGATTTGTTTGATCTTTACAGGATCGTGTGCGAACAGAAACTTATAGGGCTGCAATCATGCAACATCAGAGTTTCATTGAAGGCAAAGTAATATCATTGTTGTTGAAATTTCAGTTAGGAAATGCTCTTGCATCTCTTTTTTTTTCTTGATAAAAAACTTACATTTGATTACTTTTTGAATCCACATAAGTATTATGATGCTAGGCTTGTAAATTGAACTGCTCTCAAATTTAATCCTAAAAGGATGAAAGTTTTAAGGAGATTTTTTATGTCAGATATTTAATGACTTCTGGAAATATATGTGCTGTATTATGATGTCAAAACTCAAAACTCCACTTTGGAGCTTCAAATTTTTTTTCCCTTCTTGGAGATTAATTATCTGCTGAGTTCTAAGAAGTATTTAGGCCAAAAATCTTTCAAACAAATTGAACTCTCATGCTTGCATATGTACATGTTTTCAGGTTGTTGTGGATGTTGGCTGTGGCACTGGAATTCTTTCCATATTTTGTGCTCAGGCTGGTGCTAAAAGGGTAGGATTTCTTGGAACTGGTATTTTTAAAAAGTTTCTGCATTGTATTTAACAAAATTTGTTATGAGTTTCGTGGATAAAATATGTTGTTCTTGGAGTATGATGTGCCAATGTTGCTGGAAGTTATCCTATACTAACCAGCTTTTGGGCATATTATTTTTTTTAAAGGAAGAAATTTTTTTGTGTTAGATACCACCCTCGTGGTTAAGACTTGAAGATCCCTTGTTTGTCCTAGGAGGGGGGAGGACTACCCTACCCTGTGCAGTCCAAAGCCAATAGGTCTTTCAATTTTCAATTGAGTTGATTCTTTCCTTACATGTGAAAGCTATTAAACAGAAAGAAAGAAAAGAACAAAGAACCTTTGATTTTAATTTTGACTATAACCTTGTATTCTTATTATAATTCTACCTTAATGCATATATTTTTCTATGCTTGCAATTATTGAATTTACATGCACATCATGCTTCAAAATGATAATATTTTTCCAGGTATATGCAGTGGATGCAAGTGATATTGCTGTACAGGTACTCCTAGTTCTTATTCTTTTGGCTGGCATTTGAACTGTTCTTTTCTGATTGTTTGGTTGGGTTGCCATATGGCTGAAGATGAGTTACCACCCCCCCCCCCTTGAATCTGTTTTCTTTTCTGATGTGTTTGGTTGGTTTGCCATATGGCTGAAGATGAGTTAACCAAAACCCCCCCCCCCACCCAAAAAAAAAAAAAAGAAAGAAGACGATTAAAGTGCGCATGCCATATCTAATATGCATTCACAGGGGCGGTTGTTTTATGAAGAGGAAAGGAAAAAATAAAGATTTTATACACTAAACATATAAATGGGGCATGAATTGCTGCATGATTATATTTTCTGGAAATGAAAATTTATCAATCTAAACCTTGCATGATAGCCTCATCAAACAATATTTTTAAAGCATCCTGAAAATGCAATGTAATGAGGAGAAACATGGGGGAGTCGAAACTATTTCTTCTAAACATTTTGCCAATCTATTGGGCATTTAGTTTTTATAAAAGTATTTTTTCTCTTTCCCTTTTCTCAGGTTTTAACTTGTATAACTCTCCCTTTTTCTTGTTTGAAATTATCAATTTTTTGAAAACTTTTATATTTAACCTTGGATAACATGCTCTTTTAATGTGGAGGTCGACTGAGTAAATGGCATGACAAGTTGTTTGTTTTGCTGAGATAAATTTTTCCTTTTTGCCGCCCTTTTGGGGGGCCCCCCCCCGCCAAAGTTCCCCCTATTTTTATCCCCCCCCCCCCCAAAAAAAAAAAAAAAAGAAAGAAACGATTAAGAGTGCGCATGCAATCTAATATGCATTCACTGTTATGAAGAGGAAAGGAAAAAAAGATTATACACATTAAACATTATGGGATGAATTGCCTGCATATTATATTTTCTGGAAATGAAATTTACAATCTAACCTTTGCATATAGCCTCTCAACAATATTTTAAAGCATCCTGAAAATGCAATTAATGAGGAGAAACATGGGGGAGTCGAAACTATTTCTTCTAACATTTTGCAATCTATTGGGCATTTAGTTTTTAAAGTATTTTTCTCTTTCCCTTTTCTCAGGTTTTAACTTGTATACTCTCCTTTCTTTTGAAATTATCAATTTTTTGAACTTTATATTTTCCCCTTTTCTTGGGATACATGCTCTTTTAATGTGGAGGTCGACTGAGTAATGGCATGACAAGTTGTATGTTTTGCTGAGATAATATTTCTGCCAAAGTTCCCCTATTTTTATTTCCCATGAAACAAATGACTATAAGTAGAGGTTGTTCACCTCAATGTCCACCCTATCAGTTATGCAATGATTCTAGACTTCAGAACCAATCTGCCCTTTTCTTTCTTTAATTTTTTTTTTTTTTTTTTTAGTAAATGTGTAGCACCTTCAATAAGCTGGCATATGTGCATCACAGCATATCTTGATTTATGCAACTCAATTTTTGCTAAATGTGTATGATTATGGGTTATGTGTCATAGAGTTTTAGTTAATCTGCTCTTATTAGTTTCATTAAACTTGTAATTGTAAACTTTTAAAGAAATCAAGATGAAGGTTTGGTTTGCATTGATGATCTTGCTATTTGTTTAAACAGGCAAATGAAGTTGTGAAGGCAAATAATTTATCTGACAAGATTATTGTGTTACATGGACGTGTTGAGGTAGGCCTATCTATACTGTGCGATATGATGCCTATGCTATGGTGTTCCTAGTATGTTTGATTAACTTTGTAACATGGAGCACTGGAAAATGCATGAGTAGTTGATTTACAAGAAGGGTAGTTTTTATGCAGACGTGTCTGTGAATTGTGAAAACTGTATGTTTGTTTCTTCAAAGTTGAAATACTCCTTGTGCCTATCTTAGAACGGAGATACGGAAGATGTTTTTTGATGAAGGTCTTGTGTTTGAGTCATAATGTCTACTCTCATACTAGAAAACTGAAAATATCTGAAAGGAAACCTTTTTATAAATATTGGGGAAGAAGGAGAGTAATCAGACCATCAGCTGAAATGCTTTCGTAATCCAATTGAATAACCGCGGTAAATAAATTTGTGCAGGATGTTGAAATTGATGAGGAAGTTGATGTTATAATTTCAGAGTGGATGGGCTACATGCTTTTGTATGAGGTGATCACCAGAATCGCCATTTTTATGCCCATTTCTATAACTGCTAATATACTAGATTAAGATTTGTAACTGTCACCAAAATGTTGAACTATTTGATGATAGACAATCCCTCCCCCTTCCTCATAAATAAAAAATAACATTAACAATAACCAGCAATTGTCTTGGGATTTTCTTTTTCCTGAACTGTAGAGCATGCTGGGAAGCGTAATCACTGCCAGGGATCGCTGGTTAAAACGTGGAGGTGTTATTCTTCCATCAAATGCAACGGTAAATTTTCTTTATCAAACTTCTAAATTCCAATTTGTATAGTATAACAGTGAAAAATCTGAACTTGCGCAAAAGTCCGCATTGGAAGAATGCTGGCTGTAAGTTAAAGCCTTTAACACATTGAATTTAGACTAGCACTAAACTTGTGTTTGATACTGATTTGCAACAATTGCTGCCTACAGTTGTACATGGCCCCTATCACGCATCCTGACAGATATAGTGAAAGCATTGACTTTTGGCGCAATGTTTATGGGATTGATAGTGAGTATCCAGATGTGTGAAATCCTCATTCATCATGAAGTGATTTTCCATTTTTTTTTCGCTTTTAGATGTCTAGGTGTGCACTTGAGATGCTACCTACCAGGGAGTTGTCTCATTGCTCTTTGTTGCAGTGTCTGCCATGATGCCACTAGCAAAACAATGCGCATTTGAAGAACCATCTGTGGAGACAATATCTGGAGAGAATGTATTGACGTGGCCACATGTGGTGAGTCTCCTCATTTTAATAACTGGTGTTGTACTTTTCTTGTAGTTGGAAAATAATATTATTGACCATGCTAGTCATTGTTGTTCCTAACTATGTGTTTTAGAATTCCCAAAATGCTGCCATTCAAACAAATGATTGAGAAGATCAATTTTTTTTATCATGTCTGCATCCATTTTATGTTCTCTTTCCTCATGCTTAGATTGTGAACTTTGTCGTTCAAAAGTTGTGAACTTCAGATTGATGCCTTTTAAGATTCTTCACTTTGGTCTATTTGGTTTAATGGAGTCAACATTTTGGATTTGTTATGAATATTAGATCCTAATTTAAAATTTTTTTTTGCTCTTTCTTTTTGTATCTAAACTGTTTCAGGTGCACACCTAAGTTTCTGGACCTTTATGTGTCCTATCGTGCACTTAGTAACTACAATTAGCACCCTTAATGCTATTGTTATAGTCTTTTTGATCATACTACAAATTCATTTAAAATCATCTCATCCTATTTTATTTAACCACTGGACATGTACCTGTATGGATATTGTGGACATTACCCTGACGCTAAATAGTTAGGAGCACTCTTTTGATATCTTAGTGGCTTGCAAAACCTTGGTATTTTTCGAGGTTGCATCTTGAGTGCCCTTCCAAAACATGATTTGTAGCCAAAATTATAAATTTTATTACTGTTTACAGGTTAAGCATGTGGACTGCTATACAATTGAAATTCATGAGCTAGAATCTGTTACAACGAGATACAAATTCAAGTCAATGATGAGAGGTAAATCTTCTTTACCTACCATCAAATTTACCAACATTCTCCTGCAAAAAAAAAAAAAAAAAAAAAAAAAAAAAAAAAAAAAAAAAAAAAAAATCTTCTTTACCTACCATCATAATTTACCAACATTCTCCTGCAAAAAAAAAAAAAAAAAAAAAAAAAAAAAAAAAAAAAAAAAAAAAAAAAAAAAAAAAAAAGAAAAGAAAAGAAATATCTATTATCAGATTAAGGTAAAGTATTACACTTAGCACCACACTCTCTAGTGGGCTCAACCTTTTCCCCCCAAAATGGTAAATTTGGGACACTTTCCTGTTGAACTCTGTTTTCTGCTCTAGTGCATTGTTTCAATCACTCGCTTGAAAAGCTAACTGTTTTATTACATTACAAAACAGTATTGACATACTATCTCATGTCTGTTGCTTTTATATTTGCTTTGTTTCAGAAGATCTCTGTTTTCTTATTTGAATAGACTTTAGACATTCTTGTCCCTTTTACTGTTTTTTCTACGTGTGATCTTAATGTTTGAATAAATTCCAGCGCCATTGCATGGGTTTGCCTTTTGGTTTGATGTTGAATTCAGCGGGCCTGCAATGTCTCCTATAAATGCCCTCACAAATCCTCCAATAGATGGTAGTCAGAGTAAAAAAAGGACAAATCCAAATGATGCACTTGTGCTTTCCACTGCCCCTGAGGACCCACCAACACACTGGCAACAGGTATTGCTCATGTCCTCATCATTAATTTGTGTATTCTCACATTTCTATGGTTGCCATCATTGACACTAGCATTTTTCAAATTACAATGCACGGATTATGTTGACACAAACAAATAAAACCATAATATCATCTAGTATGACCTATATAATACCTCGTCATACTTGTATTGTTAATCAGCATGATCAAACATGTATAACTATTTCAAGTCCAGGGTAGCAATCATCTTGACCAATTGATTGCCACATATTGTTTCTTGAATATGTACTGATGATGGACTAAATTCCGAGAGAGGCCTTTACATAGGATGGCTTAGCAGAGAGACTGGCAAATTCTTGATTTGCCATTGGGCATTTACCTGAAAGGAAATTGCTAATTGGTTAAGAATTTTCTAGTAATCAACTGAAACATTTCTATGATGTAACTGTAATCATTCTACTCAACTTAGTAACATTTTGCAGACGGTGATCTACTTTTATGACCCAATAGAGGTGGAGCAAGATCAACTCATTGAAGGTTCAGTGACACTATCACAAAGCAAAGAAAATCGTCGATTCATGAATATCCATCTTGAGTACACGTAAGTCACCAGATTCATTTAAGCTATAGATTCACCTCAAATTCGACAAATGTCCTCTTACACAATCTCTCTTTGATATTTGCTGTTGCAGTTCTGGTGGTAGATCATTTGTGAAAGAGTCAGTAATGAGGTGATCACCTTAAGAATCATTACCAGTATTTTTCTTCAAGTATCAAGAGATTGTTATGTTGCTCAAATTCTCCTTGTGGCCACCTTCCATGCAAATCCTAGCAAACTTCGACTCTTTGAATGAAGCTCTGCGGTTGACGATGCAAATTTATGGCTCTTACTAATTATTATCTTCAGAGGTGAAACTGTTACAAAACAGAAATAGGTGAACCAACTTAGGAAATTAGAATTTAACCCTGTCAGTGGCCTGAGATTGCATTTTTTAAGTTCTCGGGATGGGTTTATCTCTCTAGATGTAAGGCATGAAGGAGAGGGCCGGTAGTTTGTGTCAATTGTCGTATCCGTTGCTTATAACAGGTTTGAAATAGTCTCAACCCAACCGATTACTATACATTGGATTTCTGACCACTATGTATTGAAACTACAATGTACACCGTTTTCAATGGGTTAATTACGTTTGTCTGTTACTAATTTAGATGTTCTCAGTTGGCCGTTTTCTTGCAAATTGCAGTACTAATCAAGTTATAATGCAGTGCAATTTGCAAGCAAAGATTCTGCACCATCTATCAAGGAAGAATGACACTAGTATGTCTAATGTTGACATTATCACTTAATGTCTACAGTTCTGGAGGCAAGACAAAGAGACTTAATAGTAAGACTGGCTACCAATCCAGGTTGTCAATTCGAGTGCTTCTTTTGTACAAGAACAGAACGATGGGTCGGGTGAAGAGTGCTGAAATCCTGAGCCGAAAGGACCCATTCATCCTTAAAAAGTTTTCAACCTACCAAAAAAAAGGATGGGCCCAACAAATCCCTCTCTACACCGACCAAATCCCTTCCTTCTGGGCAGTTTATGATTTCATTAATTATTACTGTCGTGCTAATTTACTAGTTCTGTAGGATAATACGGATCCTATATATAGAGTAACCACATGCATGAGTATACATCAATCAGAGAGAAGTAAAACCCCTACTTTCATATATAAATATATTCAGATAAACATACATCTTAGAGATATATATATTAATCTTATCATGCACTATAATTAAGAAATGTTATGGACAAATACCATAAGGCATCACCTGCAGCAATTAGTCTTAGTTGCAACATTAACAATGGAGCATTAACAGACTGACAGTTCAGTGGAACCAATCTATATTTGTTTATCTACACAGAGAGAGCTTCACCTTATCTTATCTTCTAGAAACCTTTATAAATATATATAAAGTGAAGTGTTTTTGGACTTTAATTAATGAAAAAGTTTCCAATACGTAGCATTATTTGTGAGTTGATAGATAGCGATTAATAATCTCCCCAACATGAGAATTTAGAAGAAACAATTCATTGTATCACTTTAGTTAGGCTAGCTTAGAGGATGCCCTTTCTACCTGCTTGCTCGGCTCATTTAATGTGTTTGCAAGTTTGAATCTTTCTTCTTTCTATAAGCTAGCTAAAAATGTATTCTTTCTCTGGCCAATGACACTATGAATAAGGTAGAGGCCTCAAACTCAAAGATCTCTCTATATATATAAAGCAATGAATTAGAAGCAGCAGATGAATTTTTAATACGAATATTAATAATAATCTGGGCTAGCAATTAACGTTGCAATGATAGCACTTGAAAGATTATTCTCTCATGGGTCCGATCGACATGTGTATATCTGCACACAAACACAAAAGCTTCACATTTATAATTTTATGCACTTTAATTATTTTTCTTCCAGGCACAATAATAGAACAAATTGGACCTTGAAAACGATATGCATAAGGTTCTATCTGCACTGAAACGCGTTATGCACGTTTTCTTGAAAAGAGGCCACCAAAATACCATTATACATCCGTGTCAAGAATGATCTCCATGTTTATATTTACACACACACATGATGGCATTATTATGTTTGTATGCTGTGTGCACGCCTGGCTGCTATATATATATATGTATGTATGCATGTACATGTATGGACATGGCATGCATGCACGCACATGCGTCAACCTACCATTCTGTGCGTGCGTGATAAAAAATTGACATTGAAAATGGAAGCAACTTTTAGGTGCTAATAATTGCTCAATTATTATCAACTGCATATCTTTTCTACTCCTAATCCCAATTTTTTATTGTATTGCGTACAGCCACCAAAGTTCCTTTGCTAATTTTCTATTCTATCATTTTTGGTTGGCCTTGTCGTATTTAGGAGCATTAACACAATTCAATCTTGGCTTCAGATCATTTCATTGTCTACAAAAGCTTATACTTAATAAAGGACAAATGAAGCAAAGTAAGTGGAGAGACGCATGCACGCCTTCAATTTTAGTTTCTTTCTTGAATATCTACCCTTTGAGCCTGCCTTGAGGCTGTCTACCATTCTCCTCATAACACAATTAACACTTGTATTTAATTGCTGAATTCTAACCATTGGATAGATTATAATCTTCTATAAAGCTTTTTGCTTGAAATATAATAAAACATATCTCTAAAGCTCAAATTTATTAGCTAGGATCATCACCAAATCATTTGTTGAAACCTGAGTTGCTTGAGCCAATTGAATCATTACATGCCAATATATATGTTTATATAGTCAATTTCAGCTTATATTATTATAGTAGAATTCTGCCAAGAGACAATGAGCTCAGCAACCAATATAGATTTTAAATGTCAGATTACGAGCAATCTTTACTTTAGATTAACCTAGCACTCGATTGTGAGTCATGATAGTGGCAAAGATGATGTTAATGTTATTGTGAGTGCTTATTAATTAAAGGGTGAACTTGCATTATTATGCTGCAACATAACAAACACAGTTTTTCCTCAAATAATCCATATATCATTCACCTAATAAAGGATGGATCATCCATTACTTTTGATTAATCATGTATGCTTTCAGGGAGAGAAAACATCTTTGATGATCGTAAATGGACATTACTTTTTTCTAAAAGAAAAGGGCGTCGAGATTTTAATCTTGATTTAACTTCTCACCATGTATAATACGTGAACAGGTACTCTGCCATTAATAGTCCAGTGGCACGAGACTTGGAACTTGAAAGGACGTGATTGTGGAGGGTACCCTAGAAGTGAAGGAGAAAGTCTCCATAAACTGCGGTTGTTGTGCAAGAACTTTGTTCAAAAAAAAAAAAAGAAATAATGGATGTGGCCTGGCCCTGCACCACGCGTGACTGTGTCCCTTAGCTCAAAGGCATCCATTTGCTTGCTAAAGTAGTGATTCATTATTATTAGGGAAGCTCTGACCTTCGTCTACCTAAATCAATTGCAATATGGGCCACTACTTGTATGATAATGTTTGGTCTGTGCCCACAACTAATCATGCACTCGAAATAGTTTGTCCAAACACGGTCCTATGACTTGTTCTAAAGTGAAAAGCTCTGTAGGTGTTAGTTGTTTTGACTATATGATTCCAGAAAATTAATAATGGTTAATCAGCATTAATTGATTTGGGTTTTGGTTATACATGCATGTGATTTATCTTTGACCTAATTTTGTAATGAAGAGGTCTATTAATTATACCAACTCAATGATTCTTCATCAAGCTATTGGAGATGTTCTCTTATCTTCTGCTCTCTTCTTCTTTTCCATTTTTCTTTTGGGGTAGGCAATTGATACATGTACATAGAGGATGCATGATTAAAAGTTTAGTGATAATTAACATAATATGAAAAGAATGGTTAGCCATGGTGGTGAAATAATGTCCAATAATAACCTAAGGTTGGAAGACAACGTGCATTATTACACACGTAACTTCCCTTAATTTGATTAATGAATGCATGTTCTGGAAAGGGTATAACTATAAGGCTATTCTCTACTGTACATATTTTGATCATCTCTGGGTTCAAAAAAAAAAAAAAAAAGATGGAATCTTTGGAGAAAGTAGAGTGAAAAAAGATGATTACTTTTGCTAACATCTGATTAAATTATTTTAATCCTCCCTTTTTTCTATCTAATGGGTTTTCATTTGGAAAGGCCTACACTATAAAATTACTTCTATAAATAAAATATATACATTCTCCACTAAACTCAAGGCCTTAAATATATATATACATATATATGAGAAAAGAGAGAGTGAGAGCTGCAGCTGACTTTGTCTCTACCTAAGTTTTCCACAGAATTTCAGGACAACAGAGTTTACAGTTTGGCATGTACATACAAGTCTAGATATTTTACTTTAGTAGTAGAAATGATGATATTGTCCCCTTGAAGGTACAGAATTTCCATACTCTAAACTTAAACTCTGTGTATAATAATGGAGTAATAATGTAGAAGAAGGAAAAGCACTCCTACGTATACATTGATCATTCGTAGATGAATATATATCAACAGAGTTTAAAGCTAGAATATAATAAAGATGATTATTTATATATATTCTTAATTCGGTGCTTGCTATTTGGCCAAAATCATTCTTGATTTTATCCACACTGTGTTTGTGTTTCTTTAAAAATTTTCTTGAAAAGCCAAGCACAAAACTACAAAAAAAAAGTAAAAACATACAGACAAACATCTCTCCAATAATTATTCTAAACCCCACACTCAACTCAAATAAATCCCACTCCCTCCCTCCTTCCCTCTAAAACCCACGAACACTAAACCCCAGGAACTAAAAACATGCTTCCCTCTCTCTTTCTGCTGCTGCTTCTTGCAACCACCGCAGCCAAAACCATCTCTTACCCTGCTTTCCAACTCTTCAACGTCAAAGAAGCACTTATACTTACACAAACACGAACACAAACCTCCCAATATCAACAGCTATTCATCAACCAGAATGACTCCCAATCCCAAGGGATATGGAAGCTTAAACTTGTCCATAGAGACAGAATAATTACTTCCAGCAACTCGCTTCACAATCACACCCACCTTTTTCATGCACGCATAAACAGAGACATCAAGAGGGTGGCTAGCCTCATCCGTCGCCTTTCATCCCCCGCTGCCACTTACCAGGTCAACGACTTTGGGGCGGAGGTGGTTTCCGGCATGAATCAAGGTAGCGGAGAATATTTTGTTAGAATTGGCGTTGGTAGCCCGCCACGAGACCAATACGTGGTTATTGATTCGGGTAGTGATATTGTTTGGGTCCAATGTCAACCTTGCACCCAATGCTACCACCAAACCGACCCGGTATTCGACCCGGCCAACTCCGCATCCTTCATAGGCGTGTCCTGTAGCTCCGCCGTTTGCGACCGGGTTGAGAACGCGGATTGCCATGCGGGTCGATGTCGGTACGAGGTGATGTATGGCGATGGGTCGTACACCAAGGGGACACTTGCCCTTGAAACACTTACATTCGGGCGGGCTGTAGTCCGAAACGTTGCTATTGGATGCGGGCACAGGAACCGCGGCATGTTTGTTGGGGCGGCCGGACTGTTAGGCCTGGGAGGGGGAACCATGTCACTTGTGGGTCAATTGGGTGGTCAAACAGGGGGTACATTCAGTTATTGTTTAGTGAGTCGGGGGACCGATTCAACCGGGTCATTGGAATTCGGGCGTGGAGCAATGCCAGTGGGTGCTGCTTGGATTCCTTTGATCCGAAACCCACGTGCTTCGAGCTTTTATTATATCGGGCTGTCGGGTCTTGGAGTAGGAGGAGAGAAGGTGGACATATCCGAAGATGTTTTCCAGTTGAATGAAATGGGGAATGGAGGCGTTGTGATGGACACTGGGACTGCTGTGACAAGGCTCCCCACGGTGGCTTATGAGGCATTCCGAGATGCATTTATAGGTCAGACCGGAAACCTGCCTCGGGCATCCGGAGTATCCATATTCGATACATGCTACAACCTATTTGGGTTTGTATCGGTTCGGGTGCCAACAGTGTCGTTCTACTTTACAGGGGGGCCAATCCTGACACTACCAGCAAGGAACTTTCTGATACCAGTGGATGACGTGGGGACATTTTGTTTTGCATTTGCACCTTCTCCTTCAGGACTTTCCATCATAGGGAACATACAACAAGAGGGTATTCAGATTTCTTTTGACGGGGCAAGTGGGTTTGTGGGATTTGGTCCTAATGTTTGCTAAGTATCTGTAATTATTCTTATCATTATCATTATGTAAAGGAAATTTTGTCAGTCCTTTCAGTCTATTGTTATTACTAGTATATACTATATTCATTAGAACGTGGCCTTTTGTTTGCAGATTAGCTATCTTGTGTGAAACTAAAGTGATGCTTTCGAATAAAAAAAATGGATTCTGTAAAGAAAATGCATGGATCAGAGAGTCAAAAATATTCTGAGAGGAAAAATCTGTGTTTAGTCAAAAGAAAAAGAATGAGAAAAAGGGGAAATGGTAGGATCCAAGAGAGTCCTTTTATTAGGCTATATAACTCGGTCTCCGATGGAGTCTGAGACTGTACAACTGCTCATTGCTCCCAAAGTTAACACCTTTATTTCACATCTTGACATAGAGAGATTCCTTCCCTTTCCTTTCTCACAAGACCACAGTGCTATGAATGATGAGGGGAAGGGAGCCACCACACCCACTCACTCCGGCTGTCTCTGTATGTATGTAACCTAAGTTGGAGTGCATTCAAGCAATCACTTTTGCAAAGGTACTACCTTTTTCCCCCTTGTTTTTGATATATTTGAGAGCCCCTTTTCACACTGCTAAACACATTACATTTACTAGTTTCCTCGTTCATTTCTCCATCCACACAACTGCTCAATAATCTTTCTTAAGCTTTCAAGCTCAGATATTCAACAATTTGTAAGGACACTTCCTAAAATGTTGCCTCCAAGAGGTTCGAAACTAACTCCAGGGTTTCCTGGAGTCCAACTGGCAGCCAGTCTTTTTGACTTTGTTTTGCTAATTTTGCGGCGGAAATGGAATAGTAAGGAAGAAATTTTCATATTTCAATAGAGTGATTTTACTTTTTCACCTAAATTACTTCACCAAATTGTCAGTAAGGGGTCCCAAAGAAACAAGAATAGAGAAACTATCAAAGAAAAAATAACACATCAACAATATTTGACCTACATATCTAGTATTTGGCCTGTGACAAACCACAGAAGATCCATGTAAAAAGCCAAAAAAGAAAAGAACAAGAAGACTCCCATATGCATAGAAAGTTGATCCTGTTCCAGTCATCTCATCATCTGATCCACCGGGGGCACTTCTCCTGGCCCACGTTAACTTTCACAAAAACGGTGGGCATCTCCTTGTTGATTATTATATAGTATATACTACATACACATGTAAAACTATTGTAAAGTGGCAAATGTGCCTTCGACTTGGTCGACACCGTCAGCTGAGTTCTGCACAGCTAGCCTTCATGCCCATTTGGCCCAGCTCATTGTAGCCATGTTCGCATTCCCACTTAGACAAGTTCTTCAGCAGCAGAAAACAATACTGTTCCAGAATAAACATGCAGCTACCAACCTCAGGGCCAAATAGGGCTTTCGTTCTTTTATCTCCAAATCCCAACATCACAACAAAGCATGAAATTTTGCCATGCACATTACTCGACACTCACAAGTCACAACACAAGTACAAGAATCATGGACTAGAAACTATCACTTTGATATATATACTAGAGAATAATTAAGAATATTTACAGGTGGTTTTATCTTGCTTCGCTCTGCACTTGGAAACAAAAATGCATTTACGGGCCTCAGAAATCTAAAACAATTACCACCCAAAAATATACCAACCCCCATGGTTCCAAACCGAGTCACAACCTACTCAGGCCCTAAAAGTGCAGCAGCTACTGATTCCCTGCTGTCTTCTTTACTGGTCAAAATTCATTTTTAACTCACTGCAGTTTCTCATCCTACATAAATTTATACCATAGAACACAAACCTATGGAGCACTGCGTCCCATAAATAGATACTTAAGATCTTCAACTGTCAGTCGAGTAGCTGATCCCCCACTTGGATCTTCACCAAATGCAGATGCAACCATCTTTCTTTTTTCTTCCTGCAAATCAATGTGAAGCGAAAAGAAAAACTCGATCAAGATTTTCTACGTCTACACAGCAATTACGACATGAATCCAAAAAAATTAGTATTTTTTTGAAATAGTAGAAAATCTTGTGGTCAATGCATCTTGTAAAATAATACCTGGAGAGCTAATATTCTATCTTCCACTGTGTCCTTAATAGTGAGTCGAGTTACAGTAACAGGACGAGTCTGACCAATTCTATGTGCTCGGTCAACAGCCTGATCTTCCGTAGTTGGATTCCACCAAAGATCCAAAAGGATAACATGACATGCAGCAACCATGTTTAAGCCAAGATTTCCTGCCTTTAGCGACATTAGCATCACAGTTACCTGCAATAAGATTTCAGTGATAATGCAAATTATAGATTAAGGGCCGTCCGAATATCTATCATGCACAATGTCATCAAATGAACATGTTAGCACTTGGCATGGCAGATTTTCTTACTCATTAAATAGAATACCTTACATGTTAATATTTTGAACTCTCAGATACAGATTTATTGATGCCTACCAACTGTATCATTAAGAAAACAAGTAAATAAAACATAAGGCATTGAATAATGTAAGGACCAAACCTCAGGATCAGCATTGAAATCTTTAACAGCCCTATCTCTTGCAGACAAAGTCATTGTGCCATCAAGCCTCCTGTACTGTATGCAATACTGATTAAGTGAAAACTCAACCAAGTCCAACATGCTGGTCCACTGTGAAAAAACAATAGATTTTATTGGTCCCTCAGCTGTCAAGCTTGAATCATATCCTGTGACACCATTTAGTTCTAGACTTAGGCTGTTTACTCTACAATGAGACTGCAGAATCTCAAGAACAGCTCTAATTTTTGACGAGCTATAATCATTCTGCAGGACCACTGATTTTTCTTCAAATTCAGAATGCTTGGGACCCACACCATTATTATCAGCCATGCAGTTTCTGAGAGTAGCTTCGGAGAAAACAACATCAGATCCAAGTTGTTCTTTACAGCCTCTAGCAGGACACGTATTTTCATCACCTGTCAAGTAATCTGACACACATTGATAGCAGAAAACATGGCCGCACATTGTAACAAGAGGGTCCTCAGGTGGATCCTGAAACAGCATTGAATATTAAAAAGTTGATAATTGTAGTCAGATGCCACACTTTTTTTCTTTTTGATAGACAGACATTGTCAGTTTGCACATTGATGTCCACTCCAAATAACTAAATAGACAACAGAGAGTCCAGGAACGCAAATAACCAGCGAGTAACACAGCACTGATAAATGGAAAGGAAACCTGGTACATAGTCCAAATGACTGGCAACCAAACTGGACTTAATTGCCAAATGTTTCATGAACAGTTAACTTTGCCAATGTAAATGAAGACCCATGAAAGAGGACAACTATGTGTCCACAGCAAAGCATTACTAAGTCAACAATGACAGCTTGGGGATGAAACAACTTAAGATAGTAAACCATATCTATTCATTACAATTATTCATTTACATATTTATTGGCATGTTCTTAATTTTTCAATGAGTTGCCTCACCTAGTCCAAACTATCAAAAAAACATGTTGCATATTGATGATTTAACTGTTCCCTAAAACTGTGCTCCCTAACCACATACTGAAATACACGTATACTAAGAGTGCTAAACTAATCCAACCATTAGACAGGCATGTATTATGTAAGAACTCTCAGTTGCTTCCAGGAAGATATGGATAAGAGTGATAATTTTCCAGGTCAATGAATCCAGAAGATAAAAACAACATTTTTCATTTTATAACATACGGCTGTCACAAATGCATTACATCCAAAAACAGCAAAGAAAAGATTGCAATAATAGGTATAAGACATAAGTTCTCTTATGGTAAAAGCAAAATTTTAAGACACTCACATTGCATACGTTGCAGATGGCAGAAGAAGTTGCCAGGCAATTCAATAGATCATTGACCATATCATTAGGGAGTCTCTTAGCCATTTCTGCAGAAACTTTTCCAAAAGAATCAGAATTAAATCCTTTGACAAGAAGAGGGTGATCACAAGCCTGACGAAGTCGCAAAAGCATTAAAAGAATGTTTGCATAATTCTGGTTCACTGTGCCAGCAGCAGCATAAGCCTGCAAGATAAAAAGCAATCACTTTACCATACAAGACAAATTAGCATCGGGACTATTTAATCGAGCAGAATTCAACACCACAAGGTTGCAATGGAACCTTTCCTGGACTAAATGTTTAGGTGCAAGCTCATTCCCTTTTTATGAGTTAGTGGAAGCCATTATGAAAGAAATACATTCTTTAGAAGGAGAAAAATAATTATTAGTTGTCTTCTCCAAAGATACTCCGCCATTCATTTTTGTAGATGTATTTTTTAGTTTCAGACAGATCACCAATACTCATAATGTCCATGGATTCATATTTTTCCACAAAAAACAAAAGGTCAAAAATAATCAAATTTGTGCTTATTTTCAATAACATATTAGCTGCTGGAGGTCAAAGCACTGAGTTAATCAGACAAACAATAAGGTATCAGTCATTCAATATCCTCCAGAACAACAAATATAAATGCAATGAAAAGTACCTTGAACTTAGAACGCGAATCAGCTTCTAGCCGGGTATAGAAAGCCCGCTCCTCGGTTGAGAAGTCTACCTTCGTCAAGCTGATTGTTTTTGGAGGTAAATTAATTATAGGCTGCCCATCAATTAATGTCCCTAAGTAACAGTAATCAATGATGATCAACACCAAATAGTAACTGAATACAATTTTAATATTCAAAATAACATCCTGTTAGATCAAACAGCTAAAGAAATAAAACATCTGTACCCAAATATCAAGAGTGCCAAATAAATCCATCGACAAACGCATCAATCATAAATATTATGTTTATAATAAAATCCCTTCAGAAGAAACATGATTAGTAACTATTCAAACTCACTTTGTGTCAATTAAACCCTAAACCCTAAACACCACAAAGAAAACCATTCAATATGATTTTAAATTTTAAAATAGAAGAATAGAACATCCCAATCTGAGTAAAAGACCAAAGACCTAATGTGCAACTCACTAGGAGATATAAACCCAATATACATGCACCCCCATGGCACCGTCCGTGAGTCTTGTTCATAGACAGATCCATGAACATTCAGTGCTCATGTATTGAAGAATACTCTCCATGCTGGGAGAGACATGGAAGCAAAATGATATTCAATTACTTTTGCTTTTTTGAAAGGTACCATTGTTCAAATGCCAACTGCCAGGTGATAATGGCTATAGCAAAGAGCAAATGCCACAATTGTAATCTACAATATTGAAATACAATAGAAACAACAAAGAAACCAGAAAACTACATCACAAACAACTCATAATTGTACCCATATAACAGTGTTCTACCCATTAAAGTCTTAAACCTCTATGTTAAAGCCTAAAGGTACATCCAAAACGCAAAATCACTTCAAAGCTGAAATGTAGTATCAGAATTCATAAATGCAAGTGAGAGAAAAACCAGAATATACCATCAGAATACCTAAAAGTATGTAAAAGAAATTGAGGGGTTGGATTGGGGCAGGCCACCCCATATTATTTCTCTTTTATTTGAAAACTATACATCTCCTTTTTCCTATGCACATACCCTAATCCAAAACGGTTCACCATGGGAAGCACCACATATGTGGAATGAGCAACAGAACTTTCGAAAGTTCAGTTAGACTCCAGGAAGAAAATAAATGGAATAACCTAATTGGAACCTCTATAACAGCTTAGGATTACTCGAAGGCATGCTTAGCATTCAAAGCATGCAGAAAAGAAGCAATGGAAACCCAACAACTGAAACAACGGGAGAGAAATCCATCACCTTTTGTGCGGCGCAGCATTATTGCCCTAAGAACTGCTTGTAGCTTCTTGTAACCATTAAGTGAGTTTCTAGATATTGGAACCTTTATTGTGGTGTAAAAAGATTTATACCCAGCATAAGGATCATATCTGAGAAACCTGAAGTAGCTATACAAATCATCAATTGCATTTTGAATAGGTGTTCCAGATAAGCACCACCGTGTTCTGGCACGAAGGCTGCAACAGGCTCTAGCTACTTGAGTTCGATGATTTTTTATTGTTTGAGCTTCATCTAATATCACTCTAAACCAACCCACCCGTGCAAGCGGACCAGAATCATAATCAATAGAGGAACTATCAATTCCCTTCCTACCCTTCTTTTTTTTCTTACTAACAGTAGTTGTCTTCTTCCTCTTCTTATTATTTGAAAATTCAGAAGATAACCCATGCTTCTCCCCATCCTTGTCATCTACCTCATCCTCAGCAACTAAAGGTTGTTTTGGAACTTCATTAGTTACAATTGAATATGTTGTCAAAACAACATCATACTTTGCCAATTCGACAGGATCCCTTGTGCGACTGCCTCCATGATAAATAAGGACAGAAAGTTTAGCTTCATCTGCAACTTTATCATCCAATTCCCTTGCCCATTGCCGGAGAACACTTGCTGGACAAACAACAAGTGTACCAGCAGTTGGCCTCTTTCTACGTGAAGAAGTACTAACTTCTGGAATTATTTTAACATTATCAGATTCTCCACTCTGCTTGACTTCCTCCAAGCTAGGATGGCCATTCTCATCATCGTCATCTAAATTCAATGCTTCAGTTTTGTGCTTAGATTGATTTTCTGACTTATATTTTGTTTGCGAAGACATTTGCATTTGTATGAGGGCAATCATTGAAACAGTTTTGCCAAGGCCCTACCATAAGAAAGCATAAAGAGCTTATATGGAAAATACAGACAAAAATGAAAAGACAAGGAAGCCAACGAAGCATCAACAAGACTTCTAAATGAGTAACCTGATCATCAGCTAAAATTCCACCTAGACAATGCAAACTTCTTGTTTCCTTCTGAAGCATCCAGGCCAGTGCAATCTTCTGTAAAATAAATTTACTTCTAGTCAAAACAATGTATCTCAAAAAAGGAAAAAACAGATCACAATAGATATGATAAGACCTGATGTCTCAGAAGAGGCACAGACAACAGACCATCAGGTAGAGTAGCTTCAACTTTTGGTTGATACAGATCCTGCAATTTGAACTTTCAGTTCTTCAAACATTAACGTCTTCAACGACAAATTAAGATTTAACATGAAGAATCAACATAAATTTACTGGTTAGACTAAAATCTTTTATACCACATGAACATGAAGATAAAATTCAAATGACTATGAGAAAGAACACATGCAGCAGCAAGCCAGCAAGCTCAATATTCTGCAAGTGCAAGTCAAGGTGATCTATTATCATCCTTTTTCACCTTTTTAGCAAATATGAAACAAGTTTATCTTAGCAACTGATCATAGAGTTATCTCTACCAAACATGATATTAGAGATCAAACAAAGCTGACTCTCACTACAAAAAAAAAATAAATAAATAACCAAGAAAAAAAAAAAAACCCGTATGCAACTCACCTCAAATTTGGCTAGTCAAAATACTTATGCAAGTTCATTTATTGACCCCCTTTGGAAACAAATTTAGGATTAATAACTTGAACAGCATGTTTATACTCATGCACAACTCAAATTCTCATAAAATGGTTTTACTGAAACATTATTAAACATTTATGTCATTGCTGAAAAAAATAGAGAATTAAGCATGCATAAATATTATAATGCTTGGTAATATATAGATTATCAGTTGAATAGATTATTGAGAAACAAAAAAAAATAATACACTACTAAATCATGCAGAAACTGGTTGTAAGCGCTTATTTGTTAAAACTTATGAACAAGCACAGTCTCAAAAGAAAGATTACGAGTGAATGAGAGAGAGATATGAGCCATCTCTTAAAAAATGAAAATGTGAATAGTACGAAAGAATTCACCAATAAGTCGCCTTCTTTTTAAGAAATAATAGGAATTGGCTTGAGAAAGGCAAGGTTTAGTCGAACAGAGCTCATCATTCTTGAACAACTTTATAATCTCATAACCACAATTTATTTTTACTAGAGCTAAATTTAAAAACCAATCTTGAATCTTGTGGTGCATGACTTGACTTGACTTGATAATAATCCCACCAACACATCAAGAAATTGCTTGAAACTTGTGCTTACTGTTACAAACTGAATCTATACTCCACAAGGAAATTATTTATAATATAATAGTTAAGCAGTTGAAAAAACATAGTAACGGTAAGCTCCAAGAAGTACCTCCAATGCTGCTTGATAAACCAGTCTCTCATCATTCCCAGTAGCAATTTCTTCACCAACCCCTGGACGGTACATGTGGTCATTTGAACCAAATTGTGTGGAGGAAATAGATTTTCCATGCATGAATGATGGAGGTAGTGTCCTACTTCCATTGCTTTCATACATCATAATTTCCTCATAATTGCCCCTTCCATAATGGTCCCTCATATAGCCCTTGCCATTGGTTAAACTTGACCCTGCCAGATGGTATGCATTTCCATGGATATCATGAATCTGGCTGCTACTAGCGCTTTCTGCTAAGTTGTTGGAGCGGTAAAGAGAAGCTGGAAGGGTCCTCTTCAAAGCCTGTTGAGATGAAATTTTCTCATAATCTGTACCAGAAACATTAGCAATTCTGGAATTAACAGTCCGAGTCTGACCCACATTCTCATTCCCCATGTAATACAGAGAATCATCTGCTTTAGTAGTAACCCGATTTGAGGTTCTAATGCCTTCACTTGAACTCGGTTGAAGCTGGCGTCTCATTTTTGAAAGCTCATTCACATCTGACGAGCTCCCATTAGAAGCATATACTCCGTTGTTGTGCGTACTTTGAGTCTGCCCACCATAACCTGTAAATTTAATCAGTGCTCCATGATTGGCAAACATCAATCCATTAGAGAAAATTTTCAACCTGGTGAGCTTTTGCCAATAACATGGCCTTGTAAAAGTAAAATAGCATCAACAGTTTTGGAGTTAGATATTGGGAAAATAAACAAACAAGAAAAGAAAGGGATGTCTGATCTGTACTCCTTGAGTTTGTGCCAGATGAAGAAGCCCAAGATGGAAGAATCCTTGAGTCAGTAGATCTCCTTACAGGTGACTCATCAAAGTCAGAATCATCTTCAATCACCACATCGCTATCAGAACTGATATCTATAGGCTCCACTGAAGCCATCAAAGTTGAATGGTCAGTCTCCCTAACTTTAATAAAATTAGTTTCCCTTTCTTCAGCAAACTTTGTAAGAGAATTCTTCAAAGGGAAGCCAACCTGCCTTTAAGAACATCCATATCTCATGAACAAGCAAAAAGGGGGGAAAAAAAAAAAGACAAAAAGAATATTGGCCATCAGAAACAGCATATCTTATCTCACCAGTTCTTTGCAGGATCTTGAAATTAAGCTGCAAATGCAATTACTTAAAAAGGAACAACATTTCCAAGTTGAACCAACAAAAAGACCAAGATAATCTGCATGGTCTGGCATCTAACTGAAGTCCCAATTCCTTCAAAAAGAGCATATTGAGCAGCAATTTAAAAGTAAACATCAGTTTCAAATCTGACAGCAACTAGTTTTTTTATTGAAAAAATAAAAAGAAATAAGAATCCATCTTTAAGTATTGTATAGTAATGGTTTGGGATTTCAATTTGAATTGCACTTCAATTTCAACAAAATATTGAAGACATTATGCGTGACAATTTCCACTGCTTCAAAATCTTATTATTAGCATTTTAACTCTGAAGATCTATACATACACATGTTTTATGATGGACTACTTTGTTTAGTTGCCTGGAAATCAGAGCAGCCCATCACTTCAATCCTAATTCAGAGAAAATAAGCTAAAACAACATATGTATATTGTTTTAGCTTATTTCCTCTTAAATTTGGAACGAAGTGATGCATGCTATTTCATTTCCAGCGAAAGCATGCAGAAAAGTGAAGCATAAATTTTTCAAAAATGAAAACTTGCCAAACTTGCTTGGTTGCGAATCATCATAACTATCTAAAATAAATTAGACTTCAGTTATATTATGGTAAAAGTAGCGAACAATGACATATCAAAAAATGTCATTCTTGACCTTAAAAAAATTCAATATATCTAGCAAACTAACCAAATTTCTCTCTCCCTTTTTTCGAAACAAAAATTAAATAAATTTTAACTGCAGTAACTTTATATAATTGGCATTGAAATGGTTACTCTTTTTTAAATCTGTTTCTCAATTAGGGAAGACTAGTAATCAGTGAAACCTCAAAGCACAATCTATCATAATGAGGGGAAAAAATTCAAAATAAATGCAAAATTGCACCCTAAAGTAAAAATCCACCAGAGATGGAAACAAAAGGTACAAATAAAAGCATGCAATGGTGCAAGACATAAGTAATTGGACTACTGATTCTAGTTTAGCACAAGTTCATAGTAAAGCCAGCAACATTTTTTCAAACAAAATTGAAGAAATCAAAGTTGCGAACTTTGGGACAGGCATTGACATATGTCAAAGGCAATCACGCGAAGCAGATACACACAAAAAATTTGACAGAAATCCAGCGATTCAAATACACAAGGAACAGAAAGTAAGGGGGCAAAAAAAAAGGGAAAGAAAAAAAAAATGAAATTGAGGGATAGAGAGAAAGTAAAACCCTACAAGTGAACGGACGATCGCCATTGTAGTTCACCGGTGGAGTATTAGGGTTTGCATTGACCTAAACAAGCATGAGCTCGTGGGGAGAGAGAATCCAACCAATTGACTGGCGAGTTAACGGACGACAGAGAGAGGAGAGAGGAGAGTGGAGAGTGGAGAGGGACAGAGACGGTAGCGTTTCGCGTAAGGAAAGAGATGTTCTGTTATTGTTATTATTATTATTATTACAGTATTTACTTTGTCAACTGAGATGCCAAATTTAAACTCAAATCGATTTTATTCAATTTATATATGGGTTTATAATTTTTTTTTAATGCTAATTTCTGACGCGATAAAACAACACATTGTAATAAGGTTTTTTTTTTAATTATTTAACATAAAGTCTTTGTTTTTAAAAACTAATTTAATAGAATTTCATTTTAACTTTGTCGTATAATGTCATAAAATTTATGTTTCAGATTCTTCAGCAGCAACAAAATTGTTGTCAAATCCACCCACTCAACGGGCAAGCTTTTTTTTTCTAACGAGATGTCTAGTACCAAACAATTTTACGTTTTAGAACCTTCAGCACCAACAATTTGGTGGCTTTTGGAGGGGGCCAGGCCGGGGGTTGTGGTTTGTATTGGGCTAAAGGGCAGATCAATCCAAAATGGGCTTGAGCCCATAATAATTTTAACAACAGGCCCAGCTGAGGCTTTTTGACTGCGTTATGAGGCCGTTTTATGTTGGTTTGGATCAACAATTGCATTCTGGCTGTCTAATGAAAAAGGAAGAAAAGTGAAACGTTCACTTTTTGACCGTAGAGTGTTGCCAGTTATCACCGAAATAGGCAGCTCCTTCAATAGGTGTCAGGTTAAAGTTTAAAAAGGCAATGATGCTTTTACCATTGTCATTAAATTTCAGTGTTTCTTTGTATCTGAGAGAGCGTGGGTCGTTTTCGAATTTCCAATTCTTCGTTTCCAAAAAATTAATTTTAGTAAGTAGGAAAATTACTCGACTCCCTTACAAAATCACATTCTGTCCTATGCCAAAAAGCATAACGGAAATGGACAGCAGCTTAATAAATACCGCAGGCAGGCGTGGGTGGATGTTTTCTTCCTACTAGTAGTATTATTTCTGAATTATTTGCCCCCAATTATTCATTATTACTCATTTCAGTCTACTCTATTAACACTAAACCACATGCTACCATCTAGGGGTGGCCATATTACGGTTCTAAGAACCGGAACCGATGGTTCGAACCGGTCCTGAACCGTAATTGGAACCAATGAGAACTGGAATCAGTCCGAACCGGAACCGGATGTTTTCGGTTCGGTTCCGGTTCCAGTTTTATTGGAACCGCAAATCAGCAGTTCTACAAACCGGTTGGAACTGGATGGAACCGCCGGTTAGAACCGGCGATTCTAATCGTTAGAAACTGTCAGTTTTTTTTTTTTATTTTGAAGACTTTTTTTTAAAAAATAATTAAGTTCAAGTCTTTAAAAAATAAATTTAATTGAAGCATTTTTTAAATTTTTAGGTGTATTTTTTTTAGAAATAACTTTCACAAATTTATTAAATTTTGAAAACCGGTCTTCAAAATTTAAAATTAAAATAATTTAGGTGTATTTTTTTTAGAAATAACTTTCACAAATTTATTAAATTTTGAAAACCGGTCTTCAAAATTTAAAATTTAAAATTATGCGATTTATCGAAAAACCGATCGAAACTGTCGGTTTTGAAACCGTATCGGAACCGGAACCGTTCGGTTCCAGAATTGTGGCCACCCCTACTACCATCTCATCTACATCCAATTGTTAGGCACTCCAGTACCCTTTTGGCTTCTTTATGAAGCAATGCATTTTGTATTCAAATTATGATTAACTTGCAACGACTTTGTAACGTTGAATGAAGTTTGCGTTAATTAAATATAGTCTAATTGAATCTTTTATATTTGTAAAAAGATGTGAACAATGAAATATTTCGAGTTTGAGTGAATGTTATTCAAAGCAGTTATTATTTTTGTATAGTCCAAAAGCTAAACTAATAAGTAATGATAATTTAAAAAAAGAAAACCATAGCCGTAGCGAGTTGAGAACGAAGCATCAACATTTAGTATTAGTAAAGAAAAGCGTTGAGGAGAAGAAGGCGAAAGCGATGGATGAAGTTGCAATGCCAATTGCCCCTCTCTTCTGGGCCAAACGACCCAGCGGGCTCCTCGATCGAGGTCCAACATGCGCCCTTTCGCACTAATACAATTAAGTTGTGAAGAGTAAAGCGGTAAAAGGACAATGTTGAATTATTACAGTGTTGAAAAACAGGGTGTGCAATTATTGTTAGGAGATTAAAATTTTGTAAGAGAAAAAGAAACAAAAAATGAAAGTACAGATTAGATATCCAATCATCTGTCCATCAAAAGGAAAAAGAGCAACAAAAAGTGGAATCCACACATCCCATCAAATTAAATACATGTTGGGTAATGCAATGCATTACATCAAATTGTAAACAACAGGAAAGAACCTCTATCCACTTTTGTCATCTTAGCGTACTCTCCAAGTCTCTCACATACATCATCAGCCCCATGTGACTTCCTCTCCCTCCCCCTCCCCCTTCATATAGACAACCGTAGACATTCACAGTCTCAGCAGCGACAGCGCGAACCTCTCTCTCTCTCTCTCTCTACTGCTACCACCCTCACAGCCTCAGCTTTAAAGCTCTGCCCGTCTCCTTCTCGCTTGACTCTCTCTCTCTCTCTCTCTCTCTCTCTCTCTCTCTGAAGCCTAGCTTCATTTCTATATAACGCTGCTTTCTTTGGCTGCATTTTGGGTTTTATATTACAATGGGAGGAATGGCGAGGTTTTGTTACGATCCAAGTGTGGTTCTTCTCTGTCAGCGTGGGAAGAGGAAGTTGAGGAGCTTGTTTTGGAGGGTTAGAGCAGAGATTAGGAGACAGCTCAACCATCGTTCCAAGAAGCAGAGATTCAGCTTTCACTATGATTCCTTCAGCTATGCTCTCAACTTCGATAATGGCAACTTCGGCTTCTTCTGTTGATCTGCTCGGAGTTTCCATATTATTATTCGGCTTCATTTCAACAACAAATATAATCTAGGATTAGGAGACTTTTGTTTACTTAGTTTATGGCAATGAACATGCAAGGACTTGCTGGCATTTGTTCACTAAGCGACTTGCGGCTGGCTCTTCTATTACTCGATCGGTCAATTTCTTCTTCTTCTTCTTCTTCTGCGTTTGAGTTTGAGTTTGAGAGGCTACTTGTGATGTTAGAAGAGATTAGAGAGAGACTAGAGAGCTCCAACCATATCATATGTAATATGTACTAATTGCAAACCTAATTCCAAATGGTAGCTACTATTTCTTTTGTTTTTCGTTGATTAACAGATTTTGGATTCAGTTTGAAGTTTAATTTGATTACCACGCAGAATGCAGCTAGCTTGCTTTCATTTTTAATACGAAGTAAAAAAGCTTAGTCAGTGATTAAAAATGTTGCAGGTCTGGTAATTAATTGAACAATTATAGAATATAAAAAAGTAAATGAAATAAATTAACGTACATCTCCATGCTGCAATTGCATGCATCTTGAATAATATATATGGACACTCACACTACAGAGGTAGCAGTGTTATTAGGTTAGTAAGGATTTGCATGATTGTTTCATTCTTTTGCCATCTAGTGTTTGGAATTAGCGAATAGATACAATATATATAATATATTCATCGTTCAAGAATCTAATTCTAAACTATAATGGTGGTGGTGGGGCACCCAATTTCCACATTCATATGACCTATGGGATCCTTTTTCGTTGAGTAGTCACTTTGACATGTCCATGCCAAAAACCAAACCAAACCAAACCTTAAGTTGGATGATTTGTCAACATCTTCTTCTTCTTCTTCTTCTTCTATGATCTTTCACTAGCGGAGCTACCATAGCCATTGGCCAATTAGCCACTACCAATTTGTGGTTTTGTCACTGTCCTTTGCAATTAATTTAGTGTGGTACGCCGGCCCCCGACCTCCAACTAACCTATGCCCATAGCTTCAACTTCAAAGTGAATCGGTATTTTGTCAGTTTCTATCTACAATTTACTAGGACAGGACCCCATTTGTTTTCCACTTTTAGCCCTCTCATTCAAATGCATTGGTTAATTTGTAATTTTCCGTAATTTTATGGCCATGCCTAAAAAACTGTCACTGATATTGAAGCCCAAGTTTCAATCTCCATTATGGTGGCTTTCGCTATCAAGCCCAGTTTATCTTATTGCCCATTTACCGAAACCCAACTCTGGCCCAAGTAGTAGGAAGAAGAGGGAATTTGAAATTAGAAATTCAGTGAAACCTCCCACTCTCTCATATCCTCGTTCCCAAAAGAATCCAGTGGCGCCATTTCCATCGCGCCAAAAAGGAAATTCCATTCCTCATTTTCCCTCACAATTTTCATCCACTTCCTTAAAGACGAACACCTTCCTCCTATTCGATATTTCTTCCAAGACATCAAACAAAACTCTTCCTATTCCCAAACCTTTTTCGTCTCTGCACCGATTACATTTAGAAGAACAACAAGAAGATAGAAATGGCCAAGAAAAGGGTGGAGGCTGAGTCTAATGCTGGTGCTGCCGCAGGGAACACCACTTCCTTGATCCGTGCCAGAGATGGCAGTGCTTTTACTCGATGGTACTCATTTCTTCCTTTTTCTCATATTTTCTTGAATTTTTTCTCTGTTTCTTTCGTCCATTTTATTACCGGTTACTTCTCGGGCTCAATTTATTATGCTTTGATTTTTAATTTCATCTTGGCGTTTTGTTCTTTATTTTAGTTCTTTTCAACTATTTTTGTCGATTCTATAATTGGGCATCTGTATTCCACAAAATAGTCTTGCGTTTAATTTCGAATCTGACTGGATGGAATTTCAATTGATGTCCCTTCCCAGTTACTCTTGCTGCTATTTCACTCTCTGTTGGAAATATCTCCTCGTAATTTCTGGACAAGGAGAAACTCTCTTTTTGGGTTCATATTTTGACCTTTATTACTAAAATCATGTTGGTCTCGGTCCATTCAGCTTTTATTTTGTGCCCAATGAAACCAAGTTATCCAGTTTCTGATTCTCTAAGATCTTAGGTTTATCAGTTATAGCATTGTGCCTGCTGTTCGGTTCTCTTAATCACTAATGGGATGCGCCTAAATTGAACGTGCAGTGAAGAGTGCAAGAAGCATGTGGCCGTGGCTCTAATCAGCATGCACAGCTGTAGCCTTGATGCCAAAATCAAGATGAACTTGGGTAAGTTCCACCACTTTCATGTTCTAGAATTGACGCACCAGTCTCATTGTAGCAAGTTACTGATTAAGTTACCATTTGATGCTATTATTGATCTTTGGTTTAGAGTCCAAAGTTGTGGAAAAACCTACTGAAGTTAAGAAGAAGCCAGCTGAAAGGTAGCTTCTAGTAGTATACTTCAATTTTACTAGAAAGCTATTCTAGTTTTAGTTGTCTGAATTGTTACATTAGTGGATATAATTGTGTTTATACAGGAAGAAATCCACTTCAACAGAACCAAAGGCAAAGAAAGCTAAGAAAGAGAAGAAGGCCAGCGATCCAAACAAACCCAAACGTCCTCCCACTGCCTTCTTTATTTTCATGTAATATGCCTTCTGCCTCTTTGTGATGCAATGGATACAGTTGTGGTAATAAAAATTAATATGTTACAATAATTTATCAGGGATGAATTTAGAAAACTCTTTAAGGAAGCAAATCCAGACTCTAAGGATGTTAAAAAGGTAAATCCTGCAGTGTTTTATACTCTCCTCACCATTACATTGGCAATTTTTGGCGGTGGTATTATAGAGAGTTCCTTTGTTATGTTTTCTTCATTTTTTATTTAGCATTTAGACTGTCTATAACTAATAGCATTTTCCTTGGGATATAGGTTGCAAAGGAAGCCGGTGAAAAATGGAAGTCTATGACTGAAGAAGTGAGTTCGGTTGATTCTAATGCTACAATGTGTTGGCTAGATAGGTGTTCATAATTCCCAATGGTTTACACTTCTTTGTTTTGATTTGTTTCAGGAGAAGAAGCCATATGTGGATAAAGCTGCTACGCTTAAGGCCGAGTATAACAGAGCCTCAGAAGCTAACAGTGCTGAAGAGGAAGAAGTGAGATTCTCTTCAGGATTTGTGCTAGAAATTATTTTTCATCTTATGTTTGTTTTCTTGAATTGTTCTTCTGGCTTTTTAGTTTAAGGAGTTGTCTGTTTCTTTGTGCTTGATCAGGATGAGGGGGATTCAGAGAAGGAAGGTGCTGAACAGGTGCTTGATCAGGACGAAGGGGGTTTGGAGGAGGGAGGTGCCAAACAGCAAGTACAAGTGTCAGATGAAGAGTAGGACGTTTTAAACAAT